TCTCTTTGCCAACCTACTTCTTCTGGTGGTTTGGGTATTAACGATTTGAGGAAGATGCAGCTTGTACACTCAATAAACCTTTGGTGGCGTGCTAACCATGATAACGGTTTGTGGGCCTCTCTTATGAGGGGCATTTATATGAAGAAAGGCAACATCAAGGAGAAGCTTACGGACTCCCCAACGTGGAAGAGGATCTCTAGGGTACATGCGACGGCCCTCACCCATTACAACGGCAATTCCAACCCCCCTCTTTGGCATGGGAAACCTTTCTCCTCTAAGAACGTGCTTGTCTCTCTTAGTGACGGCCTTCCTTCCAGGCTCTCTTGCAAATATATCTGGCATTCAGCACAAACCCCCAAGCTAAAAATATTTCAATGGAAAGCATTTATGGGTTGCCTTCCATTTCCTGACCTGACTACAAGATTCTCGGCCAGTCTCCCCAGTAGATGCCCCTTGTGCAAAACCAATGGAGAAACCTTGGATCACACTCTTGCCTCTTGTTCCGTCAGCATGCAAGTATGGAAGTATTTTGCAGCCCTCATTGATGCTCCAAAACCATCTGCAGAACTACGACTTAATCAAATCTTCCTCACCTGGTGGTTCAGTGCCGAGACATCGTCATTTAAGGGCATCCTTAGACTTGTCCTGCCAGGAGTCATATCTTGGCATCTTTGGAAAGCAAGGAATCAAGCTACTTTTGACGGATCAATCCCGTCTAAGGAAACTATCATTCAGAAATGCTTCTATCACATACAAGCTTGGAGTTAGGCCTCTAGACGAAAGAGATGGTAGATGCTTCTCGGATTGGGTGTTGGATCTTTTTTGGGTTAATGGTAGTAGACTGTTGTTTGATTTTTTCACCTGTATTTATTCTTAGTACTTCTTCCTTCCTTAATAAAACTCTCTTTTCTAATATATATATATATATATATATATATAATGGCGATAAGGTATCAGGGTAGAGAGAGGTTCCTAGATGCGGCATCTAAGGTATATCGCCGCAGATACAATAGGGATGACGATTACTATCAACGCAGACGGATTTCCCCTCTTCCTCGCTCCTTTAAAGGTCGGATCGCTAGGCATCCACAAGGGTTGAGCTTTGGCGATGAAGGGGTTCACCATCCTTGGAGGAATCAGCGCAAACCACCTAGGACTTATATCAGTCCGAGGTCTGGGATAATTCTTCCGTATGCAGGTCCCTTCTCTAATTCCAATGGCAGGCTCTCCATTCATCTTGAAAGCAAACGGTATGACTTCCACCTTTCCGATTCTCTCCATATTTCAGAGCTCAAGAAAGGTTATTTTCGTACCATCTCGGTCTCCACTTCTTTGGCCTTTTGGGTACTTGAATCTCTGGAATATCATCTTTTCAAGGGATCGGGTTGGGCTCTTACTAGATTTGAGGGGAGAAACTCTATTAAAATCTCTTGGGATTCGAATTATTTTGGGGATTTTGTGAAGCTTATCTCTGTATTTGAGGGCTCTAGATCCACAATATGTGTCCCACTAGGTGCAGATAAGAATGGTTTAAAGTGATTTATCAAAGCCCTTTCTAGGTCTCTGGAAGAAATGAATGCAAAATCAGAGCTTCCCTTAGCCACTGCAAGTCTGGCCCATATCGAAGATTCTGAGGTTCCAAGAATCACAATACTCCCCCCGGATAGTGGAGTGACCCATGGTAGAAGTGAGGACCCAGTTTCTGCTGGGTGGCAAGACCCATTAGTTGATGCCCTTGATATCTGCTCTGTTGTGCAGGAGGATTGCACTTCGTCCATTCCAGGCTTACTTTTTCAAATAGACATCCTTGATCTATGCAGCAAAGAAAAGGTTTTAGAATTATGTTGCAAGGGAGATTTTGAAGAGGAATTCAAACTTCTAGAGCCCCTGTTCACAGAACACTTTGAGTCTTACTTCAAGGAAACCTCTTGCTATANCAAGTCTGGCCCATATCGAAGATTCTGAGGTTCCAAGAATCACAATACTCCCCCCGGATAGTGGAGTGACCCATGGTAGAAGTGAGGACCCAGTTTCTGCTGGGTGGCAAGACCCATTAGTTGATGCCCTTGATATCTGCTCTGTTGTGCAGGAGGATTGCACTTCGTCCATTCCAGGCTTACTTTTTCAAATAGACATCCTTGATCTATGCAGCAAAGAAAAGGTTTTAGAATTATGTTGCAAGGGAGATTTTGAAGAGGAATTCAAACTTCTAGAGCCCCTGTTCACAGAACACTTTGAGTCTTACTTCAAGGAAACCTCTTGCTATATTAGGGAAGCATTGACTATAGGGCTGGTTCGTGACAAGCTGCAGAAGGGGATTTTGAAAAATGGTAAGGGTAAAGCCTTCAAGATGACAAGACAGGTGGCTAAAAGCATCGAGGTTGTTGATTCTGTCAACATCAAGGGTACTAAATACCCGGTTTATCTCATTTATGCAAACGAAGACTCAAGGGTTATACATTCTTTCTGCGGAGCTTTTTTACATGAATTTTAGGCATTCCTGCTCTTTTCTCTATTGTGGAAGAGCTTAAGAGGGATGTTTCTTCATTTCTCTCCACCAGATTTGGGTTTGTCCTCTACTGCTTTAAGGTTTAGTTGTTGAAACACGGGCTTGTCACGTTTTCGTACTAAAGCCGTGTTCGTTCTTGTAACAGGTTTTAATATTGCCAAACCGCCATGATCAAGTCGAACATTGAATATACAAGGCGAAGAACGAAGATAAGAGCAAGAGCTAAACGAAGACCAAGAACGAAGACCTTAATCATAGTATTGAGTCTGTCTTTATTGTGATCAAGACCGACCCAATCTTTACACCTTGGCTCTTTAGGCTAAAATCTCTCATTGCATTTATTACATCATAAAAATGTTTTTCAAACTTGTTTAAGTCATTAAAAACACTTGGTGTTCGCCCAAACCAAAAACCAAGCCATCCAGTGTTCGGCTTTCAGAAACCAGCGTTCGGCTTTCGGTTGCCGGGTTTGGTTTTTGGCATCCGAACCAACCAAGTGGTTTTCAGCATTTTATGATCTGCTTTCACTCTTTGGCATGTTTAAACGGTTCTCCAACAAAAACACTTTGAAAACCATCTCTCATTTTTAGTCGTTTGACAAAAACCACGCAAAACGGCGTAAACTTGGCTAGCCGTGGTTTTTACTCAAATGACATGATTTTTAAAGTGTCTCACTTGATTTCTTAGCCAAATACATCAAATAAGTGTTTTAAACACTTGGTTTTTATTTTGGAGAACTTTGGATTTTTCGGTCGGTTTTTGCATCGTTTGGCTAGGTCGTGGTTAAGGCAAAAACCATAGGTTTTTGGCTAACCACCCACCCAGCGATGGGAATAACATCCCATCGATGGGTAAGTAGCCCCTTAGCCAAACCAACTTCCAGAACCATGCCAAACAGCGATGGGAAGCTCTACCCATCGCTGTTCAAGCCTTGGTCCAACATTATCACAAGGCAGAATGCCCTTACCCAGCGATGGGAAGATTTACCCATCGATGGGAACCCAGCGATGGGAAGGCATGACCGTTGGAAGTCATTTAAGGTTGATTCTTTCCTTGTTTGGAAGTCAACCTCCAACCCAGTGATGGGAAGCTTGTACCCATCGATGGGTAGGTGACCGTTGGCTTCAAAACTGAAGGAAAATTGGTCTACCAGCGATGGGTAAGGTCCATACATCGCTAGGAAGCCAATATCCTGTAGATCCCAAATCTTTTCAATCCCATAAATCAAGCCAATCACCCATTTAATGTATTGGTCCGTTGGAGCCTATTTTGGTACTATAAAAAGGGGTGTTTGGGTCTGCTTTACCAAAAAAATCACTTCACTTTATTCATATTATCATTGCATCCAAACAACATTATTTTCCATAGCTTTCTAGAGCCAATTTGTGAAGTTTGAGTTGTTCTTGAGCGTATATAGTTACTCAACATCTACTCTTAAAGAGAGTCTTGTTCTTGAGTGTTCTTAGTGTTGTAAACACGTTTAGGGAAGCTTGTTTCCCTTGGTTGTATGAAGGAAAGGTATTTTCCTTCGGGTTGAAGTCATGGAGTGCGGTATCTCCGAGCAAGTGTATTGAGGCTCGTGGGACTCGAGTTCTCAGGTTGTAACGGTTTGTTAAGCACTCGTAAGCTTAACGGAAGTAGTGTAGCTCGAGAGAGTCTCTCGGGAGGCTGGATTAGCCACAAGTTGTGGTGAACCAGGGTAAATTTCGATGTGCCTCTTACTCTTCTCTTTACTTCTCTTTTAAGTTTTTAATTCCTGCGATTTCTACGATCAAACGCTATTAACCCCCCTCTAGCGTTGGTCTTTTATTCTAACAATTGGTATCGGAGCCTAACTCGCGTCTAAACTTAACCGTTTGAGAGTAAAGCGATCATGGGTTCTTCTTCTAGAAATCTTTATGCAGGAATTGGAGAAGGTCAATCAACATCTAGGCCACTGCTTTTTGATGGCACTAACTACACATATTGGAAAGAGCGGATGAGAATTTATATCCGCTCAACCAACTTCCAGTTGTGGTTGGTCATCAAAAACGGCGAAGAAACGCCAATGAAGAAGGTCGATGAAAAACTCGTCCCAAAGACCGAAGACGAATTTGATGCCGAAGACATCAAAAAAGTGGAGAACTACGCCAAGGCAATCAACATGCTGTACTGTGCGGTCAATCCTGATGATTATCGCAAGATCTCTTGCTGCACCACGGCAAAAGAAATGTGGGACAAGCTGGAAGTCACATATGAAGGTACGGACCAAGTTCGGGAAGCCAGAATTGACTTCCTAACGCAGGAGTATGAGATGTTCAGGATGAAGGAGCACGAGAAGATTGACGATATGTTCGACCGTTTCTCCAAGATAGTCAACGATCTTCATGCATTAAAGAAGACGTACACCGATAGGGATCTTGTGCGAAAGATCCTACGGAGCTTGACATCCGAATGGCGATCCAAGGCCGATGCCATCTATGAATCAATCGGCACATCAAATGTCACCATCGATGGCCTAAGAGGTAATCTAAAAACCTATGAATCGACTATTCTTAATCCGTCTTTGAATGACCAAAGGAAAGGGATAGCACTAAAAGCCGTCAAAGAATCAACGATGGATGATTCAAGTGACGATGATGANAACCAATATTTTCCCAAAATAGGATGAATATGGTTAGGCCCCCTAGCTATTATCAACCTAGGCACATGTTCAACCCAAACGTAGTATGCCACTATTGCAATAGGGTAGGACATATAGCTCCCGTGTGTTTCACCAGACATAGGCACTTCACCTACAATGAAACACACAACGTATTTGGTGCTAATGAAAAGAAATCCTTTGGAAAAGGATATTCAAATCATAAACAATCTTCACAGGACAATGCACAAAAGAAACCTTATTATTTCTTCTACTTTGACGAAAAGAAGAATGTCCACATTCCGTTACCAGAACCAACACAAATCACACCGAGATATCGGCACTCCGTTCAGGTAGATTGGAACCCGCCAACCACGAGACGATGGGTTGGCCAAGGTAACTCCTAAACAATCATTTAATCGTGTATGTGTGCGTGTGCGCATATGGAAACATATTTTGGGTGTGTGTGTGGGCAATAAAGGTAAACTAACCCCCAAGGACCCATAAACTTACTTTGGGTACCAAAGTGCTGTTCTTTTTTGCAGGGACGGTCCAAAGTGAAGAAATCCGGAAGTCAGGAGGAACCAGCGATGGGTGGGTTATACCATCGCTGGGAGGGAAGCTTCTTGCTTTCAAAACCCCTCTTCCCATCGATGGGAACTTCCTCCCATCGATGGGTTATTGACTCTATTTTTTTTAAAAAAAATGGTTAACAGATTTCCAGAACACCTTTACCCATCGATGGGTAGTTTATCCCATCGCTAGGTGAGTGCTTGCTTTTGTTTCAGAACCTCCCAACCCATCGATGGGAAGTTCCTCCCATCGCTGGGTGTTTGACACCATTTTTTTTTAAATTTTTTTAACGGATTTTCAAAACTACCAAACCAGCGATGGGATGGTATTAACATCGCTGGGGAGGCCATGTTCTTTTCTTCGTCAATTTCCAGAAGCCACCTTCCCATCGATGGGAAAATCCAAACATCGCTGGGAAGGCAGCCTTGGGTTCTTCCTCGCTTTCCAGTGGCGACCTTCCCATCGATGGGTAGATCCTACCATCGCTGGGAAGGCATCTGCATTTCAAAAATTCAGAGCCGTTAGGCACCACATTAATTGCCCAACAGCTATATTTTTGAATCCAAACGGCCTAATCTCCCATTCCCTATACATACCCCTCATATTTGCTCATTCTAATACACCATTAACATCATAATTTCATTCCTTGATCCAAATCTCAATATTTCATCTCCTTTTTTCTTCAAAAACGCCACAACTATGGCCGGAGGAAGATCAAAGTCAAAGGCATCGAAGAAGAAAGGCCCTACTGAGGCCACAACCTCTACACCTCAACCCTTTCCATACCTGGATGGATCCTTCCTCGAATTCGGGTCGGAGGAAGAACTCACTCGCTTCCTCACTCACTTTGCCAAGCACCCGATCTCTCCACCTCGCGTGCTCCCGGAGTTGTTTTTCCCAAGACAAAGGGTACCACGACCTCGACAACCAACTCCAAGCGTCGGGTTTGTGGCCATTCGTCTCCAAGAGCCGCTCGAGCTTCAATCCCGCCTTCGTTCGGGCTTTCTACTCCAATCTCTGCCGTGACGGGGACACCATTCGCAGCAGCATCAATCTCTATGACATAGAGATTGATTTGCCTACCTTTGCTCGGGTCGCAGGGCTGCCCATCCGCGGTGACGACATCGCAACTTATGGTGGCGACGATTGGATCCTCAACAACGAGGCGGTCGTCATTCGTGAGCTTGGGATCACCAACTTGATCCGCCACAGCGGCGCACCGACGATTCACTCAGCCCCACCGGACAAGCGCCTCCTCCTCTACATCATCACCCGGATTCTCCGCCCCCGGGACAGCAGCCATACCTCGCTCTTCAACGAGGACTTGAAGGCGATTCACGCCATCATCCACGGCGCCTCCATCAATTGGGCGAAATTCGTGATGATCCACATGGCGGATTGCGCCTCCATCGCCACTGAGCGGAGCTTGCCATACGCCTTCCTCGTCATGGACCTCATCATCTCCGCCGACATCTCCATCTCTGGCCCGGATACGAAGATGACAAAGATTTGGATAATTCAAGACAGCACCTTCCGGAAGAAGTCCGGAGACCGGGACGGCGCAGGCCCAAGTCGTGCACCAGCCCCCGCTCCCGCCAAGGCCTCTTTGCAATCCATAGCCGATACTCTGAATCGGCTAACCCTCACAGTGGATGGCATGGGGCAGTCAATCGAGCGGATGGACTGGACGCTGCAACGCCAACACCACGACATGACGGCGTTCTTTCGCAGCATCAACTACGTCCTGCCGCCCTTTGACAGCACCTTCCTCGGCCAAAACTATGAAGGCGAGGACGAGGAGGATAACTCCTATGCTCCATCCTCCTCCCCCGACGAGGCCGACTTTGAAGATGCGGTCGACGGCGATCCCATGGACGTCGAGGACGACGAGGATGACGACGAGGACGCCGATGCTTAGACTTTTCTTTTCTCTTGGTCACTTGTTCTTAACCAGCTCTGTTGTCATGATTATGGCTGGATTTTAGACTGATGTCTTTGCCCTCATGTTTTATTCGTTTGGTCTACTGCCTGGTAGATTGTACTAGGTGCACCTGTCCTTCTGGATAATTGGTTCGCTGGTTATGGCTGGATTTATTGGTTCAGTCCTTCTGGATTTTTGCGTAGGGCTTAATGCTTGGTCCCATGGCCTACCCTTCTTAATCTACCCATGTTTGGACTTTAACATCGTCTAAAATTTGGGAAGTGAAGGTAGTTGGTCCTCTGTCCCTTTTTGCTTGGCTTGGAATTCTTCATGGTTGTCCAAGATAGATTATTGGCTGGAATCCATCTTTAACTCTGTATTCAACATCTTGGGTCTTAATAATTGACCAAGGGTACTTTTGTACGACTGAGAGCTACTCAAAAGGGCTGGAAATTACTGAGAGAGAATATTGCTCGGTCCCTTGGCCTGACAACAGCATAATCTTCACAAGCTTTGCTCTTTTGTTTTATTTCTTTGGTAGTCTTTGGTTTTGATATTTAGTTGGTATTTTGTCTGGCCGGTTTGTAGGGGTTGGCCACCCCCTCTCTTGTATCACTTTTTCATTTCAATAAAATTTACTTTTATAATATATATATATATATATATATATAATTTGCAAAAGTTTCATGGTACCCTTTGAGGTCGAGGCCAAAACTACAAAAAATATTAATATTGACAAGTCTTTTTTACATGAAACTTTTGCAAATGATTTTACGTTCAAGTAAAAACATCCATGTCAAATTTCACTACTTTTTATTTGAATTTAAAATTTGCCCAAAAAATTGTTAGCCTTGGTTTGCTAAGTCTCATCTTTTGATGTTAACAAACAATATAATAGCTTGACGTTTGTTTAAGTGTTTCAGGTACAACAAGAATCCATTAAGATTTGGTACTCAAGAATTAAGTCGAAACACCAAACTAGCATAGAATATAGCTAGAAACCAATATAAGAATATGATTTTATATATCTATATTCACAAGCTCAAAAGCACTTACAAACTATGTTTAAAACCGTCCAATAAACGCTTCCAAATATCCAAAAGGTTTTAAACTCAAACACGAAGGATTACGAGAATTTTGGAAAAATCAGGACAGTGGCACGGTACCCCTAGCGGTACCCCAGACGGTAGGGTATACCGCCTACACGGTACCCCTATACCGTGTAACGGTACCGAGGTACCGTACGGTAGGCTGAAACGGATGGCCACCCCCACACGGTACCGCCAGAGGCCAACCTAGCTTTTGGCCTATACGGTACCCCCACACGGTAGGCCGTACCGTGTCACGGTACCTAGGTACCGGGTGAAACGGACCCCCCTACCGTGAAGGGTACCGGATCCGTTACAGCACTATTTCTGATTTGCAATTTTGACTTTAATAAATCCTAATCACCTCCCAACGGCTAATTAACATCTTCCACTATAAATACAAGCCTAATCCTTCATATTTCTTCAAGAAACAAAGCTCTAAACATCCTCCCTTTATATTCTAAGTATGTTCATTCTTTTATTAATTATTTTCAATATTTTGGCTATTTCAAGAGCCTTAAATTCCTGATTTTTATACACACACTTTGAGCTTGTGTTTCTAGTTATATACTCTCATATTCATAAGTTTGAATTGAATTTTTGAGAGAGTATAATTTTCTTCTACACCGGCTAAGTTTTGTTCTTCATTTTTATATTCAAGCCGTTGTGTAGAACTTTTGTTTGTGTTCTTCAAACACACCTTCTAACGGTCGAGAATAATCGTTAAATTCTCACATTGTAACGGTCAAGGATAGCCGTGGTGAAATCTCGGAGTGAGTCCTATTGGCAAGGGTTGTTTGCCAAACTAGTGCGGTGCTTTGACGGAATTCAAAAGGCCGGAACTTAATGGATTCAGAAATCCTTAAAGAGGATCCTTAAGATACTAGAGTAGGGAGTTCCCGAACCAGTATAAAATCGGTGTGTCTTTTACTTAACGCTTTTATTTTTGCGTTTTATTTATTGCTTCCGCATTTGCCAACACCGTATTTATTAAACTCCGAAAAGATTTTAAAACACCTTATTCACCCTCCTCTAAGGCGTGGGCACAATGAATAAATCGACTAACAAAAATGTGATGATACCCCTAAAGTTCAAGACCTAATCTAAAAATATATTAATATAGACATTATTGACCAATCTTTCTAACATGAAACTTTTGCAAAGGATTTTGCATGCAAGTAAAAAGATCCATGTCAAATTTCACAACTTTTTTGATGAATTTAAGATTTGTCCAAAAAATGTGTTAGTACCCCTAGAGCTCGAGATCAAAACTAAAAAACTATTAATATAGACATTAATGATAAGTCATTTTGACATGAAACTTTTGCAAAAGATTTTACGTGCAAGTAAAAGCATCCATGTCGAATTTCGTAACTTTTTTGATAAATTTAAAATTATTCCAAAAAATGTGATGGTACCTCTAGAGTTCGAACTCAAAACAAAAAAATATTAATATAGACATTATTAACAAGTTTTTTTGACATTAAACTTTTGCAAAGGGTTTTACGTGCAAGTAAAAACATCTATGTCAAATTTCGCAACTTTTTTGTTGAATTTTAAATTTGGCCAAAAAATGTGATGGTACTCCTAGAACTCGAGACCAAAACTAAAAAAATACAGAGTAATAATTTAGGCATTATTGACAAGTCTGTTTAACATGAAATTTATGCAAAGGATCTTACATGAAATTAAAAACATCCATGTCGAATTTTGCAAATTTTTTGATAAATTTAAAATTTGTCCAAAAAATGTGCTGGTATCCCTACAACTCGAGGCCAAAGATAAAAAATAATAATTTAGACATTATTGACAAGTGTTTTGGACATAAACTTTTGCTAAGGAATTTACATGCAAGTAAAAACATCTATGTCAAATTTCGCAACATTTTTTATTAATTGAAAATTTGGCCAAAAAATATGATGGTACCCCTAGAGCTCGAAGCTAAAACTAAAAAAATATTAATATAGACATTATTGACAAGTCTTTTTGACATGAAACTTTTGCAAAGGATTTTACGTGCAAGTAAAAACATCCATGTCAAATTTCGCAACTTTTCTGTTGAATTTAAAATTTGCCCAAAAAAAGTTATGGTACCCCTAGAGCTCGAGCCCAAAACTAAAAAATAATTTAGACATTATTGACAAGTCTTTTGGACATAAACTTTTGAAAAGGAATTTACATGCAAGAAAAAACATCCATGTCAAATTTCGCAACATTTCTTATTAATTTAAAATTTGGCCAAAAATGTGATAGTACTCCTAGAGCTCGAATCCAAAACTAAAAAATATTAATATAGACATTATTGAAGTGTCTTTTTGACATAAAACTTTTGCAAAGGATTTTACGTGCAAGTAAAAACACCCATGTCAAATTTCACAACTTTTTTGTTGAATTTAAAGTTTGGCCAAAAAACGTAATGGTACCCCTAGAGCTCGAGGCAAAACTAAAAAATATATTAATATAGACATTATTGACAAATCTTTATAACATGAAACTTTTGCAAAAGATTTTAATGAATTTAAAATCTCTATATTAAAATCTTTATAACAAATCTCTATATTAATATAGACATTATTTTTAAAATTTCGCAACTTTTTTTGATGAATTTAAAATTTTCCAAAAAATGTGATGGTACTCCTAGAGCTCGAGGCCAAAATTAAAAAATATATTAATATAGACATTATTGACAAGTTTTTTTTGACATAAAACTTTTGCAAAGGATTTTACATGCAAGTAAAAACATCCATTTCGTATTTTGTAACTTTTTAGATTAAGTTAAAATTTGTCCAAAAAATGTGATGGTAACTCTAGAGCTCAAAGACAAACTAAAAAAATACTCCGTATTAATATAGACATTATTGACAAGTCTTTTTGACATGAAACTTTTGCAAAGGATTTTACATGCATGTAAAACCATCCATGTCGCAACTTTTTTGATAAATTTTAAAATTGCCCAAAAAATGTGATATACCCCTAGAGCTCAAGGCCCAAACTAAAAATAATAATAATTTAGACATTATTGACAAGCATTTTTGACATTAAACTTTTGCAAAAGATTTTACATGGAAGTAAAAACATCCATGTCAAATTTTGTAACTTTTTTGCTGAATTTAAAATTTGGCAAAAAAATGTGATGGTACGCCTAGAGCTCGAGCCCAAAACTAAAAAAACACAGAGTAATAATTTAGGTATTATTGACATGTCTTTTTGACATGAAACTAATGCAAAGGATCTTACATGCAAGTAAACATCTCCATATCGAATTTCGCAACTTTTTTTATGAATTTAAAATTTGTCAAAGAATGTGATGGTACCCCTATAGCTCGAGACTAAAACTAAAAAAATAATAATTTAGACATTATTGACACGTCTTTTTGACATGAAACTTTTGCAAAGGATTTTACATGCAACTAAAAACATCCATGCGAAATTTCGCAACTTTTTTGTTGGATTTTAAAATTTTGCCAAAAAATGTGATGCTACCCTAGAGCTCGAGGCCAAAACTAAAAAAATAATAATTTATTGACAAGTAAAAACATCCATGTCAAATTTCATAACTTTTTTGTTGAATTTAAAATTTGGCCCAAAAAAATGTGATGGTACACCTAGAGCACGAGACCAAAACTGAGAAAATAATAATTTAGACATTATTGACAACTCTTTTTGACATGAAACTTTTGCAAAGGATCTTACGTGCAAGTAAAAACATCCATGTCAAATTTTGCAACATTTTTTATTAATTTAAAATTTGTCCAAAAATGTGATGGTACCCCTAGAACTCGAGGCCAAAACTAAAAAAAATAATATTGACATTATTGACAAATCTTTATAACATGAAACTTTTGCAAAGGATTTTACGTGCAAGTAAAAAAAGATCCATGTCAAATTTTGCAACTTTTTTGATAAATTTAAAATTTGTCCAAAACATGTGTTAGTACCTCTAGAGCTGGAGATCAAAACTAAAAATTATTAATATAGACATTATTGACAAGTCTTTTTGACATGCAACTTTTGTAAAGGATTTTACGTGCAAGTAAAAGCATCCATGTCGAATTTTGCTAGTTTTTTAATAAATTTAAAATTTGTCCAAAAAATGTGATGGTACCCATAGAGCTCGAGGCCAAACCTAAAAAAAATATTAATATAGACATTATTGAAAAGTTTTTTGACATGAAACTTTTGGAAAGGATTTTACATGCAAGTAAAAACATTCATGTTGAATTTCGCAACTTTTTTGGTAAATTTAAAATTTGTCAAAAAAATGTGATGGTACCCCTCGAACTTGAAGCCAAAACTAAAAAATAATAATTTAGACGTTATTGACAATTCTTTTTGACATGAAACTTTTGCAAAAGGTCTTACATGAAAGTAAAAACATCCATGTTAAATATCTCCACTTTTTTTGATTAATTTAAAATTTATCCCAAAAATGTGATGGTACCCCTAGAGCTCGAGGCCAAAACTAAAAGTAATAATAATAATATAGACATTATTAACAAGTTTTTTTGACATTAAACTTTTGCAAATTATTTTACATGCAAGTAAAAACATCCATGTTAAATATCTCCACTTTTTTTGATTAATTTAAAATTTATCCCAAAAATGTGATGGTACCCCTAGAGCTCGAGACCAAAACTAAAAAAAAATATTAATATAGACATTATTGACAAATCTTTTTAACATGAAACTTTTGCAAAGGATTTTACGTGCAAGTAAATACATCCAAGTCAAATTTCGCAACTTTTATGATGAATTTAAAATTTGTCCAAGAAATGTGATTATACCCCTAAAGCTCAAGGCCTAAACTAAAAAAATAATAGTTTAGACTATTTTGACAAGTCTTTTTGACATGAAACTTTTGCAAAGAAATTTACATGCAAGTAAAAACATCCATGTCAAATTTTGCAACATTTTTTATTAATTTAAAATTTGGCCAAAAAATGTGATGGTACCACTAGAGCTCGAAGCCAAAACTAAAACAATATTAATGTAGACATTATTAACAATTCTTTTTGACATTAAACTTTTGCAAAGTGTTTTACGTGCAAGTAAAAACATCCATGTCAAATTTCACAACTTTTTTGTTGAATTTAAAATTTGGCCAAAAAATGTGATGGTACCCCTAAAGCTCGAGGCCAAAACTATAAGTATAATAATTTAGAACTTATTGACAAGCCTTTTTGACATGAAACTTTTGCAAACTATTTTACATGCAAAAAAAACATCCATGTTAAATATCGTTGTTAGTCTGTTTAGTCGTTGTGCCCACGCCTTAGAGGGGGTGAATAAGGCGTTTGAAAATTTTTCGGAGTTTAATAAAAATGGTGTTGGCAAATGCGGAAGCAATATATAAAACCCATAAATAAAAGTGTAAATGAAATGCACACAAGATTTATACTAGTTCGGGAACTCCCTACTCTAGTACTTTAAGGCTCCTCCTTAAGGATTTCCGAATCCACTAAGTTCCGGCCTCTTGAACTCCATCAAAGCACCGCACTAGTTTGGCAAACAACCCTTGCCAATAGGATTCACTCCGAGATTTCACCACGGCTATCTCGAACCGTTTACAATGAAAATTTAACGGCTATCTTCTACTGTTCCCCCAAGAATTTCAAAGGCTATCCTTGAACCTTTACCCAAGGATTTATACGGCTATCCTTGACCGTTACAATGTGAGAATTTAACGGCTATTCTCGACCGTAAGAAGGTGTGTTTGAAGAACACAAACAAGAGTTCTACACAACGGCTTGAATATAAAAATGAAGAACAAAACTTAGCCGGTGTAGAAAGAAAGTATACTCTCTCAAAAATGCAATTCAAACTTATGAATATGAGAGTATATAGCTAGAAACACAAGCTCAAAGTGTGTGAATAAAAATCAGGAATTTTAAGGCTCTTAAAATAGCTAAAATATTGAAAATAATTAATAGAAGGATGAACACACTTAGAATAAAAAGAGAGGATTTTTAGAGCTTTGTTTCTTGTTGAAATATAAAGTATAAGGCTTGTATTTATAATGAATGTTAATTAGCCATTGGGAGATGATTAGGATTGATTAAAGTCAAAATCATAAATCAGCAATAGTAATCCAACGGTCACGGTAGGGGGGTCCCGTCCATACGGTAGGGAGGTCCGTCTCAGGCCAAAACTCTCTGGCGGTACCTATCTTAGTACGGTACCCCTTACGGTAGGGGGGTACCGTCCATACGGTAGGGGGGTCCCGTCTCAGAATAACTCACGGTACCCCTCACGGTACCTAGGTACCTTGTGACCATTTTGACAATTTTTTCATTTTTGTCCAAATCATTTCCAATTTTGTTTAAAACCTTTTGGATGTTTGAAAATGATTATAATGTTAGCCTTGGTTTGCTAAGTCTCATATTTTGATGTTAACAAACAATATAAGAGCTTGACGTTTGTTTAAGTGTTTCAGGTACAACAAGAATCCATTAAGATTCGGTACTCAAGAATGAAGTCGAAACACCAAACTAGGGTAGAATATAGGTAGAAACCAATGTAAAAATATGTTTTTATATTCACAAGATCAAAAGCACTCACAAAAAATGTTTAAAACCATCCTATAAACATTTTCAAATATCCAAAAGGTTTTAAACTCAAACACGAAGGATTACGGGAATTTTGGAAAAATCAGGACAGTGACACGGTACCCCTATCGGTACCCCAAACGGTAGGGTATACCGCCTACACGGTACCCCCATACCGTGTAACGGTACCCAGGTACCGTACGGGAGGCATGGACGGTAGGCCACCCCGTCCTAAGAAGGTACCGCCAGTAGCGAACCAAAGTTTTGGCCTACACGGTACCCCCAAACGGTAGGTTGTACCATGTGTCACGGTACCTAGGTACCGGACGGTAGTGACCCTACCGTGAAGGGTACTCGATCCCTTGGCAGCAGTGTTCCTGATTGCCAATTTTGAATTAAATCAACCCTAATCACCTCCCAACGGCTAATTAACATCTTCCACTATAAATACAAGCCTAGTCCTTCATATTTCTTTAAGAAACAAAGCTCCAAACATCATAATTTAATATTCTAAGTGTGTTCACTCCTTTATTAATTATTTTCTATATTTTGGCTATTTCAAGAGCCTTAAACAAACGTCAAGCTCTTATATTGTTTGTTAACATCAAAACATGAGGCTTATCAAACCAAGGTTAACAATCGATATTTTTTTTATTAATTCAAAATTTGTCCAAAAAATGTGATAGTACCCTTGAGCTCGAACCAAAACTAAAAAAAATATTAATATATACATTATTAACAAGTCTTTTTGACATGAAACTTTTGCAAAAGATTTTACGTAAAAGTAAAAACATCCATGTCAAATTTCACAACTTTTTTGTTGAATTTTAAATTTGGCCAAAAATTGTGATGGTACACCTAGAACTCGAGACCAAAACTAAAAAAATACATAGTAATAATTTAGGCATTATTGACAAGTCTTTTTTATATGAAATTTATGCAAAGGATCTTACATGCAAGTAAAAACATGCATGTCAAATTTTGCAAATTTTTTGATAAATTTAAAATTTGTCTAAAAAATTTGATGGTACCACTAGAGCTCGAGACAAAACTAAAAAATATTAATTTAAACATTATTGACAAGTCTTTTTGACATGAAACTTTTGCAAAGGATTTTACGTGCAAGTAAATTCATCCATGTCGAATTTCGCAACTTTTTTGATAAATTTAAAATTTGTTTAAAAAATGTGATGGTACCCCTAGAGCTCAAGACCAAAACTAAAAAAATATTAATATAGACATTAATGACAAGTCTTTTTGACATGAAACTTTCACAAAGGATTTTACGTGCAAGTAAAAACATCCATGTCAAATTTCACAACTTTTTTGTTAAATTTAATATTTGACCAAAAAAAGTGATGGTACCTCTAGAGCTTGAAGCCAAAACTAAAAAATAATAATTTAAACATTATTGATAAGTCTTTTTGACATGAAACTTTTGCAAAACATTTTACGTGCAAGCAAAAAGATCCATGTCAAATTTCAAAATTTTTCTTGAATTCAAAATTTGGCCAAAAAACGTAATAGTAGCCCTAGAGTTCAAGGCAAAACTAAAAAATATATTAATATAGACATTATTGACAAATGTTTATAACATGAAACTTTTGCAAAGGATTTTACGTGCAAGTAAAAAGATCCATGTCAATTGTGCAACTTTTTTGGATGAATTTAAAATTTGTCCAAAAAATATGTTAGTACTCCTAGAGCTCGAGATCAAAACTAAAAATATATTAATACAGACATTATTGAAAGGTCTTTTTGACATGAAACTTTTGAAAAGGATTTTACGTGCAAGTAAAATCATCCATGTTGAATTTCAAAACTTTTTTGATAAATTTTAAATTTGTCTAAAAAATGTGATGGTACCCCTAGAACTCGAGGCCAAAACTAAAAAAATATTAATATAGAGATTAATAAAAAGTCTTTTTGACATGAAACTTTTGCAAATGATTTTACATGCAAGTAAAAACATCCATGTCAAATTTCACCACTTTTTTAATGAATTTAAAATTTGGCCAAAAAATGTGATAGTACCATCTTGATGAATTTAAAGAAGATGATGTGGATACATTACACATGCTCGAAACCAAAACTAAAAAAATAATAATTTAAACATTATTGACAAATCTTTTTTACATGAAACTTTTGTGAAGGATTTTGCATGCAAGTAAAAACATCCATGTCAAATTTTGTAACATTTTTTATTATTTTCAAATTTATCCAAAAAATGTGATGGTACCATAGAGCTCGATGTCAAAACTAAAAATATAATAATTTAGACATTATTAAAAAGTGTTTTTGACATGAAACTTTTTCAAAGGATTTTACATTCAAGTGAAAATATCCATGTCGAATTTTGCATGTTTTTTATTGAATTTAAAATTTGGCCAAAAAATGTGATAGTATCCCTAGTGCTCGAAGCCAAAACAAAAGAAATAATAATTTAGACATTATTGACAAGTCTTTTTGACATTAAACTTTTGCCAAGGATTTTACATGCAAGTAAAAACATCCATGTCGAATTTCACAACTTTTTTTATAAATTTAAAATTTGTCCAAAAAATGTGATGGTAGTCCTAGAGCTCGAGGCCAAACTAAAAAAAATATTAATAAAAGCATTGTTGACAAATCTTTTTTACATGAAACTTTTGTCAAGGATTTTACATACAAGTAAAAGCATCCATGTCAAATTTCGCAACTTTTTTGTTGAATTTGAAATTTGGCCGAAAAATGTGATGCTACCCTTAGAGCTCGAGACCAAAACTAAAAAAAATAATAATTTAGGCATTATTGACAATTCTTTTTGACAAGAAACTTTTCCAAAGGGTCTTACATGAAAGTAAAAACATCCATGTCAAATTTTACAAAATGTTTTATTAATTTAAAATTTGTCTTAAAAATGTGATTGTACCGCTAGAGTTCGAGACCAAAACTAAAAAAAATTAATATAGACATTATTGACAAAAATTTTTAACATGAAACTTAGGCAAAGGATTTTACGTACAAGTAAAAAGAGTCATGTCAAATTTAGCAACTTTTTTGATGAATTTGAAATTTGTCCAAAAAATATGTTAGTACCCCTAGAGCTCGAGACCAAAACTTAAAAAAATATTAATATAGACATTATTGACAAATATTTTTCACATTAAACTTTTGCAAAGGATTTTACATTCAAGTAAAAACATCCATGTCAAATTTTGCAACTTTTTTGTTGAATTTTAAAACTTTGCCAAAAAATGTGATGGTACCCCTAGTGCTCGGGGCCAAAACAAAAAACAATTATAATTTACACATTATAGATAAGTCTTTTTGACATTAAACATTTGCCAATGATTTTACATGCAAGTAAAAACATCCATGTTGAATTTCACAACTTTTTAAATAAATTTAAAATTTGTCCAAAAAATGTGCTGGTACACCCTAGAGCTCGAGACCAAACTAAAAAATATATTAATATAGGCATTATTGACAAGTCTTTTTGACATGAAACTTTTACAAAGGATTTTACGTGCAAGTAAAATCATCCATGTCAAATTTTGCAACTTTTTTGTTGAATTTAAAATTTGGCCGAAAAAAGTGATGGTACCTCTAGAGCTCGAGACCAAAACTAAAAAAAATTATAATTTAGACATTATTGACAAGTCTTTTTGACAAGAAAATTTTGCAAAGGATCTTACATGCAAGTAAAAAACATCCATGTCAAATTTTACAAATTTTTTTATTAATTTTAAATTTGTCCAAAAAATGTGATGGTACCCCTAGAGTTCGAGATCATAACTAAAAAAAATTAATATAGACATTATTGACAAATCTTTTTAACATGAAACTTAGACAAAAGATTTTACGTGCAAGTAAAAAGATCCACATCAAATGTAGCAACTTTTTTGATGAATTTAAAATATGTCCAAAAAATGTGTTAGTATCCCTAGAGCTTGAGACCAAATTTCATAAGTTTTTTTATTAATTTAAAATTTGTCCAAATATGTGATATGATCCCTAGAGCTCGAAACCAAAACTAAAAAATAATAATTTAGACATTATTAACAAGTCTTTTTTATATGAAACTTTTGGAAAGGATTTTACATGCAAGTAAAAACATCCATGTTAAATTTTGTAACTTTTTTTATTAATTTAAAATTTATCCAAAAAATGTGATAATATCGTACAGCTCGAGGCCAAAACTAAACAAATAATAATTTAGATATTATTGACAAATTTTTTTGACATGAAACTTTTGCAAAGGATTATACGTGCAAGTAAAAACATCCATGTCAAATTTTGCAACTTTTTAAATGAATTTAAAATTTGTCCAAAAATGTGATGGTAACCCTAAAGTTCGAGACCAAAACTAAAAAAATATATATATAAATTTAGTCCAAAGAACGCAACCACAGTACCCTTTAGAGTTCTAGACCAAAATTTTGAATGGAGTTCTAAATCATTTAAATGAATCATTTGGAATTTGAATACTTTTAGTGCATTAGGTCTATGTTCTCCTTAACTTATTTTTTTTACTTTTTCTTATTGGAATCAAATCAGGCCAAATCAAAAATAATTTTAAATATAACTACATTTAGATCAAATCAAACCAGATCAAAACTTAATCTAATCAGATCAAGTGAAGAGAACGTAGCTTAAGTTTGAAAAAACTGTATAGACAAATACTCCGTAATCTTTTTTCAAAAAAATTGGACAGAGAGGAACATCCACACATAGAGAGGATTAACGATTCCTTTGCCATTTAATTTGTTTGAAAACTGGCAAAAATAACGGGTACATATATTGTTGTGATGCCTTAGAATTTATTTGTTTTCCAAAGCATCGAGAACCAAATTAAAGCTCAGATTCAAATTTCTTGAAAATTTATAGCCATCTTGTGCATTAATTTTTAAACTACCGGTACAAATTATTTAGAAAATACGATCTTTGGCTTATTTAGAAAATAGTGTTTGAGGAAATTCTCGGCAAATGGGACAGATGATGATTAGTACAAAATACCCCCCAATGTGACTAGTGCATACCAGAAAAGTATATTGGGTGGAGGCAGGCATTCGATCCTGGCCGTGGCTCAAAGTAAATGTTTGTTTCCAAAGTAAGGTGTGATGATACACACGTTGTTCCCTAGACACCCACAAGCTGGTTGACAAAAGATGCTTGTAGACCACGGCGTTATATTCATTCATCCACGTATTCTATCTGCAACAAATGAATTTTCCAAGAAAAATAAATGAAAACTGCTATATACGTGTTATACTGCTTACAGATCAAAAAATACTGGAGGGGCACATTATTGGTGGAAGTACTAGAATTGATGAAAATTGGGACATACATGTGACTGACTATTAAGCAATCAACCATCAGACTCTTATTTTTCTCTGGAAGGATGATGCTGGCCACTGCGTTTTACCCTACGACGGGAATGGTTTGAGCTAACACCACTTCTGTTGGACGGCTTGACCTTGGTGCTGACAGGTTTTTTTTCAAATAACAAAACAAAACATTTATTTATTTCGCCTTAAAAAGAAAAACAAATGCACAATGTACCGGCCAGCTCGTAGAGTAATTAAATAGAAGGAACACTAACCCGAAAATGGCAGAGAAAACTTTGAAAAGAACTAAGATTGGAAAAGCCAGCACAGCAGAGGCCTGCAACATTTTTTTTAAAAAAAACATGCGCAGCTGTAAACAGACAAAGATTGGGCGGAGGCTTTGAAGCATATAAGGTTGATGAAAGTAATAGCTAATGTATGGTTATAGTAAAACAATTACATACAGCAAACCATGTAAACTCCTTTGTTGCAAGAGATTTCGTGAGCTCATGTCTCTTCAGAGTCTCCTGGACAGTGCCTTGAACCTTAACAAGGCAAAATCAACGAAAAATATTGCTTACATAATTATGTTCCCGTTCTAGCTTTCAAAAAATGCCCAATCAGACAATAGAAAAACCATACATGCACTACAGCAATAACAATGTCACACTGCTTTTTGGCACTTCATGTCCCGTCTTTAATCAGTTAATTGTATAATTGTGAAATGTGCATCTCATGTCGCGAGCTATGTTGCACGGAAACTCCATATAGGCTGCCGTACCCGTTTCGGACACCTTGGACACGCCACGGACACGCCTGGAGACGTCTCGGAAACTCCACGTGGCGTTTCTGTAATTTTAATTTTTAAAAAAGAGAAAAAAACGCCAAGGAAACGGCTGGGACACGCGTGTCACTTTTGGGAAACGGCAGGGACACCTCTTTTGAAAAAATGGGGTTCTTTTTATAAATTTTAAAAGTTTTGGAACTGACTCAAATTATAAAAAGTATTATCTGGCCCTAAATCTTCATCGCTCCTCTATGTTGCGCGGCTATCATATTCATCGACAATAGACAGCGGCCCTTGAAGAAGCTTTACGCAGCTGGTTGGCCAACTACTCGCCGACAAAGGGCGCGACATCAGGTGAAGTGTTCTCTCCAAATAAGCTTCTCGCCGACAAAGGGAGAAGCTTACTCCGCTGGTCAGTGACTTCTGGATTTTATGTTATGTATTTTGAACTTATTTATGCTTTAATATGTTTTGTAATGACTAAATTATGCTATCTCTTTTGAACTTATACTTTAATATGTTTTGTAATGACTAAATTATGATATGTCTTGTGAACTTATACTTTAATATGTTTTGTAATGACTAAAATATGTTATGTATTGTGAATTTGTTTACATAATTTTATTTATATATATATATATAATTTTTATACATAAATTTGGCGTTTCCCCGGCGTTTCGTCTCCACATTTTTTCAAAATAGCCGTTTCGGCGTGTCCGTTTCGTTTCGTCTCCGTCCCCGTTTCCGTTTCAGAGCTACATAGGTCGCGAGTCCGGTTGCAGTGATATTGATCTTTGCTTTTATTTATTTTTTATCTAGTTTCTTTATGACTTTTAGTAATCAATTCAAATCTCTTTAATCTGAAATTGGGGCTATTTTATTTTATTGGGCTCTCTTTTCAGGTTCTTGTGTACTTCATCCATCCATAACCTTCTTACTCATTTGAAATTTTAATATTCTATTTTATATATATATATATATATATTATAAAAGTATTATACCTCAAAACTGTATTTCAAGATGAATCTATTGATATTAAATCTATATGACAATTCAATGTATTTTTTCTGTAATTTATGGTCACAGCTTAAAAAGTTTGACCAAAAAAGTTAAATTGGAAAAGAAATTTATGGGCAGAGGGAGTACTAGGTTAGTCTCCTTTTTAGATGTTTTGTAAGGCTTGTAACCGCTCGTGGGTTTGTTTGTTGAAAGGATTTTGATTTTATTTATAAATATATAGGTGATGATGACAACATGCTCTTCAAACATCAAACTGCAGCACTCATGGTCTTAAACTCCACTTTTAAAGGGTAGTTTGGGATGTCTAGGGTCATTCTCTTATTTATGTTATGTATGACTTGTAAATGTTGTTTAGGTCTTTTATAAATAGACTCTTTCTATTTTTTTTAATAAATTACACATTTAGGCTCCTATTTTATTTTTCTGAACCACTATTTGGGAGATATGAAGTATACTACGAAAAACATCATCATGTCGCTCTATCTTTCAAATGGCCCTCTGTTCCTTGTAATCAGTCAACCTAATCAAGGCATGTTCACTAATAATTCCGCTGCTCGGAATTCAACAGTCTGTTTCCTATAATTAATTAATTAACTAATTGGTGTTGCTATCATCATCAGTTTTCTATAATTAATTATGAAGCTAATTAATTATTATTGTTATTATTATTTACTGGTTTAGTGTTAATATTATTATTAGCTTCCTATTATTAGGAGTATTAACATCAGTTTTGCAAGAAAAGTTAACAGGAGCCGGAGAAGGATCTAGAAAAGGTTAAATTGGAACAAAATAAAAACAGATTCAAGTCTTCTATCATTCATTATATCACTCAAATTCAGGTTCATATAACCAAAATCCAAAGGGATGGCCAGAAATGAACACTTTCGAATAGTTAGGTACCAAAACTGGTTGAGTGGAAGGGGCAATCCACTAAAATATTTTAGTTGAAAGACCAAAAGAGGGATATGCTCTTATGCTGAATTAAAGAAAAAGAACATAAAAGTCCCTTCAGTTAAAACTATTAGTAGCATTACTTGCTAAATGCTAACTACGGAGTACGGAGTACCATTTTCCACTTAATATGGACTACTGAGATCCAAAAAGAAAGGTGCTTCATATACCTGGTTGTGGTATGTGGTGGCAGACTTCAGGAATTTTCCATAAGCATGAATTGCCTTTTTTGTATAAGGTTTTACAGCTAGACGTGCCTTTTCCACATGAGGTCTTGTTGTAGTAGCTACTTGGTCAATATATGGCTTGCTGAATTTACGAATTTCCTGTTGACATTAAAATACAAGACATTTAACATAGATCAAGATTAGGAAAAAAATTACATTAGAATAACCATATTTTGAGCACAAGTCTGATACCTGAAAGTAAGGGTCTGCAATTTCCTGTACCTTGAGTACATGTGGCATAACTGAATTCTTGGATGTTGCATACATTTCAAAAGTTTTTGCCTTAAGTGTGTGAAGGTGTGGTTCAACATATGCGATAAATAAAAGCATCTGCTCTTTCACAGGAGGAACCCATTTCTTCATAAAAGAGGCAAAACATCAGCATTGGGTTAAAAAGATCCGTGATGCTACGATATGGATTCAATGAACATATGCATTATAGAATGCAAACTAATTAATAATGAAACATTTTGCACAGATACTTGTTTTATTCTAAGCATAAAACAATAGGTAAAAATAACAAAATTCTGTTTATACTTACCAAAATCAATTATGAGTCGCTCATAATGTTTGAATTCAAAATAACTGATTGCCTAAGTAGTAACTTGCTCTATATGTAAAAAATACTTTAGCATATGTTCTTAAAATTATAGTCACTGCTTATATGACACTGGCTTACACTTTTTATTGTTTCCACATGAGGTGCAGCCCATGCTTCAGTCTGAGCCTTTGTCTCAAGGGCCTAAAAAGTAAAAAGGATTCATGAAGGATAAAGAGGGTATAGTTACTTAGAACTTAGAAGAGTGATGAACCAATGATATGTTTTGCTAGGAAACTGATAACAGAAACTTACCTTTTCAAGCATTACATTCATGGCAGGTTTTACATGCTCCTGCCAGTGTTTCTCCCAAATCGCCTGCAAGTTGACAATTTAGTCAAAGATCCAAATGGAAGTAAAAATTCTCATAAATATAGATCCCTACAGAACTAAAAAAATTACTCAAGACTACCTAAAATTTACCTGATAGTTTTTTAAATGAACTGCAAGCCAAGATGGAAGCCATGCACCTTGAATCTGATCCAAAGAATAATCACATTAGCCCACACAGGACATCAACCTTGGTTACTTATTTCTTTATAAGGATGACACCTTTGGGTGAGAAGAAACAAAGCTCGCCATTCAGAACTATAATGCTCGCTAACCTATATCACAAAACTCACCATGCCATAATGGAAAACAGGTAGAAGCATTTGTAGGTTGTGGGCTAGAATTGTAGACTTGTAAGGTAGGCCTTGGTGGGAGGGATTTTGTGTGCAGGGCCCTTCAGATAGTCTTAGTGGGTTTTGCATGGTTTAGTTGTTCCTCTCTTTCTGTTGATTTTCACTTGATGAACTGTACTAACCTGTGTTTTTTCTTGTGCTTGAGTGGGGGCCTCTAGGAAACAATGTCTCTACTTGTTGTACTTATCCCTAAGAAGGTTTAGAAAAATATAATTCATTTGGTTTCCAAATGCCTTTACAAAGCTTTTGTTGGATCAGAACTCTGTATATTTGTTAATCCATTGGCATAATAATGTCTGGCAGTTTGCTATATAATTTTGAACCAAAGTTTTAAGGATTGTTTGGCGAGTTCTGAAAGGTTGATATGATGTGTTCTGAAAGAAATGATGTGGATTCCGAAATCTAAAAATGAAAGCATTTGAAGAGATCTAAAATGATTATTGCTGGTGATAGGCGAGGGCGGTCGGCAACAGCAGGGAGGAAATCATCCTTTGAGTATTTAATGTTTTTGAGAATGACATCATAATCATAATTCATAACCAACAAGTTATTAGCAGGAATTAACTGGTTTGGACAGAATGTATCTGTTTCACGATTAAATTGTTTATGCTTTTTTAAAAAGTGTATTCAGGATGCATGTTAAGATTAATTTAGTCCGAAAACACAAAATTCCTAATAATATCATAATGGTCATTTAAGGAAGATCTGACTGGACAATGGGGAACAGAAACTCCAGGATGAATTAAGCCAAATTAAAATAAAATTCACAAGTCTCCGAAGTCCAGAAAGGATTCAACAAAGTAATTTTATCCTTCTAAAACTAATAAAGATTTACAGAATTTGCCTTTAAGATAGGCATTGTCATTTTCAAAATTAATATTAAAATAGAGTACAACATGAATATTACGCTAACAGATGAGACAACAAGCATTACCTTCACTAGCTCTTTTGCTTTTATGGTGGCATCAAAACGTGCTCTCATCATTTCCTCCTATAAATTCAATTGGGAAATGGAAACTCAAGTCACTTATCTTAAACTCTCACTGGGCTTGGGATGTTTTACACCGCATACCTCAGCAACTTGAAGAGCGCGCTCAGTTTTTTGCAATTTTGCCTTCTGCTCCTCGATGGTCTTCTGAAGCTGCATATAGAGAAATAAAAAAACCAGAAGCACATAACAAGAAAGGTCAAACTTCAAAATTTAAAATTTTCAATCACTCATTAACAGAGTTGCAAAAATATTATTTTTATAGTGCATATTTGCATAATGGTTGTTAAAGAGCATCCCACATCGGAAAAAGTGTGAGAAAAATAATCGGTATATAAGCTCTAGAGTTGCACCATACAACATAGTTGGTCTTACTACGGACCGATGGAACTTACCTGTTATCTTCGCTGAAATCTTGACCCCTAAAGCCTCCACTATAGAACGTAGTGTACAAGAAATAAATTTATAAATTTTGGGTAGAGGAGTAATTTTTAAATATAAATTGTGTCATTAGTTAAATTGCTTCATTATTTTATTGACATTGATTAATAATAATCATTATTATTAATAATAAAATTTTTACTAATAATAATTGAAAAATGCATGATAATGATCTTTCATAGCTTAAAGGAATTGGAAGGAATTGGAAAATGGAGAGAGTTGGAAAAAATTAGAACAAAAGAGTTGGAAGAAACTAGAACAAGTTGAAAGAAATTGGAAAGAGTTGGATGAAAGTGGGAAGAGATGGAAGAAATTGAAAGGAGTTAAAAGTTAAGAATTCAAACCCAAAAGAAAAGAGTAAACAAAAAAAATAAATAAACAAAAAAGTACTATTATGAAATAGGGAGTATGTTAGGAAGAGATCAGATCTATAATATTCAACAAATTTGCACTGTTATTTAAACAAAACTAATTGCAAATAAAATTATCTTACTTTCATAATTTTTGAATTTGATTCCGTCTGTTGTTTTTCTGCTAAAATTCTCTGGGCTTCAAGCTCTTTATTCTTCTCATTCTTTAACTCAATTTCATTTCGGATGCTCTCAGCCTGTTTCTCTAATAGGTCAGCACGTGCCTGTGCTTTTCCAACCTGCTCTCGAGCATCCAACGACCCCTTTTTCTGTGACAATATAAACGCCAAAGCAAAGCATGTTACAGAAAGGAATGTGGGAGAATGCAAAGTACAAGAAAAATGTTTGCATTATTACAAATGGCTTACCTGCAGAGAAGAAATTTCAGATTGCAATGATGCAATTCTATCAGATTTCACTTTTATAATGTTATCCCTCTCAGCAATCACTAGATCCTTTGCACTCAGTTCTTGAACCTTCTCCTCAACATATGATTCTTCATGTGGAATTCATTTAAAAAATCTAAATGGTTTATTACAATCTTATTTGCAATAATGACATAAGAGGAAAAAGGCAAGCATATTAACATCTCCCTAGCATTGAGGAAAAAAGCATGACAAAGAGCACTTTATACTGTAGATATCTACAAAGCATAATCCAATGATATGAACAATTGTCCAATAAAACTCACGTAATAAACTTAGCATCAAATGCCAAATGCATGATTTATGAATTACTTTGGCATAGAATTGCACAAAGAAACCCATAAGCATGCAGAGTAATGATAACATATGTCTAAACTGATTCTTTTGGATTTAATGTCAACTTGAAGATACAATCCTCAGGTATGAAATGTGCACTATGTTGCACCAAATCACTAATTAGATTCAAGCATTAAGTTCCCAGGAAAAGAGCATCCCCTTGCATTCTTTAGAAAGATATTGAGTAGGGGAATTATGAAAAAATGATGGGACATCGCATTGTATTCTTGAGTAAAAAGTAGGCCAATCAACATTTGAAGCTTCATGCATAGTAGTGTATAAGAAGGAACCCACAGAAGGCCCCAAGAAAAGGATTTAATTTACTGCTTTTATTTTATGTACCAATTACCATGGAAGAAAAGAAGTTGGCAATACCATTTAGGTTTAAATATTTCATAGTGGCATTCATACTACCATTGGGCATTGGCAGAACAAGGGGGTGAAGCTCCCTAAATTTAAGATGAGCAAGAACGCTTCATGCAGAGAAAAAAAATATTTTACTGGGGTTGGGTGGCAAGGGACCAGATCCCTCCTCCCATTCCCTCACCCACATTTTAATACATCTTCCAAGTCTTGGGGTATTCAAATATATTTTTCACAACAATTTTCCATCTTGAGTCCAAATTAGGGTGGATTTCATGCAATCATAGACAAAAGTTATGGCAAAAACCCATTATCAAATCCAACCCCACAACATTGAGAATGTCAAAATTGTTGCGAAAGATGATAATGCACCAACGGTCCGCCACCATTTCCATCATGTCTTCCCCAATATCCACCACCATCACCGCACCCCATATCCAAGTAACAACTAACAACAATCATGAGATTGTGAAACTTGCCAACGCACCACCACAAACATTCCCTTAGATTTAGGAACCCCATTACGTTTAGAAAATTCACATACCTGTAATGGAATCCTTTGAAACCCAGAATAAAAGAGCAAGGCTCTGTTTGGTACACAGAATTCAAACTGTAGAATTGGAATTATGGACAACAGTTCCAATTCTGTTGTTTGGTAGCACAAAAATATGTGGATTTGGAATTGGTAGTGCCAGAAATGAATTAAAATTGGAGAATTCAATTCCATCTAAATCAATTCCATAGAATTTCAACCCCCAATTCAATTTAGATTCCGTCAATTCCGTATATCAAACGGACCCTAAGAGTCTTTAGTGTGGTGGATAACTTCCATTTCTTCCAGCTATTTCTAAAGACTTGAAAACTAATCCGTTGAATTCTTGATTGGAAATACAAATATTCATCACAGACTAAAGAGGTTAGTTGGAATAAAGCCTCATTATATCGTTTCATGAAAGCCTACATCGAAGTACCTCAGCAATATGTTCGATTCTTATGAATAAATAATATTTATAAAAAAAAGGAAGAGCAGCTCTTAAAAGATACCATAGCAACACAACTAAACCAGACACTAGATAAAAAGAAAAATTATCAAAAAAAAAGTATTCAACGAATCATATACATAAAACTCAAGAAAAATTGGCGTATAAGAGATCGTGAACTAACCCAAAGTAAGGATCTTAGACTTGAGGCTTTCCAATTCGGTGGAAAAATCCTGACAATCGGATCTGACGAAATCAACATTAGTATCCGCGCCGACGTCTGCTCTGATCCGAGTGCAAATTAGGGCCAGAAGAATGACGAGGGCGAAGATCGGTCCACGCCATTCCAAACGGCCAACCGTCGCCGCCATACTAAAACGACGACTCCAAAGCTCCTGCAATCTGGTATTCTGATAACCTGAACTTCTTACTTAATTTGGGGAATGCGAGCGATTGTGTTCATCAAAGCTTCTGGGGGAAAGAAGCTAGCTTGAGCATTGAACCCAGCATCTACTCTCATTAAATACTCCGTCCGTCTATATGACTTGACTTTTTTGAATGATTTTTTTAATCAAGATCCTTTACTTGGAAAAAAATATTATCTTCTTTATTTATTTTGATTTTTTCAAGTCAAATTGATCAAGTTTTGAGTTTAAATTATTTTGAATTCGTATTACATATATACTTGGTAAAATTTAGAAATTTCTCAACCAGAGAAATCTAAAAAAATCATTTTATACAGATATACATTATGATTTTTATTTAAATGAAATTTAAAATTCATTCAATTTGACTCGAAAAAAGTCAAATGAAACAAATACACTGAAACGAAGAGAGTTTCAAAAAATTACTCCCAGCCCAAAGGTTTTTTTAATATATACTGTATATACTTTTTTGTTAAAAAATTTAAAAACTTAATTTTTAACATAGTTATTACGGTAATTAATTACAATACTATAATTTTGTTGTGTGTATTACTATAATATTAGTTGTTATTTTAAATAAATACTTTATACGGAGTATAATATAACTTGTCAGAGATAAGACTCATTTTTCGTCATGTTTAGGCCCTCAAATTCTCGGAATGGATCTCTCCATTCCGAATTGGATCGTAGTAGGTATTTCTCTCTAATTATAAGTTGATCACAACTGTTTATAAGTAGTATTAACTTATTAGTCAGCTGATTATATTTTTTGATAAGTTGACTTATAAGCTCCATATAAGTCAAAAAAATAAGTATGTCTTAATTACTCATTTTTAAGCTAGTTTTTTTGTTTCTCCATTTTGACCAGATTATTTACAAAACTGTTACTCACTATTTATAAATGACTTATTTATTGTTTAAAACTGCTTATCAGTAATAAATCAATAAGTACCAATACAAAGAAACACCCTCATAATCTCCCGTTTAAGAGGTAAACCCCTACTTTTTTAAAATAAATTTATTTAAAAGTTAAAATATATGAATAATTAATAAAATTTACAAATTAAAAAAAAACTAATTGAAAGTTTTACGGAATATAAAACAAGAAGTGATAAGAATATTTTATTTAATCAAACTATCAATAAAAATACACAAACAAAAAAAATTAATTCCAACAAATTGTAATGCATTTCGGGGAGGGGAGAGAATTTCTAAAGAGAAAAATATTTAGAAGTTAGACCCGTATTTTCTACATGGAAGAATGTTCTTGTCTCGGGTAGGGGAAGAGGTTTAATTAATGTGAGTGCTCCACGCGATTCCTACATATGCAATGTCACTTTTCGTATTGCCTAAGGCTCTTTGCACAGATTTGGAGAGAATGATGGCTAAGCTTTAATTTGGTGGAGTAAGGATAAACATTTTTCCCACAGCATCCATTGGATGAATTGAGAGAGGTGAGGTCGTCATCCTTGCTTAGTTGCTTACTCTAGGGGTCTTAATTTCAAGAGGATTAGGAAGTTCAATTTGGCCATGTTAGGAAAGATGGCATGTAAGTTCATGTCTCACCGAGATCTCTTAGTCTTTAGAATTTTCAAGGTAAAATACTTTTGTGATTGTAACTTTCTGTATGCAAGGGAGATCAAATTTTAGCTTTGTTTGATGGAGCTTTTTCGAGACTAAAGATTTGATTCAAAGGGGCACACGATGGAAAGTGGGATCGGGCACTAGGATTCGTATTTGGGGAGATCCCTAGCTCGGTGATGTAGAGTGTATTATTATTGATTATTTGATTCAATAAGTGTAACACTCCAACCTGCATATCCTGAACCAACGAGTTAGCGAGTCGGGTTGCTACTAATTTAGTATTCACATGCACAATATTTTAAAAACATTTAAAAATAAAACATTCATTCATATTTATTTAAGAACAACTTAGTTTAATCGGAGTAAACAAAATCAAACGTTGTGGAAGCCTTGGAAAACAACATTCAACATTCTAGTAATTTAAATAAACAAATTCAACAAACTATATTTAATTTAAATAAAATAGCTTCGGCCATCCACCAGCGTCACGCTTCACTGGCTGCTCCTCATCCAATCCTAGGTTGGGTAGTGATTAGTTTTGCTTGGAGTTGCTGGGTGTTATAAAAGAGATTCTTACTGATTCTACATCACTACATAAACAACAAATTATGTTTGATTTCTTTGGGATCCTTTTTTGATTCATTCGTTCTCTGTTGGTTGACCCAATTTCGACCGAAAAGCTGACACGCAGGGCCTCCAAATGGTATCCTCCTTCCCATCATCCATCAGAGCTATTCCCCTCGCACACAAATCGCTTCTGATCTCATCACTTTTTGAGAACTCTTTCTTCTTCCTTGCCTCAGCTCGTTCCTTTATTTTTTGCAGAACTTCATCCTCACTCATACCTGCCCTCTTCAATGCCTTGTCTTTTAGTTGCTGCAAAACCTGTCCGATCAAACAAAAGAATCATGCACATATTCATGAGTTACTTATAAAAACCGAAGAACGCACACCAACAGCCTATAAGAAGAAGAAGAAGAAGACCTCGGGATATGGCGAATCAGACAGCAATCCTAGAACCATCAACACTCTCCTAACTCCCTTCTCCATTTCAGTCAGATAATGCAGAGTTAGCTCCTGTTTCTGCTTCTGTACCTTCTTCTGGAATGGTGAAAAAAAATAAAAATAAGGTTTGGTTAGTCCTGAATCATGAAGATAGTCCCGGACCATTGGAGGAAATCCATACCTTGAGGAGGCTGATGGAAGAGTTCATGGATCTCAGACCTTCTTGAAGAGTGGCATTTAAAATAGTGGGGGTATGCAGATCATCAGACAATCTTTTCTCAAAATCATCATTTAACTTATTGATACTCTCTAGTCCATCAGCACTGAAACGAGGTTTTGCACTGTTGGCTTCAATCCCTTCTCCAACAGCTCTCACAGCATCACGGCAGTCTTGTAAGGTCTAACCCCACCAAAAAAAGAAAAAGAAGAAGAAGAAGAGGATTTACCTGATATGTGTACCATAAACAAATTGAGAAAGACCACATTTTGACATAAATTCAATGACAGATTTACCTGATATATGTAGAAAGCAGCTTCTGATGCAATTTCCATCTGTGGCTCTGAGTAGTTTACTGGAGAACGGTAGTGAGTCCCCAATAAGAAGTACCTCAATGCAAGTGGATGATACAATTCAGTAACCTACGACACAAATGAATCAAAACTGACTGAATCAGACAAAATTTGATAAATGACAGAAGCAAGATTTCCCAGCAGTAAAGCACCTCTCGGATAGTGACGAACTTCGACGATTTTGACATCTTTGAAGTACTTCCAGGTGTTCCGATGACGACAAATCCATTATGAACCCAGTAAGTAATTTCACTCTCTGGGCAAGCTGCACAACTTTGGGCTATCTCATTCTCATGATGAGGGAATTCCAAGTCCATCCCACCACCATGAATATCAAATTTATGACTCAAATACTCAGCACTCATAGCAGAGCATTCTATATGCCATCCAGGTCTTCCAGGACCCCATGGGCTCTCCCAACTAGGTTCGCCGGGTTTTTTGGCCTGATGAGAAAAAGACACACAATAAGTGATTCTTTGCAGGTTCCAATAAAGATAAGACAGCGCCTATCAGTAATCTAAAAAAGATTCTTTTAACCTTCCACAAAGCAAAGTCAGCAAGATTTCTCTTTCTAATATCAACCTCAACACGTTCTCCTGCTTTATTATCTCCTCCCTTCCGTCCACTTAATCGGCCATAATTAGGGAATTTTTCAACGGAGAAGTAAACATCCCCGTCAAGCATATATGCACAACCATTTTCAATGATCTGCAAATGGTCGTGTCAGCCTATGAATAGAATACTGAAAACAAGTGAAGGAAGAATTGTACTAAATGATGTAGCTTGGCAGAGAATTTTACAAACTGCACACAATTCTGACTTTGACTACACAAATCTTAAATCATGATCAGATGAAAACCAAATGTAGAACTGCCAATAGTACTTCACCTAATTTGAATCTCATATACATATACAATTGAAAAAGAAACGGGACAATTGCACACATCGACCAATGGAAAATTCAAACATTAAAATTAAAAGTAATTGGGATACCCGAGCAATCATTTTCTTGATTTGCTCCATATGGTCAGAAACCCGCGGTTCAATAGTTGGACTGCGGCACTGAAGATCTTTCATGTCCTTATGAAACTCTTCGCAGTACCGAGCACTCAAAGCTATCGGATCCAGCTTGAGGTTATTTGCTCGATTGATAATCTGAAAACATAGAGATACAAGTTAAAGCCTTCAGTAATGATGCATCTCTCTCTCTCTCTCTCTCTCTCTCTCTCTCTCTCTCTCAGAATAAAAACTAAACCAAGCAAGAGGCTTTCTTGTATTTTAACAATTGAAATCATATGAATATCAAGGTTTCATCAAACAGAAAAAGCACTTCCTCACCTTGTCATCAATATCAGTGAAGTTGCGCACATAAGTAACCTCATAACCAAGATGTTCCAAGTACCTGTAAGACACTGATAGAAGTTACTGCTAGGCCCGTCATATTCAGAACGAGAACAACTTCAAAGCTAAGAAGAAAACAGGCCTAATTGCAGCAGTGTGCTACAAAGGTACTTAAGACACCCAAAAAGTTGCATACACCACATAACTTTTTACACCATAATTGCAGCAGTGTGCACAAAGAGAGGATAGAACTCAGAATACTAATCATGTCCATGAAGAAATCATATCTCAAAACCTAAACTAGAAATAACAAGAAGCTCCAACACCCAGAAAGGACTTGAAAAAAACAGATAAAAATTCATTCTCCAAGCATCCACATAACCCCCCCCCCCAAATTTTAAAAAACAAAGTGACGGGTTAGATAAGAAGTTATTCACGAAGTCCAATTCAACAAGGCAAAACACATAAAGTCAAGAAATTCCAAATTTTTCCAGCGATCAAGATGACTAAAAACATATTAAATTTGCTATTATACACAACACAAAACTAGCGTGCATTATACATGGAAACATACGGAAACACAAGACGAGAGAAAGATATATGGACGTGGAAACTGGAAACGTACATACCTGAATAAGACATCAAAGGCAACATAGGCACGAGCATGACCGATGTGGCTAAGGTCATATGGAGTAATACCACAGACATACATGCCCACTTTGCCTGGACTCATTGGTTTGAATGTTTGTTTTTGCTTCGCCAAGGTATTATACAATAGAAGCTCCGGCGGCTTCTTTGTTTTCTCCATTCTTGCCTCCTTTTCTTCTACACTCCTGCAAAATATATAAAATTGATTCTCAATTGTCAATGCAAATATTTAGGTTTTAACCCTACCTTTTGGGGTGTATATACGGAGTAGTGAAAATTTTCAAAATAATCCTACATTTAACCGGGCTTCTAAAAATAATCCCACCTTTCGCTCTGATGCATAATAAGCCTAACAGCCCTAACTTGCTCACTAGCAATGCGTTTTGGGCCTCCGTCTAAACACAAACTTTACCCTAGCAGGACTGTGAGTCTGTGATGTGGCTTATACACAGTGGATAATCAAGGTGCCATGTAATTACCCGTACTGAAACGCTGGCAAAATACAAATTAGACACAGAAACCCCTAATTGGAGTACTATCAAAGGTAGAGGTTAGTAGACTGTGGATAGTCACAAATCCACAATCCGAAGGTAAGGTCCAAAATGCAGAAGAAAGAGGGTTTCTTTCGCGGTGCACAGAGGAATATTTTCTCCATTGAAGGTGAAATCTGACTTGTGCTTTTAATCAGACTCGTGTAATAATTTTTGCAGGTAACAACAAGCAAGAGTATATCTGAACTACTCGATGGGATATACAGCCAAAGAATCAGCATCCGCGAAAGGCAAAATGTGTTGCAAAAGATGCAAATCATATACAGAGTTTAATTCAAAGTGCCTCGGGCAGAGAAGAACTTCATGAGGCCTTTCTATGTGTGTGTCAAGTGCAGCCAGTTTTTGTGATGGGCTGATGCTGTGGAGCGAAGCGCAGATACAAGAATAGAGCCATTTGGTCAAAGCATAACCCGAGGTTCTCTCATGGGACCAACATGGGATGAGGCAAGTGAAGTGCGCAATGAGAACAATGATCTGAAGGCAGATGTGATTCAATTGAAGGATCTGGTGGCTGTTTTGCTGAAAGAAGTATCAGAACTACAACATGAAATCAAATCTATGCTCCAAAAGAATGAAGAATAGTTGAAGATTGAAGTTCTCATGACTGTGTTAAACTTATTTGTCTCTATTGCTGTGTTGGCAGTGATAAAACTAGCTTGAGGTTTGTATTTGGTTGTATTGTTGTGCACTGTGAAGTGTATGGTTCTGGCAGTGTTGTTGTATGGAATAATCAATGAGTCATTTTGGTCCAGTGAAGTATACTGTTTCATTAGAGCTGTTTTTTTCTTCCTTTGTTTGAGGATGTTTCTGCAGCCATGGTTGATTGTAGTGTGCACTGCTCTTGAATTTCACTTCTCATGGTCTTGGTGGGAAATCTATTAAAACTTGTTGTTTTAGGTAAAAGTTCTAACCTAAAATTGACTAGTACTTCCCAACATTGGAAGACAAGAGTGTGTCCACACAGAACATGCAATGCACAAATTAAGCTAATTCTACAACTTTGTTACTAATTCTACAAATACTCTTGTACATTATGCATGTCAAGTTCTATGGAATGCAACACTTTGCAATACTTCATAGAGACCATGACCTGTTGTATCATTCACAACCAAGAACACCAAAAAAAATCCTTTTACTTTTGGTGGGAAAATAGAGACATCAACACATCTTAATATTAGGGACATTTGTTCTTGGTGGCTCACACCAGGAGTACAATTTAATATCACAGAAAAATGTTTTGCATCTTTAATTTCCTTTATGATATTTGCCTTAATTGAAAAAGCAAGCACATGTATCAATTCATTTTGAATTTTGTGGCCAAGATAATGTTGATGAATCTCATTGTTATCTATGTGCTGGACATGTTCTTGAATGATAGGGCCAAACTCAGCCAACATCTCGATGAGTCCCAAAATATTTCCATTGCTATATTCTTACAACCTTTCATTTTCCCACGAAAAAGCTAAATTATCTTTTGAGAGAAACTTGACCACAACAATTACTATAAAAATTACCTTCCTCCAATGCTCTTTATGCTTCAAAAATTGTTCATGAGAAATTTGATATTCATCAAGTGGTCTGCACTAATTTCATGGTCTCAAAGTCTAGCAGTGAGGTGTCCCCAATAATTGAACTCTTCATTTACTAAAACACTTTTTACAACCCCTTTCCGAAAAATCTTTCAAAAAAAAAACACATTGTGAAGCTCTTTAGAATAGATGAGCCACAGGCAATAACATTTTTCCCCTCGCAATTCTCTCGTGTAACTTGTTAAAGAAAATTTGCTCCCAAATTTATCCTTAGGACCATTTACTAGAGACAAAACTCTTTTTGAGCCATTTCTAAACAAACTACCAATCAAGAAAGAATCAAAAGCATCCCAACTTCTTGGATCACATATATCTATCAAAATAGATTTGTTGGAATTCTCGATATCAAAGAGTGAATCCATTTCAATATTTTCAACATCAACATCTTCAATTTGATCCGTCTTATCTAAACCTTCAACAGCATTGACATCACACCCATCTTCTAAAGCAACATCATCATTTTTGCTCGAATTTACATGCTAGGTTCTTGTTCACTCTCATTGGATTCTTTTAAAATAAATATATCTAGTGCTCCTCGGGATAATATTCCGATCATATACAATTAGAGAATCCTAAATCCTTAAACGGCTAAATCAATTGGAGCAATTAGCAATAAAATTTTTAAAAGAGAAAAAAGCTAAAATAAAAAAAAATCTGATTTTTTTATCAAATTACAATTCATTAGTCATTATAAGTAAAAATCAAAAAATAAATTTCATAGAAGAAGAAATTGCAAATCAGACAATTAAAATCAAAAAGACAAATAAAATCAATAAACCATACACTCAAACCTGAAGACTTAAGAGACCACTGGAGTGCCGTACGTCGCCGACGCGGAGGGCGAGGGCGGCGTGGCGGTAAGTCGGGCGGCGGGCGGCAGTAACGGCAGTTTGCGTTCCCTCTTAACGCACGCAGAACGGCAGAAGTATAAATAATTTGAAACACCTTATTTTCGAAAATCACTCTTTTAAAATTTATTTCATTCCCTTACTTTTTTTTTAAACCCTATGATTCTTTAGGGCCTGTTTGGTTGGGAGAGATGGAGGGAAAAGAATGAATGGGAGGAAATGAGAAGGATTTCCTTCACCTTGTTTGGTTAGAAAGGGAAGGAAAGATTTTTTTTTTAAATTTTTTAAATTTTATATTTTTCATATTTTTTTAAGTGTAAATTTTCAAAATAGTCCTTTAAAATAAAAGGTTTTCCCAAATTAGTCCTCAATAAGTTTTAATTACCTACGTGATCCTCTATAATTGAGATTTATTCCCAAAATAGTCCTTTGTAATAAGGTATTTTCTCAAATCAGTCCTCAATAAGTTTTAATTACCTACGTGGTCCTCTATAATTGAGATTCATTCCCAAGATGGTCTTTCGTAAATAATATTACTCAAATGAGGAATAGTTAAGGGTATTTTTTATTCACTAAATTTAGAATTAATTCTTAAAATGATCATTTATAAAAAAGTGTTTTCCCAAAATGGTTTTTCTAATTAAAAATGTGTATTTGATTTCAAATTTAAAAGCATTTTTTAAGTTTTAAATAAACCATAAATTATTTATACTTAATGTATTTTTTAAAGTTACATTTAGTTATACAGAAATGATTGTTTTGAAAAAATACTTTAAATTTGGATTATCAAAATACCAAAATATCTCCCAAATTTTGATTTGGGAAAACACCTTATTACAAATGACCATTTTCAGAAATTACTCATAAATAATTTATGAATTATTTAAAACTTAAAAAATCTTTTAAATTTCAAATCAAATACACATCTTTAATTAGAAAAACCATTTTGGGAAAGCACTTCATTATAAATGATTATTTTAAGAATTAATTCTAAATTTAGCAGAGAAAATATTCTCTCAATTAATCCCCATTTGAGTAACATTATTTATGAAGGACCATCTTGGAAAAAATATCAATTATAGAGGACCACATAGGTAATTAAAACTTATTGAGTACTGATTTGGGAAAACACCTTATTATAAAGGACTATTTTGGAAATAAACCTCAATTATAGAGGACCACGTAGGTAATTAAAACTTATTGAGAACTAATTTAGGAAAATCCCTTATTACAAAAGACTATTTTGGGAATTTACTCTTTTTTTAAAATATATTTTTCTAACGGTATTACCAGTATTTTTTATTTTAATTTTAATGTTTTTAATTTTTAATTTTTAATTTAACTTTTTAGTTTTTTATCAATTTACTATTATATATATTATTTTTTATTTTTTATTTATTACTACGTGTGGTCCAACTTAGCAGTAGTAGTTGTTATTGTTATTACTTTGATTTTTTATTGATTTATTTATTTTATTATTATAAATATTTATTTTTTTTAATTATTATTGCTAATTTTATAATGTATATTTATTTATTTTCTTATTATTATTTCTGTTCATTTTATTACTCATATTTTATTATTTTTAGTTTCTATTTTAATTTTTAAAAATTTAATATTTACTTATTTATTTTTATTATTTATTTTATTATTATACATTTTTATTATTAAATTTTGTTTGTTGTTTTATAATGATTTTTTTCTACTTATTTATTTGTTTTGTTTTTATTTAATTATTTCTTCATGTATTTTGTTTTGTTATTTTTATTTTATTGTATTTTATATTATTTTTTTGATGGCAAGGTGATAAAAAACTGACAGAAGAAAAAGAGAAAGACGTGGAGGAAGGAGATTAAGTCTGATTTCGAAGATTTGGTTTGGAAAAAAAATAAGACCATTGCGCATTATCATTACAATTTTGTTCCAAAAAATAATTTTATACATTAAAAATGAATACTTAGAAGAAAAAATAATTATAACTTTATTTTTTTAACATTATATTTCATTTTATAGTATATAATTTTAAAAAACCTTTACATTAGTGAGTTAATCAAGTCAATTTTGATCTAATTTGACTTATTTTTAATGAGTCATTTCAAATTCAGTAGGCAAAACTTGTATTTTTTATCGGGTTTTGGATAAAAAAAAGTTTGTTCAAGTTATGTTTTATCAAATTTTTTCGTTCACATATCAAAAAAAATATTTCACCCTAGGAGTCTATGGACGCTAAAACCAGCAGTGATTCATCTTCTCATGAGCTTCGCGCGGAATGGATCCGGTATGTTCACGGAGTTCTGTATATGGGGTTCTTCCTTTTCTGAATTCAAATTCTGATCCCTTATGAAAAAACGGTTGTGTTATTTCAAGGGTTCAAGATTCCCTCAAGAGAAATCTCATCACATGGGATGTGATGAAATTTAGGATGAGGTATGGATCACTGGATTGGGCAATAAGACACTCGGGTTGAACCACATTAAAAGATTGAATCCAATCATTTGCTGGCACAGGCCACAGGCCGTTGGGTACATACTCCACACGGACAACTGGCCTAAAGACAAACGGGCCGCTAGGAATGAACGTCTAGACGGATGTGATGAAATTTAGGATGAGGTATGGATCACTGGATTGGGCAATAAGACACTCGGGTTGAACCACATTAAAAGATTGAATCCAATCATTTGCTGGCACAGGCCACAGGCCGTTGGGTACATACTCCACACGAACAACTGGCCTAAAGACAAACGGGCCGCTAGGAATGAACGTCTAGACGGACACCTTGACAAACGAGGTGGGCTAAAACAGCCTCTGATACCAGAGGAGATAAAATTTAGGATAGAGTATGGATCACTGGATTGGGCAATAAGACACTTAGGTTAAACCACATTAAAAGATTGAATCCAATCGATTAGTTAGTTCAACTCAAAAGCTTATATAGGGGATTCCAATGGAGATTGCCACCCGCACAGGACGAGGAGGAAGAAGAATCAGTGATGGGAAGCAGCAGCGGCAGCAGGAGGAGAGTAGTAGTTAGATATGTCGGCGGCGTTGACCTAAGCTTCTTAAGGAATGATCCCTCCATTGCATGTGGGGTCCTGGTTGTGCTGGATTTGCAGACCCTTCAAGTTGTCTATGAAGATTACTCCCTTGTTCGCCTGCAAATCCCTTACATTCCCGGTTTCCTGGCCTTCAGAGAGGTTTTTGTGTTTTTATGAATAATAATAATAATAATCCTAGGACCCAGTTCTTTTTATTGCATCTTCTTTGTTTCTTTTAAACTCTAGTTTAATTCTGTTTAGCACTTGCCCAAGCTAATTGATGTTGTTGGTTGTGGATTGATGCAATTTATAGGCTCCTGTCCTGCTTGGGCTTTTGCAGAAAATGAAAGCGAATTCTCATCCATTTTACCCCGAGGTGGCTGTGTGGTTTTATTTGTATACACCGAACATTCACAATTATGGTTTGTTTTGCATTGGTCTCTTCTCTCTTGCATCTTCCTTGCTTAGCTGCACTGAGCGGATGCTTCTAGACTAGAATTATTTCTCTCTTAACCCTTAGCTTTTATTCTCCTAAACCATTCATTTACGTCTACAGATACTATTGGTCGATGGCAATGGATTGCTACATCCCCAAGGTAAGTTTTATTCCTTTTGACAGACCTATGATGTAGTCATGGACCTTAACTATTATGCACTAAAGTAGTGCACGAATCATGAACTTTTTAAACAATGAAGGCAAGTTTCCATCCAAAGCTCTATATGACCCCTATTAATTGGAGGGTGGAGATTTCATACAGAAGGAGGATGTAGTGACGTGTAGACCTGTTACACACTTCATCATATATGTAGAACCTTCCTAATTATCTGAGCAAGAAAGAGTATTGGCTGTCTGGATTGTATAGAAAATAGTATTTTAAATGCTCAATAAGCTTGAATCTTATCAATGACACCTGTTCAAGTGAGGGACTTATTACAATTTCCAGAGCCACATTATTTGTGACAAATTAAGAATTAATATGTATATTCAGCCTTAAGCTTCATACGAGGTTGCAGTCTGGGGTTTCTCTGCCCCATGTATTATTAAGCATTAACAATACATCAATGTCTGTACAGGATTTGGTTTGGCGTGTCATCTTGGAGTTTTAGCCGACCTACCTACTATCGGGGTAGGAAAGAGTGTATGTATATTCCAACACCTTTTGGTTATCATTTATCAATTATAACTATCATATTTTTGCTCTTGCTAAAGGCCGCTTATTTTAATGTAAGCTCTTGATACGTCTCTTCTTAGGAGGCTGAATTTATAGATGATTGCCGAGTAGTATGGAAATCATTAGTTAAGGAATGCAAATCAATTAGATCATTATGTTCTCCCTTATTTAATAAATTCCAGATCTAATGCAAAATTAGATCCCATGTCTGTGTATCAGTATATGACTCTATCTCTAGTATTAGAAGAGCTAAAAATTATTCCCCGCCACATTGTATCTTTCCTTTCTTTGTCTGCAACTCTGCATCATCCAATATTTTTAGTTGTGATTTCAAATTATTATGGTATTTTATTCAGTTGCACCATATAGACGGTATAACCAAATCAAGAGTTAGAGAACTTGTTGAATCTGCGGAGAACTCCACCAATACTATTTTGAGTTTAAAAGGGGACTCTGGATTTGCTTGGGGAGCAGTGAGTGATCCCATCCATTATTTTAGCAAAGTTTCCTTTTCATTGTCTTTGTCGTGTGTGGTCTTGATTTTAAGAACAGAAGAGCAAAATGATATAGTAACTGATATGCAGGCAGTACGCTCTACTGACAGCTCCTCAAAGCCTATATTCATTTCAGTTGGTCACCGCATTTCACTTGACACTGCCATTACACTCGTGAGGATGACTTGCAAGTTCCGTATCCCGGAGCCCATCCGTCAGGTAAATTTACCTACTTTGACTACATTATTGTTGGGATAGTGTATTTTAGTTGAGCACTTGAGCGCTTATGTATTTACTACTACATATTTTCTTAGAAGCTTCAAGTGTTAGGCACTAAAGTGGCATTGCGTACATGATGTTCAAACAAATACTTCAATAGCTTGATTCTTTGTATCCCTTTTTTTTTAATAATCAAAAGGCTGATATAAAATCACGAAGCTACATCTGGGATCATCCAGAATTGCACCAGTAGCCGTTCAAGCATATATGTGGTAGGTAAACACTTTTTACTATTACCACTACTACTACTACTACTATGACTCACTATAACAGTAGTAGTGATAATAAAGTTGTTGGAAGTTGGAACAAGTTCTCAAATTATAGTGTTTCAAATAAAGCATGCAAAACTGAAAAGAGAAATAAATACCACAAGAACCATATTTTGAGGGTGTGGTGTAGCACTATTTCTATAACTAGCTGCAGGACTAGCAGTCTGAATCATGACTTTAAACTTGCAGGTAGATGTTGATGGGTTGGTGTTTGTGATAACTGAAAGGCCAGGAAACTTGCAAGCGCTGGCCATCTGGTTGTTCTCCTGATAGTAACTGTTAAATGCATAAGAAATGTTGCCCCGGGAGTCGAGGTCTCCACAGGATGTCCCATACCCAAGGCTGGTACAGTCCGCATGTGAGCACGCATACCCAACGCTGTCAGCTATATGAGGGTTTTCAAGACTTGCTGTGGAAGCCATGACACACCACCTTTGAGGAAGGTAATGAACATCATTTGCGGGTACTAGAACTTGGCCTGCAGAATTTGTGTGACCAAGGCTGAGATTGTATTTTGGTGTCCCGTCAAAGTTAAATAGCCCCCAGTGGCGCTCGAAGTTACCTGAGTCATAAGGTATTGAGAATAGTAATTAAAGAAAATACAGTAATCCTACTATAGGTAGTATTATTCTTCATCCGTTGTCCTCAATCTTCATTGACTAAATAACTTTTTATGTTTTACCTATAAGGCCATCTTATTAAACGGAGTAGTTACTAACTACTCCCTTTAGGTCTATTATTTCTCTATACATGCAAGCCTTATTATAACATTTGAGTCTTCAGAAATCAATGATGTTGTAAGTGAAAAATGTACTATCAATAAGAGGAATACTCTTAGTTTAATGTTCAAAAACCTGGCTTGATGCTTTTGGCATCCTCATCAATAAGGCTGAACAGGTATGCGTTTACGGGCCCTGGTCTCATAGGTGTTCCTTTTTCTCCTAAGATATGTGTCATGAATCCTTGGTTGAATCTCTGTGCATACTTCACGTTTGCGTTGATATCCCCATCCGTGGGCCACCCAATCTCCCCAACGATGATGGACATGTTTGGGAACCCGTTCTTCTGCAACGCCCAGACTAAGGTATCATGGTTTGCATCAAACACATTGGTGTATGTCTTTCCGTTGTCATTTATGGGATTGGAGTAGCCATCAAAGAAGGCATAGTCTGCCGGGAAGTTGGGGTCGTTGAAGAGGCTTATGAACGGGTATATGTTGACGGTGAAGGGCGCCCCATTGTCATTCAAGAACTTGACAATGCGCAGCATGAGGTCGCGGATGTCCTGCCTGAAGTCACCAGTGGAAGGTTTTTCAGTTGAGCTCCCGTACACGTCAGCGTTCAGAGGGATGGTCACTTTCACCTTACTGCCCAGACCGGCTTTTATCAGTGCTGCCTGCACATTCTGGAGAGCTGGGAATGTGGTTGCAAGGAAGGTCCCATTGTAGGCTGATAAAAAGGGTTCGTTTCCTACTGCAACATACCTTCCTTCATCAAATATAAAAATATCAGCCTTTCATTCATTCTTCAGCAAAAATCAACAGGGCTCTTTGGTTGGAAGAGTAATGAGATGATGATGACGATGATGGCACATACCTGATATTGACACTGTTTGAAGAGACATGAGAGGAGACATTCTTCTCCACCCATTTCTCCGCGGCAGCCACGCTGGTGGCCAGAGGGTAGAGCATGTCATTTGGGATCCCCACCATGACCTCCAGCCCCGACCCTCTCAGAGCCCTTAGAATCTCACCGTCTGCATCAAACAGCTTCACCTTCTCTATCCCGTTCTCCTTCAGCAGCTTCACCACTGTATCAGGCGGCAGGGGATGCGTCGCCTGCGTTCCCCAATTCGCCCCTACACCCTCCCCCACCCCTACTGCCATCACCCGCAACACCCAGAAAACCAAAACCCAGTTTCTCCAACCACCTCCCATAGAACAACAACCCATTTTCTTTCACTGATGATTGCTTGAAATTATGAAAATGGAATGCCTGGGTCTATATATATACAGTAGTTTGTTACACTCCATTTTCAGACACTCCAAGAGAAGAAGCTAAGGGGTACCTCACTTTTAAGCAAATTTTCTCTGCCACTGCATAGCTTAATCAATTGTTGATGAGAACAAAGGGCATGTGGCTTAAAGCAGTTCAGGTGTGACTGTCACTGAAAAGAATGTAAGCAGTGGGGAAGCGATGAGAGCTTTACACGTAAGAAAGGGGCAGTGTTCTGTTGAGAAAAGCCGAAAACCTATCATGCTAAGGAATATAATAAAACAACAATTTGTCTCGCAATATGAAAATAAAGGGGAAAAAAAAGAGGAAATGTAACTCGTAATGTTGGCAACGAAAAGAGGAGCAGGGGGGGAATAAGCTAAGCGAGCCATTCTTTTTGTTAATCCCAACTCGATTTGGAGGTAGGGTCACTGTACGCAATCATATTTTAGACTCTAATTATTTATTGAATTCAGTGTTATTACTCTTTCCGTCTCCGTCTCACAATGATCGGCAAGTGGACTCACATTAAGTATGACTACTTTTTTAGCATTAATAACTCTATTAGGATATAGTATATGTTCATATATTTTTTTCAACCCGTGAGTTATTGTTTTCATTGAGGTTCAAACTCGTGAATTCCCATTTGGAAAACGCTAATGCTGCTAGACTACAAAATCTTTGGCAGAGTGTGAATGGAACAAGGGAAGGAAAGGACTAATTTGCCCTCAGGGTTTCGGTTCAACAAGGACCACTCAAGCGAAATCTGGATGGATTTGGATCCAAAATTTGACAATTAAAGAACAAGAGCAATTATGTGTACCCTACACTCAATTCTTCATTTGTTTTTTGAGTAGAATTGGGCAACTTCCAGCCCGCAAGAGATTTGAAGCTATCATCTTACACAGGGCGGAAATCTCAACCCTCATCTCAGAGCCGCATATGGCAGGCAGTGCGGTAAGCATCTTCATTGTCGCTGCCATTGTGTCCCTCACGAAAGAGGTGCGCAGATCTGTTAAGCTTCTTCGGATGATGCAAACGACGAACTCAGACTACTCCGTAATTTAAATGGACAGATTAGGGGCAAAATAGTCCATATCACATTTTTCATTTACCATATTAAGAAAGTAGACAAATACAGTGGAACAATCTAAAAAAGAAAAGTGGACTAAAACATTGAGCAACCCGAGTGTCTTATTGCCCAATCCAGTGATCCATACCTCATCCTAAATTTCATCACATCCCATGTGATGAGATTTCTCTTGAGGGAATCTTGAACCCTTGAAATAACACAACCCTTTTTTCATAAGGGATCAGAATTTGAATTCAGAAAAGGAAGAACCCCATATACAGAACTCCGTGAACATACCGGATTCATCATCATAATTTAAAGAATTTTCTAAAATAATCCTATTTAATTGAGCATTTTTCAAATTAGTCTATTTAAAAAAAACTTAATAAACACAGACAAATATTTTTAAATTTTCTAGAATGAGAATATAATAATTAAAATAACCGATGGCACAAAACTTACCAACAGTATATTGAGTAAAAAAAGAAAGGTCATTTTTTTGTTTTCAGTTTGGTTAACTAAAATCACCAACAATAGCAACAAACATTACTGTTTATTAAGTTAATTTGTATCACACAAAAATTATTCAAAACACTAAAATTGAAGTATCCTGCCCAAAAAAACCACAAGTAAAATGAAATGAAACTTATCATTGATACAACTACAGTAGAACACGAGGAATGCGTAAGCAAGGTTGGAGAGCCAATATGCCTTGCTGGTGGTGGCGCTCGATCGCAATGGCTTTGAATACAACTGTTTTTTTCTTTTGCCACACCGGGAAAACGCTCAAGATGATAACATCCACACGGCTGCTGCCAGAGGCTACAAACCGACCCAATAGGAGCGGCCGTTACTGTTGTGCATTGGAGATGCACTTGGAGAAGTAACACACCACTCATACCAAACCTATATCGAAATTTTGAAAAAGGGAAAATAAAAACATTATGCCGAGGCATCGAATCGTGTTACAATTTCTGTATTTTCACATTAAAATATTTACCTTGGAAGAACCGCAACATCGCCACATATGAAAATCCAGAGGGATGCCAGGCTGCACACATACCGGAGTCCTCAATGGAAAGAATATTGGGAACCTGTTGGTTGAAACAAATTGCTCCCATTCATTTTCAGTTATAATAACATTCATTCAATGTAACTAGATAAAGAGGGAAAAATGAGCAGTTATAATAATATTCATTCAATAACATTCATTGAATGAAACTAGTTAATAAAAATGAGCAGCCTCAGAGCATGTGCAAGGAGTTTTATGGATATGGAAAATGCCAATTTAGGACCTGAATGCCTTGCCCATAAACAAGTAGGCAACTTTGTATTACACAGACTCCACACTGTTGACCCTTGTGAAAACAATAGAAAATTGATAAATAATAACAAAATCATATATTACTCGGAACAGAATGCCAAATATAAATTGCATATTAGGGTAGGCACTCATTTGAATCCAACAGTCTCTTACCTTGCAGGAAAAGTCTACCAAATTCCAAGTACCATCAAGTCCTCTATCATATCATAGCCTTTTTAGTAGTTCAAGGCAGTTTGATATAGAAGAAATGATCGTGACATACGGGAAGAAATAAGCTACGTACATCTTTTCAAAATAGTGAATTCAAATAAAGAACTAGATTAACGAAAAAATAAAACAAAGCTAAAAAAGAAGTAAAAATAAGATTAATATTTTTCAAACTGGATTAACATAAAATTGATAATAAAAAAATCAAATTCATGAATCATTGAGTTTTAGATGGGTAGGTAGTATGAGCCTTAAATTGATTAGGAGTAGTTTTCATCTTTCAGGTCCTAAATTGATGATAGCTAACTTAGCATTCAGGTCATGAACCGATAAACCTCCAAAGAAATATCATACCAGCTAAACATGTTAGGTGTTGCTGTTGAAGGTTCAATGCCCAGATGAACATCCTTATAGAGTACAGCATCAAAGTAACCCGCAAATCCTATGAAGACGAGGAGTTAATACTAGATGGTAGTGACAAACAATAAGTGAAACATAATAAACAGTAAGTCATAGAAATGGAGATTCAGTGCAAAGAACATGCAGAGGGATGTGATAAAGGGAGCACAATTGTAACAAAATTACAGAAACAGAAATGCTAGTCTACTATGCATTTTAAGTTGGGTTTATCTGTCTCTTTAGTGAGAATTTATCATCTATTCTTCACAACTGATCTAAGACAGATAACAATGCTTGTCAAACACACATCAATTTGATTCAATAATCCACAATTGAAACTGGAACATTTATCATCAGTGAAAATTTTGCTCAAAAAAGAGAGCCAGTGAGGAGAAACTTTAATTGGGATGATCTAACTTATACTAGAATGGTAACATGTGCATGTCACAAACTATCCACCACGACATGAGAAATTTGATCCAAAGTCACCTAGATAGTGAAAAAATTACTTGTTTTATTTAAGATCAATGATATCATGTTTGAATACATGCAACTAGAATAAATTTATGTTACAAGCACAAAAATTATCGATAAAAGATGTTTAAACTGCATTGTGTGTATGAGTGGATAAACTTATAATTCTCCATTTAATCCTATATAATTTCAAATAACCGAGGACTACAACGGTTTTATAATCTGCTTCTTTATTCTTTTTTATGAAGGTTGCAACTTGCAACACAAAGCACCTCTGGCATACACATTGTCAATTAACTTTCTGCATGAATTTATAATTATCCTTAATTTACACAATTCATTGGCACTATAAATTCAATATCACTGACCCCAACTAGTTGAGACAAAAGTGCAGCCGGCAGATCACGGTGAGGACTAGGAATAGAAAGTACATTCAACCTAGTGATCTCTAACAAAGAAAATAAGATGTCTTCCACTTAACCACAGCTTATATTGTTAACAATGATGCTAAGGCTATGAAATTTATATAAACTCATTGTGTGCGGACACAGCTCACACACACACCCACAGGCAATGGGTGGGGGTTGGGGAGTTTTTGTATGGCTGACCCCTTGCCCTCCTTTGGATATGGCCATTTCAAATATCAAATGGTAATTTGAAGTCATGTTATTTCCATACCATGCACCATTGCTGATCCAGTGTCAATGGGTATCTCAAACTGAAGCCTCGTGTACCTACTATTGTCCTTCTTGATTGAATGTTCTGGATGAGTAAATGTAAAAACCTAGCAGTTGCACATGGTTTAAAAAATGTGAGCGGTTGAATTGAACTCCAAAGTATCAAATAAGTAGAAGCTCAAGAAAGTTTTCTATCCACAATGAACACATGGAGGTTGCAACAACAGCTGTAATAGGAAAGAGTAAACATATAGTTGCTTTATCTTGAGAGCATTTGACCCCCTTCCCCAATGGAGTTGGGATTATAATAGGTTTGTTTTTGTTGTCACTAAAAAAAGAGTAAAAAGACAATGAAACTAGGAATGCACACGATACCTAATATGTAATAAGTTCCCAAATATGAGTAAGGTTTCGATGTATCATGCAAACATTACATAGAGAGAAATCAAAGAATATAACAACAAACCCAGTAAAATCCCACAATGAGGTTTGGGGAGGGTGACTGTACACAGACATACACCCTACGTTAGAGGAATCAGAAAATACATCAGAATGATCCTCATATATGACTACTTGAGCATGGTTGTGCCGTTGACAAGTCAAGTCGTTGAAGAAGAGACTAGTCGGTCAACTAGTCGATGATTAGTCAACAACTCATAATACGGAGTAAGTAATACATATTTAAAAACACACACACACATGTGTGTGTGTGTAATATATAATTATATATATATCACTAAAGATAATCACATTTGTAAAATACAATACCGTTAGCATAACAAGACTAAGTTTTCAGGTAGCACATAAAAATCAAACATCAATACAAAGAAGAGTATATAACAAAACAATATCTCTGAACTTCAAACAGAACAACCCAACAAAGAGCACAATCACACAATAACATAATGTGTGATTGTAGCTCTCATTGGTATTCTTGTCCCATGATTAAGTGTGACCAGGGAGGCCGATATGGGAATACCAATACTCATAATTTTGCAACAAATAAACTTACAGGCTGTGGAGCAGCAAGTCTAGCTACACGGTGTAGTTTGACAACATATGCAGTTTCAAAGTGCACTACATCTTTATGTGATTTTATCTGTAAAATAAGAAAAATAATTATATATAAAAAAGAATACACACAAACACAGTAAAAGTGGTGTATATTACAAGATCTTACATCATTGTACAATTTAGATGTTGTGACTGGTTGAATAAAACTAGTATACCTGTAACAAGAATAATTAAAAGAGAACAAGATTCTAAAAACCAAAAAATCATTTGTATTTGCATAAACGAAGACAAATCTATGGGAAATGAAGAAAATATGGTACAGACGATGATGGTATAGAAATCCCATTTTGCTTAAGGAATCTTTCTGCCCCATCAAGACATTCAGGAGAAAGCTCGTTGTCGCCAAAAGACCCAAGCAATTCGCTAACCTGTACTTGTATTAAGATAAAAGGTAAAAAACTAAGAACACCCAAATGTTAAATAGAAAAAGAGAGGCTATTTGCTAGGAAAGAACATTCTTAATTATAAAACCTAATAGTGTGTTTGTGAGCATCATATTTATCAGCGCATCAATCCTAACTAGTTGAGGTTGGTGACATCAGATTTATAGCATCAGATTAGTGTATAATACGGAGTATTAAATAAATAACACTATATCCATGCAAAAAGTACTGGCAATGCTTTACATTGGATGCCCAGCCTGTTGTAACCTTAGAATAGTGAGATGAAAATTTCAAAACCGCCATCAGCTTAGGTTGTTTACACATGCATCAAAAATATTATGAGACGGAAATGAGTTTGTGTGTGTTCACAAACGCTCTTTCTCTCCACCCCACTAAGTTTTGGGGCATGGGGAAGTGAATCACATATTAAGAAAATGAATAATTGTTTGGTTCATGTTGATTTGCTAGGTATGGATAATTTTGTACCATACAAATGTAGCCGAATATGGCATGAAACAAACATTCTGGGACATATCAAAATGGAAAATGAAACATAGTGGGACACATTTAATTTTTAGTTTTATAGTTCATTTAATGCCTGCTCTAAAATCTATTTCCATTTAATTTTTTGTTTTAAATAAAGTAACAATTTGACCATTCATACATAAAGATTAAAGCTCCACTAACAATGGAGCTAATTAGTCTCTATTTTTTACATGGATATGGCTAATTGGCTACATTCATCTTGACCCGAATAGAGTTGTGATTATAACAGGTTTTGTGGTAAGTGGAACCTATTGACAAACTAAAACATCTATTGGCTATTGCATACCAAAATATCAGCTTTCTCTGGAGCTTCCCAGCGACGCATATCACTTGAAACAATGGTTACAGTTTCCTCCCATCCTTCCAACCTTACTAAACTCTGGAACACCAAAGTGATGGCAAGTTAGTATTATATAGTAGCCATAAGAGGAATTAAAATAATCAAACAATACAGAAATGAAGAGTAACAATTGTATTTGGATTTTACATGAAGAGTAACAATTGCATTTGGATTTTTCTCTACAGCATAAACTCTCAACTTCCGTCCAGTTTCTTCAGCAGCCTATTCACAAATTCAAAGCATTAATGCAGTGTGAAAAAAGTTGTGCATTGAATCTGCTTACCGTCTACCCTCCTCAGCAAGAAATTAGGGAAATAGTGAACCTGTAATGAAGCCCTGACAAGAGGTCCACGTCCAGCTCCTACAACCATCAATACCTGCTCCAAGTGCACGCAGATGATTATACAAGAAAAGAAATCAAGAATTTAGGTAGCAGATCTAAGAATTTGCCTGACTGTCGCTATTTAATCTTCCCATTTTGAATGATGTTTTTATCAATTCAATTTAATTAAATATTTGTGTAAAACTACAACAACAATAATAAACTCAGTATTATCCCACCTACATGGGAATTGGGAACCTTACCCATGTAAAACAGAAATATTTTTTCCGCCAGACCCTTGATGCATTTACTTCCCAAAACTTAATACTCCCTCCGTCCACACATAAACTTTACATTGCGCGTTACGATGTTTGACTGAAGTTATTTTCAAATCATTTTATATGAAAAATGGTGTAGAATTGAAAAATAAAAATTACATATGAAAAAACTATATCAAAAGATCTACAAAACTAGAGGTGACATGACTATGTTATTTTATCAAATGGGTGACGAAAATAGGCCAACAAAATGAATAAAGTTTGACCCTGTGAATAGTGAACGTAAAGTTTATTTGTGGACGAAGGGAGTATAAAATAAGAAAAGAAGCGAAGGAAGTTTAATTTGTCATTTTGATCTAGCCCATTATCAACCCCAAGCAAATACATTAATGACTCTTTTAGCTGCATTAGCAATGGACAAATTCATGTAAAATTAAAAAACACTCCCTCTATCCTGAAATTGTCTTCTCAGTTTCCTTTTTAGATTGTCCTGAAATAATCATCCCATTTCCTCAAATGGAAGGAATTCTATGTTCTTTGACAATGTTGTCCCTACTCATTTACTATCCTTTATCCCCCACCAACTTTCTCATCTACCCCTATTTCTTCATTTCCATCTCAGATGCATCTCACCTCTCTCTCTTCTTCGTTTCTACGGGTACTCCACATCTTATCTTCTACCTTACAATCCAAACCCTAGACCTCGGAACAACAGTGACGAACAGACTCTTCATGTGGAGGAGGCCGTAGCCAGATCTATATGGTGGAAAAACTCGTCTTGACACTTGCTACCGTTCTGAAACTCAAAACAACAAATAGAGGATTAGCTCTCGTTCAGCTTTTTGGGGGTGATTTCGATTTTGGAGTGCTCACACAGGGTGAAGCCCTTCATTGATTTGCTTGTTTGGGAGGATTAATGGTTTTTTTGCTTCTTGGGTTGACTTGACTTTCTCAACTCTGCAGGGTACTTTCCTTCTTTGGTTCTCCATTATGTTTCTTAGGTTTTCGTAGTTGGGGGTTTTCATTGTTTTTGTGGGGGTTTCTATTTGCCAGATCTGATCTCAGAGCCATTGAAATGGATTTCTATGCATTTGGGGGGTTTTGTGGGGGTTCAGAGTGATTAGGTGGTTCAGGGAGGGTTGCGGTTTGGAGAGCAAGGTTGTAATCGGAAATTCAAGCAATAACATCATTCCGGCATTGATTTGTGTCAACGTGGTAGGGTGAATCAAGGATTAGAAGGTTTGGAGTGCAAGGATGTGCCGACGGCGATCTCAGGTTTGGAGAGCATGGATGTAGCTGACAACGACTAGACTTAATTACTCCGTATTTACACAAAGGACATTTTTGGAAAGTCAAAGACAATATAACTATCCCAAGTCAACTTGGAAAGAAGACTTTAGACAGGGGGTAAAATTTGCATAGTTTAACTACGGTGTGACTATTTTATTTTAACAAATTATTAAAGGAAAGAAAAAAAGATTAAAAAGGGGCAAAGGGAGTAATATTAATCTTGCAAGATGCTTACTGTTGTGACTGTAGAAGCCTTTTCATCAGGAACTCTATCCATCAAAGCATTGGCAACAGCTCTTTGATACTGCGAAAGTAAGGGAAAAACAAGTGTTCATGAAAGCTATTAATAAAAGAATCAAATACAAAATCTTTACTATATTTGAAATCAGTGCCACGCTTCCACTCCATTATTCCTTCCTAGAGGTGGACATGGCCCAGGCTACCCGCCCAAGCCCAAACATTTTTATGTGGTCCTAGACAAAAATAAGGCCCAAAGTTTGGTCTTTGGACAAGAAAGAAAAGTTTTTTTAAATAAATGGGTCAGGATTTGAGCCTCCCAAATCATGTACATTAAAGATATTCAATATTATATATGCATGTTAATATGTGAATAAATTATGAGGCCTAATCAATTACTCTAACAGTTAACACACTTCTAAGCTAATCCTACTTTATTGCAATTTCTTTTACAAGAACTTATAATATATTCTCCTTTTTATTTTACTATTTTTATAGTTTTTTGTAGTGGTTACTGGTAAAAATAACTTGAGCGTACACAAGGGCCGGGTCTTGGTCACAACCTTTTTTGTCAACATTGGCAAATCTAGATACAATTAGTAGGAGGCCAATGCCCCCAGCTAAATTTTTTTGTTATATACTATTAAATAAAATAAATTAACAAAAATGCCCCAGTTCCCCCAATAAAAAAGTGTGATACGGTCCAAAAAGTGATATTCAATAGATTCATCGCTAAAAATCACTCTGTCCCAGTGTATTCGTTATGTTTGAGTTTTTCGAGTCAAACTGGACAAACTTTATTCACCAATTGGCAATTACTCTCAATTTGTATTGCATATTAAGACACTGAAATAAAATTTTGAAAGTTCTCAACAAGATAAATCTAATGAAATCATATTTATACCAATATATTTTACAATTTTTTTTAATTGGGGTACAAAGTTCGTTCGGTTTGACTCAAAAAAAAACAATCTGGGACGGAATTTGAAAACTATATACTCCGTATTTATTATGACAATTAAACTAAGTAATGTTTTATTCAGTATATTGTATGTTTTATTTTATGAACTTTTCATTTTAAGTATTTGAATACATGTTTGAAATGAACTTTTTGTGTTTTTGTCATTTGAAATTAGGTTTAAATGAATCTGGGATATTGCCTAAACTCCCGTACCGTTTTTGGTTCTTTTAGCAAAATGTGTCCCCAACTAGAGTTCTGATTCGGGATCGCCACTGTTTGTCAATGGGCTTGGACAAAACTACAAGGTCTGTTTTTCCGGCCATGGGTGTAGCGATTGTTAGTCATTATTGGTGTAAAGCCTGACTCAAACCCGCCTAAGCCCAACCCATGTATCTGAGTCCTACCCTCTCTTCAATTATTCAGTAATAAAATGTTGTTATTTGGTAGAAGCCTCCAAGGTTCATGAATTAATCCCACAAAAGGAAAACAAAAGGAAAAAAAGAGAAAGGGAATTTGAAGTAATAAGATTGAGAATAGGTTGTGGGACATCAGGAAAAGATATGACATCTTTAAAAGACAAAATACGAGGCATTACTAGTTTACTACATTAAGTATTTGTTTGCAGTAAGTAGTGCACTTCCAAATGTAAGGAAGCTACTATTTGAGATTTTTTAGTGTAAAAACCTTGACCCACATGGCTGATGGCTATAGTCATGGTTTCTACAGATCTCAATGACTCAATAGAACATTGTGGGTAATTTGTTCACCAAAGCAGTGATGGACTTCTTCCATTTATATGATACTCTCAAACAGGTTAATGCTACTATCTTAACTCTTATTCCTAAAGTTGACATCCCTAAAAGTCCTACTGAATTCAGACCTATAGCATGTTGTAATGTGACCTATAAGGGAATTTATAGAGGGTAGAGAACTAGTACATAATGTACCCTTGTCAAGACATGGCTAGAGGGTACAAAAGGAAGTGGATTAGTCCTAGCTGCATGATGAAATTAGACATCAAGAAAGCGTATGACTCTGTTAGCTGGAAAGCTTTGGAACAGATTATGATTGCTTTGAAGTTTTCTGTCAAACTTTAGATTTTGTGTTACAACTCCTCATTAAGTCGAATATATGGGTTTAATGATATCAAATCTCCATGTTTTGATTCCTTGTCCCAAACCCATTCCAGAATTTAAACTAAACGGGGCCTAAGTGGGTTGCCTCTAATGGCATGGTCACACACAAAGTTCATGGCTTCTTGCCCAATGTTTGAAGTATCTTTCTCTAAACCCTCCAAAACATTTTAATTGAAGATACTATTCAAGGCTATATTTATTTCACATGCAGCTTTCTTGAATCATAAAGAATAAAAGTGCAGCTCTCTGCACAAAACGTCATCACTTAGTGAGGATTAAGAGAACGATCCCACAACATCCTAAAGTATGTGATAACAGTATTAAAATGTCAATAAATTAATTTTTACGGGTTTGATTCCTTTTATATGAATATAAAATCAAATGAACGAGCTAAAAATATATAGTACTACGTACTGTATTATTATTGTTGTTGTTATTAGGGAGTTGTTATATCTACTCCCATTTTGGCAAAATCAACTCCTTTTTATGTTAAATTGACAACTTTTCCCTTAAAGGTTGGTTTGCATCTAAATTACTTTTTTTGTATTTTAAGGGCAAATTGTCAATTCACCATAAATATAGTGGATTCAGCCAAAATGGGAGTGGATATAGCAAAACCTTAATTGTTATTATTCTTATTATTATTATAATGATCACCAATCAGTATAGATAATGTCAAAGAATCATACATATATAAGTAATACTTCAAGTGATTTAGAACTAAGATAAAGCTACATGAGAATGGGCAAAACAGAACTTAGTAACCAAGTCAAAAGAACCTAATCAAATAGACAAGACAGATAAGTACCTGAACATACTTGACAGTGTCCTTCTCAAATATCTCATATGTTTGAGCCTCCAAGTTATCCATAAGAGGCTGCAGACATAAATCAAACTCATTAAGCATGAAAAAGAACCCCTAGGAATGAAATCAAACTCGGAATTCTGTGTTGAGCCCCCACCCCCACCCACACAAGGAGACATTTAATGTTAGAACCAACACAAAATATGGGAGAAAAAATCTGAATGTAATGGGAACTCACCTGCAAAGGAGACTGCAAGAAATCTCTATAGCCAAACTGAAAATTATGAAAGAAATTAAATAAAAATTAGCATAAAAGGGATGGCAGCAGGAAACCTGCAAAACTAAAAGAACATGAATGGACAAGATATTTAGGACTATGTCAAAAGAGAGTCCAAGAGACTTTGCCACCACCTCAAAACGTTCTTGCTCAGAAAGGGCATCCATGTTTTGATAAAGATATCCAACATAGTCCAAGTATGCCCTTAGGGGATGCTGCTGTGTACCTGACCAACAAGATTGTTATAGCATATAATAATGGAAAGAATCTTCAATCCTTCATTAATGATGTAGGATAATAGCATTTTGTATAAAAAACAATGACAGAATGATGCCAAGATATTACTTTGGTAGTGAAAGCGATAGATGAAGATGTTGAGAATGTGTGCGTGCGCGCGTGCGTGTGTTAGAGCGAAAGAGATAGAAGAAAAATAAATTGATGGAACATGCTACAAAAGAAAATATCAAGCAAAAAACCTAGAAAGTAATTCATTCTATTTGATCTTTCAATTTCCAGTGGATCCAGGCTTAAGAAATACCTGTTTTTACAGAGCCAGAACTTCCCAACGGTAGAGAGTGGACTGGTTGTCCAGAAACCACTATCTGAGAAATATGTTCGATAAGATATAGTCAAAGAAACAGAAAGGCAATGGTTTAAAGCAGAACTCTAATGGACAACTATCTTTATCAACTGCATGTTTTTAACATTCCACTATAGAACATCAAATACATTGTATATGGGTGTCTAAAGTTAATATGACAATGACTTTTTAAATTTCTTTATAGATATATTTTAAACCATATACTTTGATAAGTTAATACAGAATAAATTATTAATTAATCAATATAAATAATAACCAGCCAAACTAATAGAATTTTCTATGCCCAATGCTACTAATGTTAAAAGGGTTATAGTGCTTTTGGAATTTCATCTCAAGACAACATCTACTTCATTACATATCAATTTTATTCTAATCCTCAATTGCTATAGTAACGGTAACATCTCTTTCTCTCTTCTTGCTATTGCCGATCTCTGACTCATCATCGTACCTCCCTCCTCGCCGGTGGTAGCTCTGTCGGCGGCGTAGGTCGGACGGCGGAGGGCGCCAGCGACGGCCAGGAGCCCAGGTAAGTTCTCACCCACCCCCTGCATCCCCCAGGCCTAACCCACCCTTCCCCCTAACCTGCTCTGTCCCCGCGGCCGCCCACCCCAGTCGCTGGCTCTTCTCGTTGCCGACATCTCCCAAGTCCCACCCGACCTCCCCCGATTGCCAATTTCCCCTCTACCGTACCTTCAACCCACATCTCCCTCCGTCTCCGTCAGCCCTAGGCAACACACCACCACAAATCGCCAGCCACCCTCCTTTGCTGCCAACCCTAGAAGATGCTTTCAGCGACCCATACTCAGGCAGCCAGCCCAACCTCTCCAGACCCTATCCCCTGCCTACGCCCTTGCTCTAGATCCAGCCAACCACATCCCTTCTTTGGTGTCCCAGCACCCCAGCCCCATCAAGAGATGCCCCCAGCCCATCCCAACCACTTCAGCCGCTGCCTCCCACCTTGCACCCCCCTTCAGGCCCATCCCTTTTTAGTTTTTTCCTTGTTGCTCTTACTCTTTTTCGCTACCCGTGTGTTTTCTTATACTATTGCTTTTATTGGTTATTGTTTGTTGTGCTATCATAATCTACCTTTATTGTGCTGATTAGCTTATTTGTCTGCTTCCTTTCTTGTTGGTGATGCTGTGTGGATATAGTGGCTTTGGTTAGCGATGCAGGTCTAAGGTCATATCCTGGGATTGGAGCGGGCGATGGGGCCGCGCGGAGATGTAGATTAGTGCCCCATATGCAGTTTGGCTCGTGGAACATAGGAACCCTCACAGGTAAGTTGATTGAGCTGGTACAAGTTCTCAAGAGGAGAAGTATTTAGGTGGTGTGGGTGCTGGAAACCAAATGGGTGGGCACCAAGGCGCGTGAAGTTGACGGTTTCAAGTTGTGGTATTCAGGCTTTGCTAGGAATAGGAACAGTGTTGGTATTTTGGTGGCGCCGGAGCTGCAAGAGTTTGTTGTGGAGGTGAAGAGGATTAATGATCGGCTTATGATCATCGAACTAGTCTTGGGTGGATGTGCGATCAATGTCGTGAGTGCCTATGAACCTCATGTTGGTTTGGAGGACGAAGTTAAGAGAGAGTTCTGGGATTCGATGGATGGGGTGGTAAGTGGTTTTCTGCAGAATGAGAAAGTCATCCTTCGAGGCAACTTCAATGGCCGTATTAGAGACTCGCCCGAGAGCTTCGAAGAGGTGCACAGTGGGTTTGGTTTTGGGGATAGAAACCCGGCAGGAGTTTCTTTGTTGAAGTTTGCCAGAGCGAGTGATATGGTGATCGCTAACTCTTGTTTCCCCAGACGGGATGACCACTTGGCTACCTTTGTTAGCACTTAGCAAAGTCGGGAGGACACAGATCGACTACCTCCTCCTGCACATGTGATCGGGTGCTCTGTAAGGACGTTAAAGTACTTCCGAGTGAGAATCTTACCACCCAAGACAAGCTGTTGGTGATGGATATTTTGATCAGGTGGGCAAGACAAATGCGAAATACACGTGGCCCAACATGTATCTGATGGAGGAGCTTAGGCGGGGAGAAAATCACTTAGTTGATTGCGTGTGTGCAAGAGAAAGGCGCATGGGAGTCCTCTGGGGAAGCCACCGACATGTGGGCACAGACTGCCAGCTGCATCAGGAAAGCCGCCAGAGAAGTGTTGGGTGTGACATTAAAGTGATTGGTGGTGGAGTGATATGGTGCGAAGGTGGAAGCGAAGAAGGAGGCGTATTTGGGGTTGGGATCCTCTGTCCCCAAATGGTGTCCCAACTCCCTGTCCCACCAATCCAAAGTTGACACCTACCCTATCCCACCCATATAAATATGCACCCCTAGCCTTCCCCTAAGGTTAGTTTGTGTTAAATGAGGGGGTGGGGTGAGTTAGGTGTCAACTTTGGATTGGTGGGATGGGGAATTGGGACACCATTTGGGGACGGACACCATTTGGGGACAGAGGATCCCGGCCTGCGTATTTGAGGTACGTGGATTGTAAGGATGATGAGGATAAAGCGGCGTTGTGAGCGAAGTATAAAACGGCTCGTAAGGAAGCTAAGTTAGAGTTTACGAGGGCGAAGAATGCAGCTTTTGAACGCCTTTATAAGCAGGGCGGTGATAAGCAACTTTTTTGGCTATCGAAGGCACATGAGAGGAAGGCTCGGGAATGTGTAGTGGGAGAGCTTTGGGGCCGGATGAGATTCTGTGGACTTCTGGAAACAGGTGGGTCGCGGTGATTTGGTATGGATAACCACTCTTCAATGTTATTTTCAGGACGGCAAGGATGTGTGACGAGTGGAGGGAGAGCGTGATGGTCCCTCTGTTTGCAGCATTGAGTACATGTGGTTGCAGCATTTGAGTACATGTGGCACTCAGTATCTTGACTCAATCATTAAAAGAGGATAGGGAGTTAAACAGGGACGTTGCGCATCGTGTTCAAGCGGCGCGGGCTAAGTGGAGGTTGGCTTTAGGTGTGTTGTGCGATAAGAAGATTTTGGCTAGGACGAAATGTAAGTTCTACCGGTTCGTAGTTAGACCAGTCATGTTGTATGGGGCAAAGTGCAGGACGATTAAGAAAACCCACTTTCGACGATTTCAGGACTTCGGACTTCTTGCCCAAGATATGGCCTTAGATAAAAGCATTTGGAGAGCTAGGATTAAAGTAGTTGGGTAGGCGCCTCAGGTTAGGGGTAGTTTTCTGTACTTCTTGTGTGCCTTGTTTTATCGTATGCTTGGTGCCTTTCATTGCAATATTGATCCTTCATTAACTGTAGTTTGTTCTTTGCCTATGTGTGATTTATACTTTTTGTATCTCATGTGATATTTTTAACCGTGCAGCTTGAGTGGGGATCTCTTGGAAACAGTCTCTCTATTTTCGAGTAGGAGCAAGGTCTGCGTACACACACACCCTCCCCAAACCCTACTTTCGTGGGATCTGGGTTGTTGTTACATCAATTCCTATAGTATTGGCAAGATTACCCTCATGTCATCCTCATATATAAGGGTTTATGACGGACATTCTCAACGTACCCTATTGCCAATGATTTTATAAGAGCCTCATTGCTTCTTAATTAAAAAATATCGAGGTACTAAGTTATGAAACCTGAAAGACAGTTCTATATAACATATTTTGATATAATTGAGGGACTAATAGTGAAATTTTTATCACTCATAGTCTTATTGTATATGCACACTTAATCCAAATCTCTCTACTAAAGTAGAGGTAAGGTGTGCATACACACACCCTCTTTAGACCTCGCTTGTGTGGGATTCTATTGGGTTATTGTTGTACATTTAATCTAAATCATACATATTTGAAAGTTACAGAAAAAATTATATCACTCACAACTTTATTTAGTTTATCTAGTTTGGCACACGTCAACAAAAATAGCTATAATACTTTTTGGTGTGTATTTGATATTCTCCCTCCGTCCAACAATAATGTTCACGTTGACTATTCATAGGGTCAAACTTTATTCATTTTGTTGGCATATTTTCGTTGCCCATTTGATTAAATAATATAGTCATGTCACCTCTAGTTTTATAGGTCTTTTCATGTAGTTTTTAAATATGTAATTTTTATTTTTTAATTCCATACAATTTTTCATATAAAATAATTTGAAAATAACTCCAATCAAACATTGTAACGCGCAACGGGAACATTATTGTTGGACGGAGGGAGTATATTGTTTATTTGTTTCTAATCATGTAATTATGATTTTGTAATGGACTCTTATTTACTTCTCTGAAGAATGAAGTTTAAAAGAAAAGTAATGCTCCATAGGTTTGCTAAATGAATAAATAAGAAACATCAGTCCATAAAGACTTCAAAAGGTAAAACTAAAAAGAAAAAGATAAATATGACAGGAGGGAGTAATAAATTTGATCTATAACAATCAATCTACCATTAACTTTAAGGTTTAAAAAACTGCGGAGTACTTCTTTTTTAAATCTTGAGTAACATGAATTAAACAATAATAATACTCCGAACTAGACTAATATGAACAATACCCCATATATAATTATACAAAACAAAAGGCGCAAATTAAGTTTAGTCTGGACTCTGGAGTACATATTTATTGCAAAAATGCATGAAAATACAGATTAATCAAACTATTAGGTACTGTAAAATATACAAAAGTACAGAGTATATTGAACTCTTCAAATAAATGAACATTTTAAACTTCTACAACTTACACACAGTCAAAACTCGAAATCATGAGAAAGAAAAAAATATAAATAAAATGCAAAAAATACTAAAACGGATAGACGTTCTCACAAATGCAAATAAAGAAGATAAATACTAGCCAACACAAAATGCAAATATATGTGGTATAGAAAAGTTTAAGCAATTGCATTTATTAAAAAGCCATACACTACCTGAACTGAATGGTGGAAAAAACCGGTTAATAATTTTTGGTGCCGTTTGGAGAGACATGGGTATCCACGTGCATTTGTTAGAAAAGCCTGGAAAAAATAAAAGATTGATGCACAGCACATAATGGAATCTTGAGTAAGAAGAATTCTAGAAAGGCTAATTAAAACATAGAGGGGATTACATACACTAGTGTTAACTATGGCTGCTCTAACAGACTCGCCAAACCAACGCAGAAGGGAATTCACAGATGGCAATGAGTGCCTGTTCAAACAAGCACAAAAAACAGAAATGATAGATTCAGAAAAAAAATACTAAATGCGCATAAAGGTGCACATAGTCACATAGATCACTTCATATATTTGATAGTGAGTTAGCCAATTAATAAAATGGCCAGTGAAAATAAAGATCTACCAATAAGCCACATCTATATAATTCCTTAGAGTAATTCTTCTCTATGCCCAAAATTATATAAAAGAAAGGATGATCTTAGCACATACGATACATCCAGTGCAACTGACAACTGGTTGTGGTGTTCGCAAAGAACCCGGAACGCATTCCATAACTCCCAGGAATCAACATTTCCGTCATCCTGATTTGCATAAAACAAAACTCAACATACTTTATCCAAATTCACAGCATTGTAGTTGATGATAACAAAAGAATGCAACACAAGATCCAAAGTGTTCCATTCATGTTAACGATATAGAGGAAGTTTGGCACACAACATCTTGGGCAGCTCTTTGTTGAAAAAGAGTTTTTTAGGTATATGATTAGTCAAATGGCTATTAGAAGTGTTTGGTGAACAACTTTTTTGGGACAGCTTTTTGTAACCAGTTTTTCCCATGTGCAGCTTTTTGCATCAAATTCCCCAAACGCTTGGCACAAATAACTTATCTTACCAAACACTTTTTTCCCGAACAACTTTTACAAACACCTGTCACAACTAGCTAATACAAACATCTATCACCAAGAGGCAAGGTGCCAGGCAAGGGCACAATCTTACTGTTGGAAGATCAGAAAGTGGATCAACAACTTCCAAATATTTCATCATTGGAATTTGGAAGCATCAGAGTACAGAAATGTTAATGGTTCATATGTGTTTGCATGTTTGATGTTTCTAGAACAGAACACACACACACACAAACAAAAACCTGATTTCACTTTTCACAATGATCACTTACCATTGAATTGGGTTTTCCATTAGGGATATTATCATGAGACTTCTTCAACGGTATCCTAAGCCACAACTTCAGAAAAGAATAATTAAATTCAGTGACGATGAATAAATGAGTCGAATAACAAATACGGACTAGGTTGAAACCTGCATGTTGTTTAGATTCTGCAAAATTTGATTCACACATCTGGCATAATTTACACACGATACTCCTTTGGGTGCAGGAAGGAGGCATGCCTAAAAGAATACAAAATGAGAAAAGGTGTCTTTCATGTTGCTTAGTAAAAATAAATCAATAAACATAATCATAGTAATTCATGGAACTATTGAAGAACATTAAACAACAGTGGATACATATAGGTCACATAACAAGGGTCATCCAGAAAAAAAAATGTTATGCAGATACATCCAACAACAAATGAGTCATCTAATTTTTAACTTATAGGTTGGGTTCCAAGTGGTTTAAAGTAGAGGGACAAGTGGAGAACCTTTGCTTCCAATCAGACAACAAGAATAAGAATAAAGTATTTCATTCAGAATAACTGAATGTTTCAAGAAAAAAATTATTCCTATAAAACAATTGAATAAACTAAGAGATTCACGTGAAACTGCACAAAGACTATACATGTATTAAGAGAATGCTTGAAGCAAAACAATTTCATGGAACAAACCTAATACTCCGTAATTGGGTTGCAATGAATCGTTACGGATGGCTCACTATCTTTGGGAAAGAAAGGAGAGGGTGAAGAAGGCAGCTTTAGAACATGGATAACAGACATGTAAAAGAGGTGGTAAAGCAAAGGAAGTTTACATAAGATTATAATAGGAGCAACAGCTATGAATTACGTGCATTCTTTTGTTGGAATACATATTGGTGCAGATACAAAGCAGCTTGTAAATGAAACTTTTGTACACACCTGCAAGGATAGATGAGAAGCCCAAGCTATTTCTTGCTTCAAAGAAATCTCAGAATCCCTACGAAGTCTCTCATCCACTGAATCCAAGTCAATCCAATTGCTAATTTTGCCTGCATAAAACTTTGTAAGTAAAACCAAGATGAATGGAACTACAAAAAAATGTTATATATTAATGTAAAGTTAAACTTAAGTGTCCACTTATAAACAAGTAGCATGGCTATTGGCGTATAATGTACATATGGACCTAACATACACTAAGACATTGTTATGCTACATCAAAGGATTCAAAGTTAAAAAAACAAAAACCATAAATTTGCGACTGCAATGAAAGCTTCATGCAACCACAGGATTATTCTTTAGGCTATAAGAGGCTACCAGAATCACCATAAAAAACTAATGCAGTAACACCATTGAATAAGAAGGGTCTACTTGAGTATCAGCATTTTGAACATTGGCAGCTATAATAGATTGGTTCACCAAGCAGTAGTTTATCAGACACAGGCCATTTTCACACACTATGAGTAACACAATCTAGTAATACTAGTATGTCTAGATGTGGATGTGGCAGGTTTTTCTTCGAGAAGTTGTATCATTTAATGTGGCTAGGAGTCCATCTTATTTTAGAGCAGGCTTTAAATCAATAAATCTCCATGCATAAGCTGCATACACGGATCTTGAAAGCTGATATAAACACAATTACTAAAGTTGTGGATGAAGTGAAATAGACAATGCAGCATAATAGGGTTAGAATAATATCATATGGTTAGAGTGACAAAAGAAATCAGAAAATATATTCTTGAGGGTATGGTGAAGAAATCAGAAAATATATTCTAGTCGAGTTGTATCAAACCATGAAAGTGCATACAATGTGTCAAGGAGAATGCTCATATTCACAGAGAAAATGAAACACATATATTGACGTCATGTGTCACCCTGGTACTCGTTTAATGCTCGAGGAGATTGGAAAATTAACGAATATGTTTTACTACTTCAATAGACCCATAGAGGGAGATCGAATTGGGAATGAAAATAGAAGATTAGTGGTTAGAAATTTATAATTCAAGCCCAAAACGTGTTTGGCGGCTAAATTTCAATTTTAGTTTATACATATGCTTTTGTCAAGTTCTCTTATCCTCCTTAAAACAATATTGTATGATTCATCCATTACCTAGGATTATGAGTCATGTATTTTATCCTTTTTTTTTATTTATATTAATTCAGAGTGTAAGCTGCATTTTGCCTCGAGTTGTATGCCTTGTGGGGCCAAAGTCAACTGCTTTGAGGGCCAACTTCGCCTTTCAAAACTCTGGTTCTTAAAAAAACAATGTGTGCCCATCTTCACATTCCATAGCCCGTACTCCGTAAACCAGAAATAGAGTTCAAATAAATCAGAGATACTCAAAACATTTTAAGATGCTAACATGTGAAAACATTCAATTGAACTTTTAAAAAAAAAGTTTGTGCCAAGGAAATCAATACCGACAACATGGCTGCTCCATTGTGAAGGGCTCAACTCTATGTCTGACCCAGCACAAGGCAGAACATATGATCCAGATTCACAATTTTCGCTTAAGCTGGGTCTATAATTGGGCTCCATCTGCATTGTAAAATTAGAACTTAATCACTGACAAATATTCAAAATATGACTATATAACTTTTCAATCTTACAATACTTGTACTCTCTGTCCCAAAATAGAAGTTACACTTTTCTTTTTGGGATGCCCCAAAAATAATTGACACTCTTTTACTTCCCTATCAAGGAAAGGAATATGTGGCTCACAACATTTTTCTTTTTTCTAAACAAATTTTTAACAATTCTTAAATCCCATGGAGTCCAAAGTGTTATTTTTATTTTGGGAAGGAGGTGGTATGTGATTTTTAAAATAAGCAATTCTGTTGGTAGTTGGTACATCTCAGTGGATTGGGAATTGAGCTTGCAATGTCCTGCTTAGAACCACATGCTTATGTCACATGACCACAAGGTCCTTTTCATTGCAATTAGATACTTATCAAATTAAAAATAACAACTAATATAATCAAGAATCTCTGTATACAAAAAATGCATAAATGGGAGTATGGCAAATTACTAGCCAATGACTTGCTATCATTTTCTTATATGTATATACATGTTGCAAAAAAACATTGTGTGCATGTATTAAAATTGACTATAACAAGGCCAATGGGACATGATGGGCAAACTTCATCAGACACGATGGGGATGGTAGAATATTCAATTGTGAAAGCAATGTGCATAAAAAATTAATTTTCAAATAGTAAGTTCAGTTGAACAGCAAAAGCACAGTTCACACAATGAGAATTGTACCATAGTTCATGGATATGATACTGAGTTAAAAAAAGAGATAAAATTGAAGAAAGTGGGAAAATGACATTTCAATTGAATGTCAAAGACTGCTGAAGAACACATCATATATTAGATAAACCAATTCAAGGGGAAAATCAAAGCTAAGTTTATGTAAGGAGTGTCCTATGGTGTGATGACTGTGCCTTGTCTTCTAAATGTGTGATATGAGTGCACTAGGGTGAGCTGAGTGTGTTTTTAGTCATCAGTACGATCAGAAAAAGGCTAAGCGCACCACAAAATTTGCAGGTAGCTAGTCAGTGACATATAAACCATCCACACATTGCAGGCACAACCATTTTTGAGAAATTGATGGGTTTACACAAAAATAGAAATCCATATATACGAAATAACGAAACCTATAATTAAACCAACATCATTATAGTTATTTATGTTATGCAAAAATTACAGCAAGCAGAATGTAGTGCAGCCGGGCCTATGAGTGATACCGAAAATAGGACAGTCCACATAAAGGCCAATAGCACCATAAAAATGATGTTGGTGACTTACTGACCAGTAACACATTAAAAAATGGCCATTTTGACCATTGTGTGATTGGCTAATTAGTCACCGCTGCATCATGATACTAAGTCAAATCTACAAACATGAAACTGTATACAGTTTAACTTAACAAACAGATGTAACAAATCTATTCCTTTCCTTGGAGTTGTTCTCTGGAAACTGTAAAATTTTCAGCAAGCATAATATAGTGTTGACATCATATAAGTCATGCCAAATAAAGGCCAAAAGCAGCATAACAATAACGCATAGGAGATGGTTATTGACCGAAGTGTGTGGTGAACTGATCACCCTTGCATCGAGAAATGAAATCAAGTCCACAAACTTTGAGTATGTATTAAGAGTCATTTTCTATACAGATATTAACGAATTCTAGCATTAAAACGACATCCATGCATTCATCTATCTGGAGGTGTTAAGATTCCAACAAGCAGAGTATAGTGCCACCACATGAGTAGTACCCCAAAAAATAGCAGTCCTCGTAAAGATCAAGAGCTGCCCCAACAAATTACTCTTGGTTACTTACCAATAACACATGGGAGAGTGGTGCCTTAGACCAATATGTGTGGCACTGTGGCTAATTGGTCACCTTTGCATCAAGATTCAATGTCAGACCACAAACTTGCAAAGAGATATAAACAAAATCTATTACTTAACAAACACCCTTCCCTTAAAGTTCTTTTGGAATTTGTTCAAATACCAGCAAGCATAACGTAGTGATGTCAACCTATAAGTGATGCCAATAATAGCAGTCCACATAAAGGAGCTTTTTTTCACAGGAGGTACCCTAACTTTGGATGTTGTAACAAAAAGGTACCACATTTCCTGTTTGTAACATAAACATATCCCATCTATAACAAAATGGTACCCCTTGGTTGGAAATGTGATAATCTGGCAAACAAATGTTGACCTGGCATTCTCGTTGGCTTTTCTCTGCTCCTACGTATTATCTAGGTGTCTTTTCTTTTCATAGTACGAGTAATTTTTTTCATAAAGATTTTTGGACAGCATTCTTAATGTTCAATAAATAAAAAAAGAACCTTTTTCCCTTAAAGTTGACATATTTGTGTGGTTAATGTCGAATGACAATATAAAATTAATTTATATTAATTTGAACATGCATTAAAAATTTTAAAAACTACAAGTAATTCATTGCAAACAAGTTTCTTTTCATTATTTTTGGAAAATATAGTTTTATTAAAAAAAGAAAAAAATTACAATAAGGAGGGGATGGCGCAGTCCCCGTCAAGATAGCCAAACCCAAACATGTACATAAAATAGGAAATCCAAAATTAAAAAAAAATATTCTTGCAAATGTAAAATTCTAAAATTAAAATGTTGCCCTAAAATTTTTGCTAGTGTAAATACAAACTTTTAGTAAAGCTAACAAGATTGCCAACTCAGCATTTGTTTGCCTGATTATCACAATTTTAACTATTGTGTAATTAGCTAATTGGTCACTCTTGTTGCATTAACAAACTTAAGTCAAATCTACAGACTGAACATAGCAGATATAAACAACGTGTATAATCGAACCTGAATCATTCTGAGAGACTATACATCGATAAGTTTAAGACTAGTTTGAATGACTGACCAATGGAGCAACAAGGAAGTCGAAGCCACCGCGGATGTTGCTGGCGAGAAGCTGCGGCATGTTATTGTCGAAGTCCGTCTCAACGCCGCAGTACTTGGAATCATTCTTCTCATCCCCCTTCCTCTCTCCCAGCGGCATTTCTCTTTCTCCAGCTAATACAACAGTGTGCTTGTTGCAGAGAGGTGAGTTCAGCTTGGATAGGAGGAGGGGGTTAAGGCTTCGGTCTTCTAGGGTTTTAGGCCTGGTCGTCTAATTTTATTATGCCACAAAAATGAATTTCTTTGGATTTTTTAAAATGTATATCATTTAAAATAATTTGTTTTGTTCAAGTGATCAAAAAAATTGCTTTTGTTTTGTTGAAACTTTTTCTTTTTGTAACAAAACAAAAATCAAAGTTCTCTTGATGTTTTGAACTACTTGCATGTAATCTCTCAAAGTAAGAAATAAAAAAAATGATTAACTGTTACTCCTAAAAAAGAAATAAGACAAATATTTTAAGTTATATGTTCGTTTCATAAGAAAAAAATGTAATTTTTATTTTGCATTTAGAAATGAAGAAAATTTGAATGTTCGTGTCACGCATCCCAGATACAAATATTATGTCATGTGTCCCATTCAAAAATGATGTCTATTTGGTCGTTGATTTGGAGGTAGATTTATATGATTGGACAAGATTAAGTCATCACGTTTTTCATTTTTGGGCTTAGAAGTCATCCTCACGTGACATTAATCACACTTGTCATCATACATGGTCATGTTAGAGTGTGGTATCTCTTGTCGAGGTCTCCTTCATCCTTACACTAAGTTCTCCCTAGCTATGCTAAAGTAAGATTTCTCTCCGTTGAGGTCCCCTTGCCTTCAATTTTTCATATTTGATATTTCTTGATGTTGAGATCTCTCTTGTTGAAAATCCCAACGAACATTGCGTTATATATATATATATATATGATAGAGATTTTGTAAGAGTATCAATAATATCAACGACTTTGTATTTGACTCATAGTTATATAATATTATATTTTTTAAACTAAAAAGAAATTTTTAAAAAAAACTTTTTTTTGATTATGAAAAATTATAAAAGATTAAGTAAACTTGTAACAAAAATCACATTAGCTTGGGTGGTTAAGAACTTAAGTAAATGACTAAGAGATCTTTGGTTCATACTCCCATGGTGGTATGCTTTTGAAAAATATTGCAAAAAAAAGAAAAACTTGTCCGGCCGGTTCTTGCCGGTTCGGACCAGTTTAAAGCTTATTGTGATCCATATAGCTGGACCGGACCGGTTGGACCACTGATTCACCGATTTTCAAAACTATGACATGACTTCAGAGGACATTCACAATTTAATGACTACCGGTAGGAATCGTGCCCTTGTGATTTTCTATGATCGAAAGATCTCCATCCCTGAAGAAACACATTGATTATTTCAACGAAGAGTATTATTGCTAAGGAATCGCGACCATCAATGATGAAGAAATTGATCAACAAGGGGTTTCTTGCAGAGACAGATGATCCTCTATTTTTGGCAGGCAATAAACAAATAGCTTCCAAGGTGTTATAAAAGAATGACGTCCTCTCTGTTTGTTTGATTTGGCGAAGGTTCGAAAAGAATGACGTTCATTTGCTCGATCGAGTATTCAACGAATATGAAAAACTTGGCATCTCCGTCGAAGAAAAAAATTGAATTGTCTAGATGACACTTTGAGCCCGACTACAACGAGAGAGACTTCCTCTGTCTCTATTCAATCATTCTATGTCCATGCTGGACACGTGGACAGTGGAACCCTCATGCTACAACTTGAGGGGGGTGTTACGAGTGACGTGAAAAATGGAGTTGAGTCCCTTTGGAATTCAGTTTGGTGACTTCCTTAGCTTCTCATATTCTTGTTATAGTAGGAATATAATTGTAAGTATTTACTCTCCCTCTTCATGCATAAAGAGGGGCTGAGTCTTTGTAATATGTAAGATAATTCAATACAGAAATATTTTTCCATTATTATTTTCTACAAAATCAAACAACAAGATATGAATCCATATAGTATTTGACGAAAATTTGCATAACTTGAATTTGAGACTCAAAGAAAAAAGGTTACTCTTGTTTGCATTGGTGATGCATGTACTCACACAACGTATCTCGGTGTACTTTGGTGCATGCTATTTATTGGCGATGTTGTACTCGTTGATGAGACACTCGAAGGACTCAATAATAAACAGAAGTGTGGCGTCAAGCCTCAGAAAACAAAGCTTTTTGATGAAGCATGACTAAGAATATGGGGTGCTACATTATTAGTGGTTGGGCGAGTGAGCCGGCAGTATAACTGAGGGTTGACCCGCCCAAACTTGGATTCAAAAATTGGAGGAAAAAGTTACTATTGTTTGTATAGGTGATGTATGTTCTCACGCAGCGTATATAGGGGCTACATTGGTACATGTTACTTGCCGACGACATCGTACTAGATGATGAAACACGTGAGGGCCTCAATGATAATCTGGAATCATGGATTCAAGCATCAGAACCTAGAGTTTTTTTGGCTAAGCATGATTATGATCAGAGTGAGAATGTAGAGTGTTGTTTTAGTGGCCGGGCGAGTGAGTCGGTAACAAAATTGGTGGTTTGCTCACCTCAAATGTATAAAAGAGATAAGTTTTTGTATCTTAGTTTAATGAGTCATGCAGGTAGGGGTTGGATGGGGATGTTGCTCGTCAAATTTGAGTTGTGTGGACAAAGTGCAGACTAGCTTCAGGCTTCTTTTATATTGAGAAGGTATCAATCAATATGAAAGAGAATCTTTCTCTCGTGTAGGAGGGTTGAGATGTTTATGCTTTTGGAGCGGGCAGAGATCAGATAGACCTAAGAAGTGTTTAAATTGATTTTTGAGAAAAATTAGTTGCAGCAAGGAAGAGAACGTTGGTGACCAGGAAACCCTAGTTCGATCGGCGATGCATCGATGAATGATTTGTAGTCAGCGCTGCTCTAATTGCGTCTGAGTCTTGTGCTCGGATGATGAACACTACTCTAATTCCGATCGGGTCTTCTACGGAAAAGAAAAAAGAAAGATGACAAGAATTATAAATTTCAGAGACAAAGAGGGTTGTAGATTTCACGCTTGAATGACTTATTAAGATGGTATGAACGGTATGTTGTTTAAGAATGAACACTAGGTTATTTGAGAATGAACACTGCATTGTTTCAGAATGAACACTGTGTTATTCGTAAATGAATATTATAATTGTAATGAACAAATATGTAAAATTGAACACTACGTTGTTTCAGAATGAATATTACGTTGATTTCAAAATGAACACCATGTTATTTCAAAATGAATACTTTTTTACTTTAAAATGAACATGCTTTGTACGAAAATGAGTACTACCCGACTATACTATAGTTCATCTAGAACTACTAAAAAAAATTAAAATCGAAACATGGACCAAATTGTCAATTTCAATATGACATTTTTAGGAACCTAAACTAGTTTTCCATAAGGATTCCTATCCGAGCCGGTTTAATTTTAGTCTAAACCGGCTTTCCATGTCCCTAATGTGGTTTCGTGTCTATCACAAAATGAGCAATGCTAGGGGTACACCAAAAGGTGTACTCCAAATGTACACCATCCATTCTCCATCATATATTTTTATTTGATTTTTATTTACTTATTTTTTTTTAAATTTTTTTGCTTTTTTTAACTCCTAGCATTTTTCATCACAAAATAGTTGAAGGCATGATCATCACTTCAACTAAATCGCTCTTATCCGAACCAAACACAGGCATGGAAGCAGTGGTTTGCAGCTCGAGCTGCTTTTTCTCATCGTCTTCTTCAATTTCCTCTCAAATTCAGCGCAGGAGAAGCAGCGGGAAGCTTTCTGATCCCATTAGACCACCGAAGAAGAGATTTCCCTCGTCCAGAATATGCGCACTCAACAACGCTAACAGCGCTCTCGAGCAGCTCGACATCGAGCGCGGAGTTTGCATCCCTTTCCGCAAATACTCCCCCGAATCAGTGCGTTGAATTCCCAAACACCGTTTAATTCATTGGTTTTCGTTGTTTGCAGGAATTTCTCATTCGATTAAGCTTTCTGAGGTGTTTGGGATGACTGATCTTGAAGTGTTTTTTTGTTGTTGTATAGGTGAAAAGTAAGGTATTGGAGTCTAGGGGGGCTATATTGTCCTTGATTGGCAGAGGGGTAGAGATAGTGTGGAGTTTGGGTCTATATTGGACGACTTTGCTGTATGACTATGCTGTGGGTCGTGATCAAGAGGTTGTTCCTTTCAGGGCTGTGCAGTTAAGGAAACTCTTGTGTAACCTGGGTCCTTCTTTCATCAAAGCCGGACAGGTTTGTGCTCTTTCAATCTCATTCGGATTTTAACATTTGATTCTGTGCTTATAATGCTTGTGTATCATTTTTGGTGTTCCAAATGTATATTAAGTATTTGGACATTCATTGCTCAATGATTCTCTAGTCACAAAATGTTAAAGATTTAACAACAATGACAACACTTAATGCTGACTCCATAGCATAGGAGGCTTTCCCTTAAAAAACATATTGACTTGAAATTGAAATACTAAGTAAATAGAAACTCACTACTGCATTTTAAGGTAGAAATATTATCTAGGCTTGTAATTCTGGAAGTAGATGACAACTAATCATATCTGCTGGAAAAAGTGTTTGGGTAATAAGGTTTTACCTTTGTGGGCAGTAAGCGATAGGCCTATGATATACTTCTTAGTGATTTGATGTGTATCATGTTACGTTGCATGATAGAATGCCAGAATACAACAAAATTTGTACTAAATTTATTCTCCTTATCTTTTAAAAAAGGCTAAGTTATTGGACATCCTAAAATTGAATGTGGGATTAGAATAGTGGGTCAGGGAGAAGAATATGAGATATAGTGATCAATAGGTTATAGGCTTACAACAGTCACAAAATGGTGGAGATTATTAACAATAACCTCTTAGACTATATTGTTACGGACTGATTTCGTTGTCCCAGTGTCCCACACCGGTCAAATGGGGGACTTGGTGATGGGTTTATATAGCCTAGGGTTCTCCCACCTTAATAGCTAGCTTTTGGGGTGTGGCTCTCCCTAGTGTTGTAACAGTGGTATCAAAGCCAACTCGGAGTGGGTGCCTATGGAGTGGTGGCCTGGTGAAACCATCCGTGATCAATGTGACCGTGACCAACGTAGCCGTGACCAACGAGGACGTTGGCCGTTAAGGGGGGTCGAATGTTACGGACTGATTTCATTGTCCCATACCGGTCAAATGGGGGACTTGGTGATGGGTTTATATAGCCTAGGGTTCTCCCACCTCAATAGCTAGCTTTTGGGGTGTGGCTCTCCCTAGTGTTGTATCATACTTTTATAACTTTTTTCACTTTTTTGCTAGCCAACGAGTTAAAGTCTGATTGCTGCTACATGGATGTTTATGAACCTGCTTCTCTTTTTTATGTTTTTTTTTAAAAATTTATTTTGGTAGGTGCTTGCAAATAGACCAGATATTATTAGAGAAGATTACATGAATGAACTTTGTATTCTTCAGGATGATGTTCCTCCTTTTCCTAATCAGGTAATGAGTTGATGAGTTTAGTCTCCTGACACATTTTCTAATATGATACTTCTTCCGCTCAATTTATCCACGGGCAGCAATCATTGACAGTGGTTTAGGTTGCTTTCAACATCATCGAAGAGGAATTAGGTCAACCTCTAGAAGCTGTTTTCAGACAAATTTCATCGAAGACTATAGCAGCTGCAAGTTTGGGTCAAGTTTATCGAGCTACATTACGTGCAACAGGGGAGGATGTTGCTATTAAGGTAGCACAAAATTTTAATCTAAATTTTTGTTTGCCTGTGTTTACTACTATGTTGTGGTGATTGACTGATTGTTCAATTACTTCAATTGTTGTTGAATTTGTTGACCATGATATGAATGCGTTCTTATATAATACTCCCTCCGTCCCACAAAATACTACCCATTTTGATGTATTTTTGGTCAAACATTTACACGCATTGACCATAAATTAAATATAATCTAAATAAATAAATGTTAGAAAAATATGGTATATCAAAACTAGATACTAAGATGAATCCAATTATATTAAATTTATATTATAATTCAATATACTTTTCTCACAATTTGTAGTCAAAGTGTGTAATTTTTTGACCAAATACTATTCAAAATGGATAATGTTTTGTGGGACGGAGGGAGTAATAGACTGCTGTGTTTCTTGATTGGTCACTGATCTGTTGAAACTTGAAACACTTGCATTTTATGGTTAAAAAACATTGAGCCCTGAATTTCTTCACTGGTCTGTTTTACATCTGATGCAAACCAAAAGCCCATATTTGGGAAACCATCCAGCCTGCAAGGAAGATTAGCCGCCAAGAAAAGCAGCCCATGAAGTATCGGAACTTTATAGACAAATATAATAGCACTTTATCAAGTACTCTCTTTGTCTTAGCAGTGAGTGAGTGAGGTGGCAGGTGTTTGTTATTTGTATATCATGTCAAAGGGAATCAACCAATCATTCAATTACCATCTTCTCTCAACTTCATCTCTCTCTCTCTCTCTCCCCTTCTCACTGCTTCTTTGTACCGGGAATTCCTTGAGGGCGCAACAACATCCTTTAAGAGAACAAAAAGTATTCTCATTGAGTTACTAAGTATTGATATTTGGAATCCACATCCCTCTTATATCTTTTCCACATTAATTATGCAAGTAATAGTTTTTTGAGTAGCATTTGTTTGTCTGTTCTCTAGCAAGCTTAATAATATTTAATTTTGGAAAGAAAAACTTCTGATTAAAATATGGATAAACATGTTTTTTTGCAGGTTCAGAGGCCTCATATCGAGCCTATCATCTACCGAGATCTTTTTCTTTTCCGGACGCTGGCTTCATTCTTGGATGGGATCAGTCTTCAAAAATTAGGCTGCAATGCACAACTTATAGTGGATGAATTTGGGGAGAAACTATTAGAGGAGCTAGACTATACAATGGTAATATTTTGCTCCTACTTTTTGTCTGCTATAAGAAGGAGATAGTGAATATCTTATTATAATAAGTATCTGTTCACCATGTGTAAGTTAATTATTGATTTGGAGTTGTATGGAATATATTTTTCTGGGTGAGGCTTTGAGGGTTTGTAGCATCGGGATACTATGGGCATGTGTGAGCTCAAATGTCTGCATATTTTTATTTTAATAAAAACAGCTTTCAATATCAGTGAACATAGCTGTGGGAAAGTTTGTTGAATTATAAAGCTAACAGTGTCATTCTCTGTACTATTTAACATTGTGTTGCGCTCTTTTCTTTGCTTCTCCAGGAAGCTCGGAATATTGAAGATTTTTTGGAAAATTTCAAGAATGACTCCACAGTCAAAATTCCTCGGGTCTACAAACAGCTTTCTGGTCCACGTGTTTTAGTAATGGAATGGATTGATGGAATACGGTGCACGGATCCAGAGGTGCATACTTCAGAGCTTTTCTTAATTTCTTGTTTTCACGAATCAGTTCTTAACTTGATCCATTTGCATTATATTACAGGCAATCAAGGGGTCAGGAATTGATATAGATGGATTTTTGACTGTTGGAGTTAGTGCAGCCTTACGGCAGCTGCTTGAATTTGGTTTGTTCCACGGAGATCCACACCCTGGGAATATCTTTGCTATGCGTGATGGCCGCATTGCATATGTTGATTTTGGGAATGTTGCTGTTCTGAGTCAGGTAAAATATGCCTTTGTAGGGTTGGTGAACAAAGAATATTAGGCTATAATTGTATTTACCCAAAACACAGGCAGAGGTAGACACAGAAAATTTGGTGACAGGGCCAGTTGGGTGAGTGGTGAAATTTTCTACGACATCATACTGTTAAGATAGTCGTTACAGTTAACAAATTTGTGGAGATTATAACACAAGGAGAATTCAAGTATAACTTTAAATTGGAAATTTGAAATGCATAATTACCAATGTTTATAATTACTCCATATGTATTTAATCTTGTCAATTCATTCTTTTTTGTTTCATTTTTCAAATGATTTTATTTTAGAATATTGCATATTATTTGTTATAATAACATATATTAACTTCTAACTTTCCTTTTTCATCCATCCCAAAATAAAATTCACACTTCTCATTTTTCCAATTACATAATGAAGCATGTGGCTCACTAAGTTTTCTCTCTTTAAACAATTTCCAATCACACTTTATTTTTCAACAATTTTTTCTTAAACTCCGTGAAGTCACATCGTGGAGTTTATTTCATGACGAAGGGAGTAAATTTCTTCATAAATATACATAACATAAAATTCGCATTTATCATTTGTGCCGAAGTATAAATACGAGACATGCAGAAGCATGAAGCATTAATGAATGGTTTAATTGTGGGCAAGAGAATTTTAAGTATTTAAATAAAAATATAGACAGATCAAAGTTATCCAGCAATTGATAATGTGGTTTTAAAAACATTCTTTTTTAGTAATACTCTTATGTATTAGGATTTAGGAATAATGGGAGTGCTACATGGTCTTTCTCCTTACTTTCTTGTCTCTGTCAATAAATCAAGTACATATTTGCATTGAAATATGAATATCCTAACTTTGTGTTACTTCAGCATCCAAAAAATACATTCTATGAGCAGATATCTTTTGTACATTTTAAGAGCTGAAATACCATATGTTAATCATAATATGATCCCACAATAACCATTTTCAAGTAAGGCAATACTCCACACCTTTTTTAGACCATTTGGTAGATACTAGTATTTTGGTGTGTAAAAGAATTGTAAAATTACAACCCCCTACCAACGCCTTACACCCACTCTTAATAATGTTGACTTTTGTGGTTACAGCCTTACAGGTTTGTCATTCATGCCGTAAATATGCTCCTCAAGACATTGCCTCAGATATTTATTACTCCGTTTTTTTGTATATCCATATGAAGAGCGATTAGTCAATTCGTTTCAGTTTTTCCTTGCAGCAAAATAAACAAATTTTGATTGATGCTGTCGTCCATGCCGTAAATGAGGACTATGCTGAGATGGCCAAGGATTTTACTAGGCTTGGATTCCTAGCTAGTGATACTGATGTATCCCCCATTATTCCTGCTTTGGAAGCAATTTGGCGGAACTCGCTTGAAAAAGGACTTGCTGATTTTAACTTTAGAAGTGTAACAGGTAATGCTGGTGTTTTTTACTCATAGCCTTAACTGCCTTTCAGCATCTGTATAAGTGGGACTCTTGTAGCTAAGGGAGAGCAGTGCTCCAGCCTCCATGGAAATCGTTATCATTACTTACAGAGTTGCCTACTAAATTTACTTTCTGTACACAGTCATTCTTGTATGAGCAGCTGTCTCAGCTTTCTTTTCATGTGATTACTGATAATTGATAGCACATGTCCCATGCTGCAGGAAAATTTAACCAATTAGTTTACAACTATCCCATTCGTATTCCGGAGAGGTTTTCTCTAGTTATTCGTTCTCTATTGACTCAAGAAGGCATCTGTTTGACATTGAAGCCAGACTTCAAATTTCTTGAGGTGAATCTTCTTTGTTTTTTTTACTGAAATTCTTCTTAGGAAGTGTCTTGGCCTCCAGATTATTTTACAAACTGCTTTTTGTTTAGACTGCCATTTTTTATTTGTTTTTTTAATTATCATCACAAAAGTTTCAAATTCTTCTTAAGCGAAAGTGAAACATTTTTATTTTGAATATATGTTTCCCAAATATTCACACCAAGTATTCACAAAATATATATCAGGTTGCCTATCCTTACATTGCGAAGCGCCTTCTTACCGATCCTAACCCTGCTTTGCGGGAACGCCTTATGCAGGTTGGTTTAAAAATTCTAGACTATGTTACTGCTTCATAACAACTACATCTTACCTGTTGAATGTTGTTTCATGTACGTAGTATTAATTTGTTTTTTAAATGGATTTGATATGTTGGTATTCCTTTCCATTAGAATGTTTTTCATGCACAAGTCAAATACACCAGTAAATAGAATTACTCCGAGACTCTGATAATTATTTTAGGAAACATATTATGTTACGTATTTACTTTCTTTGTAAGATGATGATGCATTCAAATTTTTGAATGTTATTGTTAGGAATCGTAGGGTAACTGAAATTTTGGCAGGGTCTGCAGAACATTTAGCACATATAAAGAAACGTGCATCAGACAAACTAGGTTGATACAAGTATACTCAGTGTACTCCATGCAATACTATTGATCATATGATTGGATTCAAGAGTAGCGGCACACAAGAATTTTTTTCTATAGTTCATGGTCCATGAATTTAATTTCTAAAATGCTAGAAACCCACCATGTTGACACCAAGAGTTTGCCAGCAAGTGTTTCACCACATGCACACACAATGATTGTATGTGCGCCACAGACAATTATTGTCTCAGAAATACTTCGGTGTCAAACTCTTGGGTTTCTAGTATGACTCATTTAATTTAGGTCTTGCAATATCAATCATGTTAAGAACATGACAATAGCAAACCTCAACTCATCGCCCTCATGATGCGGTTATAGATTTTTTCATCTCCCTATTCCTTCGCTGCTGCTTTTTTGCCAGCATATCTAAACTTATCGCCTTCTTGATGCTGTTTTTGCCACTATCTCAACTCATCAACCATGACGCAAATCCGAGGGCATTTGGCATTAATTTGCATGAATTTGTAGTGTTAATTAGTTCTATAAAATTAATTAACACCAAACATTTTATGCCACTTACCCTGAGTAGTTGAGATTAAGGTGCCAATAACTATTACTCTGTAGATGGTTAGTTCATCTCCAATTTGTATTTCAGTGCAACTTGTATGAGACGTGAGGCACTAACACTTATTGGTTAAAAAAGAGTACACACTTAATATAAAGGAAAATAATATTATTCTTGTAGTAATGGTAGTATTTATAAGATTAAAAAGTACTTGTATTAAATTTTATGTTTTATTTTCGAACAAATAATACTTTAGGTGATTTGACTAGTGGCAAAACTTTTTTCCTACTTTTTCTTTTGTTCTGGTGTACGTGGCAGGTTTTGTTCAAGGAAGGTGCATTCCAGTGGAAACGGCTTGAGAATCTAATCATTCTTGCCAAGGAAAACGTGGTAAAGATGAGCAGTAACCCTGCTCTAAAAGGGAATAATAGCATGTCAGTAAATCCATTGCTCTACACTTAGACGTGCCTTTGTTTTTTTTCTTTACTTCAATTCACCTGCTACCGCGGAAGTCTAAAACACATCAATAATGTCCACATGGAAAGGTATAATAAAGACATTCAAGTTGAGCGAAAGTTGGATCTCACGGACACAATCAAGGATGGAGCTCGAGTTGTCCTTCTGGATAAAGTTATTCGCAGGCAGCTTCTTCTTGCTCTCACTGAAGACTCAAAACTTCACATTCAAGAGGTATCACTATATACAATGATTTTCCAGTTCAGACAGATCACACGTGCATGCTTAATTACAAGGATGATTTCATTGATTGAGGTGCGGTACTATTTGCAAATATTTCAATAAATATTTAGTCATTAAGCGACGGAGTGTTGTGAGAGTTCTAGAAAACCTTTTTGCCTTTTAGCATCTGTCATGTTGGATTTTAATAAGGTACGTCCAATATAATACTCAATATAAGAATATGAATTAGCTTTCTTATATAGAGCCTGCTCGGCAAGATCTAAAATGGCTGAATCTACGGAAGTTATGGGTGAAATTGATTGATGTCACAGTGGTCGCGTCGGTCCTAAAAGCAGTCAGATTGAATATATCAAGCATATCACCTTAAACCTACTATAGTAAAGTATCAGTTAGCTAGCATATAAAAGCAAACCAAACAAACTCTCAGAACTTAGTATGCCCTCGAAAGTGGGATGTTCAAATACATCTCCTCTATCCCGGGTACTGGGATTAGATATGTCATCTCCTTGAAGGCCCACCGTCAATGGAAATATAGAGAGATTTTCGTAATTATTACTATTATTTTACGGAGTAGTATATATGTGAGTACAATAAAAAGCCCAGATATAGCTTATTGGGAAAATATAATTTCTTAGCTTAACCAGAGTCTCATACAAGAATATACGTAGTATATATATATATACATATATATATATATATATATGGGATTGACTCCAGTTAGATGACACCTTACGGAGTTACGGTGAGCTGACATGCTATGATCAGATGACGGAAAGCTCAACCACTGTAAAGCTCACCAAGGACAACTACAAAGCTCACCAAACTGCAAGGCAAAACTCACCATATTTTTCCAACACTTTGAATTTTTTTTGAAAAAAATAAAATCAAAGGAAGGGGTGATGGCTAGATTTTGACCGTTGACCGCCACCTTTGACCGCCGTCCGCCGCCACCGTTCCGCCACCGGTGGCCGCTGCACCGCCACTGGCCTCCGCCTGCCGGACGCCGCTGCTGACCGGTGGTTGACCGGTGTTGCTATTTTATTTTTAATTAATTTTTTAATTTTCAAAATTAAAAAAAAGGTGAGTTTTGGTGTTCAAAGTGGTGAGCTTTGCTTTATTTCCAGGTGAGTTTTGCATTGTCCATTGGTGAGCTTTGTAGTGTAATGTGGTGAGCTTGGCGTCATCTCCCCGAAGCATGTCATCTCATCGTAAGGTGTTATCTGATTGGAGTCAATCCCTATATATATATATATATATATATATATATATATATATATATATATATATAATGGTATTTCTAACAATAGTAGGAATCCATAATATGGAAACTAAAATAGGAAGAACTAGGGGTGGTGGATGTGGTAAGAGAGAAGTTTTTGGTAAGTGCTTCAACCCAAAAAGTGACGGGTAAATGAGATGTATAGAGGGTGATAACAGTTTCAATGAGATGACAATGCTTGCGTTCAACCACCCCATTTTGTTTGGGAGTGTATGGGCAAGTTTTTTGAGGAAGAATACCAAGACGCTGTAAAAAAGAGACCAAATTGTTTATTGATATAGTCTTTTCCATTGTTTGTTCGAAACAACTTAATAGTGGCCCCAAATTGATTTTATACCGTGAACTGAACTTTGAAAAACTCCAAATGTCTCAGATTTTTGTTTTAAGGGGTAAAGTCAACAGAGAACTTTGTAAAGCCATAACCACCCAAAGACGGAACTGATGTAGGTCCCTACACATCAAAAGTGAATTAATTGAAATGGAAAAGTACCAGCTATGTAAGACAGATTCGGTGACAGAGTCTGGTGCATAAGAGATTACCAAGGTGAAAAATGCCAGAGGAAGTGGGTTATGGGTTTAGGAATTCTGGTTAGGAGTATAAGTGTATGCACGGCTCTGGTCTCTGCCACTGGGCTGACCTCGACCACAGCCACCATTAAAAGCACGACCCCCGCAGCTTCTGCTCGGTCCTCTCCCACCGCCACGGAAACTGGAGTTTGTGTAAAGAGCAGTGCAAACATCTGTGGAAGAGGAGTTTCATAGTTGAAGTTTCTGCTCCTCTAGCAATAATCAGGATGTGACCTCAGTTAAAGTGACCGTGCCAATATATGTTCTAATATTCTGTTTAATGGCCGAATAATCCGAGAGTAGACCACGGAGATCACATCTTTTTCAGAAAAACCAGATTTTGCATCATCCAATGCATCAAGTATTTTAACATTAGGATCAAGATATTTTTCCATGGGATCTGCACCTTTATGCACAATATGAAGTTGCTCTTTGAGTTGAAAAATATGAGTACGAGAGGGAGAGAGTTGTACCGAAGTTGTAGATGAGCCCATATAGCTGATGCGGTATTTTGTCCATGAAGATAATTTTGCACTGAAAGATTGATGATCACAAGAAGACAGGTGCAAAGTTGAGCATCAATAACAACCACGTTTCATACTCCGGATTCAAAATTGCACTTGCCGTGCCGTCTTTGTCAAGTGCGAGAACAGTGGACTCATGTGCGAGGAGACTTCCATCAACAAACGCCATAAGCATGTGAGCAGACAGATACACAGAGACTGGAGAACCATGACGAAAAATTGGTGTCTTCAAGTTTTTCTGGAGTCAGGGAATGAAGATTCTTAATCAAGAGTTTCAAACCCGTAGGTAGAGCATCAAGAGGATCGGGCTTCTTTGTCATGGCGATGAAGAATCAGATCGGCAAAGGAGAAGAGAGCCGAAAAGAGGAGATGAATTTCTCGGCTAGCGTTTTTTTGAACCCTCACTCCAATACCACATTGGAAAAATATAATTGCTTAGCTTAACCTGAGTCTCATACATGAATATATATATATATATATATATATATATATATATATATATATATATATATATATATATATATATATATGGCATTTCTAACAATAGTAGGGATCCATAATATGGAAACTAATAATAATTCTAATATTAAATATTGTGCCTAACATAGCTAAATACGAGTAAATGAAATAATTGTTGCTGCGCTTCTTGTCATCGCACGACGCGCTTGAGGTAACGAACTTTTGTGGTGCAGCTTGTGGATGTATACAGACTGCTTGAGGATGAAATAGACCTACCTTCAGTGGCAAGGGCAGTTGTGGGAGGTGATGATCCATTTGTTTCGGTTCACGTTCCATACACACACACACACACGGTTTTGGTGACAATTATGATTCTGATATATTTTGATGATGACTTGGGCGGTGCAGACCTTCCATCCATTGCTCGAGATGTCATGCTGTCATGGACCAACTCTGTTTTATCTGATACTTGAGAGGTAATTTTGCCATGCCCCACTTTTTTTTTCTTTCAGGATGCTATATATATTATATCCTCTCTTTTGTGCTGCTTATTGGTTAGTATTGTATACTTATACAAGGGGGGGGGGGGGGGGGGGGGGGCACAAATTATTCGTTACAGTCATGGAATGAGGTGAACGTTGGTTAAAGCATGCCGGCTGTGAAATAATATATATTGTTCCTATGTAATTGTAATTTTCCTGCTGTAAAATAATCCTTTTTTTAAAAATAATACTCCGTATTTGTTAGTTAAACCATTTTTTATTTATAAACTATTGTCTTCGGCATGCTATTCGAAAGTTAGTGAGGGTGAGAGCACTGGTAATACTCTTGAAGCTTCGAGGCTTCAAACTTCTATTTTTTACATTTCTGAATACACATCTAAAATTGAATTAATAAGATTTCTTTATTTAATTGAATTTAAACAATAATAGTTCATTAAATAAAAAATTACACTCATTAAAAAATTACATAAATAAAATTAGATTTGAATAATAATAACACACAGACTAAATAAAAATTACATTACATTACAAAGAAGTTAGAGATTATTCGAGCGACTAAAAATATTTTCAATCAAAATCGTCGTTAGTGCATTGTGAACCTCTAAGCTTCAAATTCTTGGCAGTTTCATCACTTTTTTCTTCATCGATTTCTTTGAATGATTGCAAACTTGATGTCCTCTATGATCATATTATAAAGAGTAATACATGAGTACATGATATTCCTCTGGATATATTTCTTCCGCAAAATAATATCTACGCTTGTAAAATGTCCCTTTAAGCTCAAAAGATGAGTCAGGTGCAATCTCATTAATCCAATCGTCAAAAACAGGTGATTGATCAAGAACATTGATGTCGTTCGAGCCCGCAACACCAAAAAAACATGCTAAAATCACAAGTCATTAAAAGCCACAGCTTCAAGCATGGTAGTAGGCTTAGGATGATCACTCAGGAGAATTGACCATTCTACGATGTGGAACAATTTTTTCATTCCCAATGCGTGCAATCGATGCTCCCAAGCATGCCGACAAAGCGGTATTTAACAACATGCCTAACCTATAAGTGCGTAATGTCGCTCGTTGTCGGCTTGCGTAAAGATCTTTTATGATAAAGTCGAAAAATAACCTTAGAAAATTTATAAAAACATGACCTGATGCTCCGAGTTGACATCCTCAAATATTCATCGAACATATCAGATGTTGTCCTGTACGCCATCTGACAAAGTGCGACAGTGCACTTCTGACGCTGCTAAAATCGTGCCGGCCTCTCGCATCAAAGCTTTGGGTGAACCAAGGCACCTCGTGTTCAATATCGGCGAATATGCATAAAAAATAAAGCAATTCATTCAAAAATAGTTACTAAAATCTTCCGGTGTGTGGATACACAGAATATTGAAGTAGTCGTTGAATAGTGGAGCGTGTGCAGCCACGGGATCATGTTTTACACGCTCACATTGGGTCGGGCATCGGGACGATTCTGCTTCTTCTCACCCGTCGCAAAACAACGAAAAATGAGAGCTCTCTTTTCATCATCAGATGATGATCTCATTTTTTGAATATTTTGTAGAAATAAATAAAAGAAATAGAATATATTTTGGAGGAATTATAGAGAGAATAAGAATATGTTATGTGTCTTTGTTGAATTAAAAATAAGGGGTATTTATAGCATTGAAAAATTAATTTTTTAAATAATGCCTAATGATCCAAATTAAGGCAATTGAGGGGAGGGAGAGTGGGAGAGTCGTTGCCGCCACTGCGTCAAACGTTTAATGCATGGCGTTTGACGTCGAAGGGGGGCGATGTTCGACACCTTTATGGCGTTAAACGGTGGATAACAGCCCGGGGCGTCAGCGACATTTCCAGCGTTCTGAAGGACATGATGTGGTTAGAATATTTAAAAAATTAATTAAATTGGGACTATAAATAGTGATAACATATACTCTTTCCGTCCCATAAAACATGGAATGTTTTGCTTTTTGAAAAGATTTACGGGGAGTGTATTTTGGTATTGAATTTCCAAAAATGTCTTTTGATGTGATGGGTAAAAGTAGGATTTGATGGGTAGATTATTAGTAAAAAGATACTCCCTCCATCCTAAAATTAACTTCTCAGTTTGACTTTTGTAGTCAAACTTTTTAAACTTTGATCGTATATTATGGAAAAAATACATTGAATTTTCATATAAATTTATTAGCAATAGATTTATTTTGAAACATAGTTTTGAAATATATAATTTTTATAAAATATATTTCTATAAAAATTGAGATATTGATGGTTAAAGTGTCGCATTGGAGAGCGTGAAAAGTCAAATGAGAAATTAATTTTAGGACGGAGGGAGTATGATGTAATAGGTAAGGTATGAAAAAGTAAGGGATAAAAGTGAATTTTTAATAGAAATGAAAAGTGTTTTATGGGACGGATGAAAAAAGAAAGGAGAATGATTTTATGAAACGGAGAGAGTAGTATTTTCTTCCCTTCATTTTCTTTTCTATCATTTTCCCCCCTTGTTTTCTTTTACTCCTTTCGTCCCATATTAGAGTACAATTCCTCAATTATAGGGTAGATCCTAATATTTTAAAAATTTTATAAATTAGAGGCGTTAAAAATTTTTTTTATCAAATAAGAAATGAAGATATACAAATAAACCAAACTTATTAAGAGGTAGGCTTCAAAAAATTGTATCCCCCTCCACTCTTGGAAATTTTTCCAATCAATTTTTCATGATCTCTAATGTTATCTTGACCACTAATATCAATACTTATGTATAGATACTTTATAAAATTGATACTTCAATATCCAAGTAAATTCTAAAGAGTATACCTCAAAATATGCTCTGAAAATTTATATTTATACTTAAAATTTAATTCTTTACCTTGGTACAAAAGATTAATGCGATCGCAAAATTTTACACTGACATTTACATAAATATAAAATTTTAGGTACAATATTTGCGGTAGAAGTAGATCTATTCCACAAATAAATGAAAAGTCTAGGTAGGGCAGGGCAGGTTCCTTTGAGAAGGCGCCAAAAAGCGCGTTGTTAGCGCCACGTGACCGACACTTGAAAAGCTGATTTGACTAGTCATCAATTGCATCGCCACTAGAACAACTACAAAACCAACTTTACCTTTTCTTTTAGTTTTTTCGGGTACAGCTGTACTCTTTAAAAAGAAAACACCATTTCTAAGATCTCCGAACGACTATTCAAAAATTACCTAATACTCCTCCTCTCCTAAAACCATAGTTTTCAGAATCGAACCGGTCAAAACATTGATTCACTAGTCGAACCAGTGGTTCGAATGATTGAAGTCATTGAACCAATGATTCAATGAAGTCTAAAATGACACCAGTGCTACTGGTGTCATTTGCTTACACCAGTTCGTTTGGGTACCTACGGTGTTCCGTTTGTAAAAACGACAGTTCCTACCACCTCAACCCTCCCCCTAAACCCCCCACCTCTGCCCCCTCCCGCCCCTTCCCTACCCTGGCAGTACACAGTGTACTGCCAGGGTAGGGAGGGAGCGGGGGGGGGGCTGTGGGGCAAGGGGTGGGGCTGGGGTGATTCTCCATATATATCTTATTATTTGCATGTATACATGATTATAATATATATATTATGATGTTGTAATTATAATATCATGCAGTGTCATTTTCACGGAAGAGGGTGCTCGGATCATTAGTTCCACATTCCAGCAGAGGCTCGACCCAACAGGGGGCAGTTGGAAGATCCTAAACGACGTGACAGTGGACTTTTACTGGAGAGAGTTTCAGGTAAAATTTGGTTAGATACGAATATCAAATGTATGCTTTCTATATATTTGTATTTTGTTTAAGCTATTTTCTGACATGTCCGGTCTAATTTTTTTTTTAAATTTAGAAAACATGCCACTTGGGACCCTCGCATTGATGATAGGGTTATGTTCCGTGCTTGGCGATCGAAGGCTAAAAGACGATACACCGACTGGCTCTCATCTATTAGGAATGAGAAGAAAGGAACAGAGAAGGTGCAGCCACTTGTACCGCAATCGTGGAAGGAGGTATTTCTAAATTTTCTTTTGAATTGATGACTTATGTTATACTCCCCATCAAATCGTGTGTATATATTTCTATACTTGTGTTTATATGTTGTATAATAGTATTGGAAGTCGCCAATGTTTTTGACACCTCTTGCCTTGTTAATTGTGCAACGCCCGTCGAAGATATATTTTTTTAATCTAAAATGAAAACTGCAAGGAGAGGGCGGGGCTAATTATTGTGTTTTCGGTTGGGCACTTGAGGATGGGAAATTTCCTGGAATATGTCAAAGGGATGGGATGAAGAGAAGACGTTTAGGGGGAGATGGGAAGAACCTATCTTTGGGGGACCACACCCAAAAAGGCTACTTTTATTATTAAGTGCGTGCCACCCCCACCCCCTACTCATCATAACTCTTTTTGTCTCTTTTCCACCACTTTTTCCATTTATTAGTAGTCATATCTAATCCCAAAAATAAATTCATATAGTGCCGTCCTGGTCCAGTCCCTCCTCGAAAAAAGGTAGAGCGCCTACTTCAAGATAATGAAAATAAATAAATAATGATACTCCCTCCGTCCCAAAATATAAACAACATTCCAATATTTAAAAATCTCGAAAACTTTTATTTATTTTTGCATTTTCATTAATTATTTGATAAAATAAAATATTCTTGTCACTAGTTTTGTAAGAATTTTTGACGTAGTTTTTAAATATGTAAATTTTATTTTTCATTTGTAGACCATTCTTTAAATAAAATGGATTGAAAAAATTCAAAAAATTACTTCGTTTAGCGTGATGTTCCATATATTTTGGGACGTAGGGAGTATAATCTGGTCCGTAAAGAATTGCCCCAACCCTCTTTGGAAGAACCTATCGTTGGGAGTAATTTTATTTCCATTTTTACGAAATGTACGCCTTATTTGGTTATATTCATTTATTTTTACACGAAATAAGGTTTTTGCGTCATTTGCTCTCAAATTTACAAAAAGTATACGAATATCCCTGAATGATGGCTAAATCTACCTTATTTATGAATAAATGAATAATTTTATTCGCAAAAGTACATATAAGATTGTTCCATGTTAGCAAATTTTTTCAAGGGTAAATATGTCTATATGATATAAATAACGTAAATTTAGCCACAATAAGAATGGATATAGCAACACCTTATCCAAAATTCTAAGATTTCAATTCATTTCCAATCTGATTTTTTTCGAACACTCGTTCCGAAAATTCCAAAATATAAAATGTCGGATTGGATATGCATTTCCCGAATCAGATTAGGCCGGGTTGTGGACGGATTTTTCAGGTCTAGCACTGAGTTTTTAGGTGTATATAGGTGAATTTAAGAGCATGAGCAATGACAAGTAAAAAATGGAATGCCACACGGTGACGTAGAATATTTTAACCAATCAAAACCAGTCTAGTCAGCGTGTGACAAGTGAATGGAGTGACATGCCTTACAATGGCAAGTAATTGTTTTTGTCCATTTTTACACTTTTTAAACATATTTTAATTATTAAAAATTATTTTACTTATATTTTTTTACAAAAAATAGATGTACTCATATTTTTAAAAAAAATATTCTTTTTTGTACAAAAGAAAATTTAAAAGAAAAAGAAATCTGACTCGCGGAAGCCTCATGTACCGTGGAAGAAGTGTAATCCCACGTGAGGCAAGCTGATGGATTGATTGTCCTATATGTCATGTACATTGCACCTGACATGGCATGGCAAGCGGATGGAGCACCGCTGCACATCTCTAAGGGCAAACTTGGATCGCCCTAAATCAAATTAGAATGTGGTTTAATAATCCTTAATTCCTCCTTAAATTAGAAAAGTGTTTGAAGTTGAGTGGTTTGACATTAATTACTTGAAAAAAAAGAAAAAGGGGCAGGCTACGTTATTAATGACATTTGGGGGGGGGGGGGGGCTAAGCCTAACAGTTCGTTTGGTGGAAATTAAAAACCAAACGTAAAAGTGGCAGTCCCATTACTATTACGAGCCTATACATTATTGACTTTTTCGGCCAACCCCCAAAATACGGAGGAGAGGGGTATGAATTATTACCTCCGTCCCTGATTTAATTACAAATTAAGATTTACGAGAAATTTTTTTTCACTTTTTGAAATTATTTTAATTATAAATCAATAAATCGATTAGAAATAAAAGTTACATATTAAAAATCACGTCAAAAATTCTAAAAATGAGAGGTGGCAAGAATATTTTATTTTATCAAATACCTAATAAAATCACATAAACAAACAAAATTTATCGAGAAGAGAAAAAAATTGTACTCCCCTAATAAAATTGGAGAGGGAGGGAGTATGAATGAATGATCAATGGGATGGGTGTCCCTTCATTACTCATCATCATCATTAGCTCCCCACTTCCCTTCCTCTCTGCCCACTACTCGTTTTCCATTACTCCGTACTATTATACCCAAACAGCCCTTTATCAGTTAGAGTAGGATAACATCCTGATTTAGATTTTACTCGTCCGTGCCTCTTTTTTTTAGATTAATGTATTTGTACCTCAAAATTTGTATTTTCATACATAGATTTATATTTTCATTTTGTATCAGTGTAATGCTTAAGTGATGATTCACACATGTACAAAATGTTATCATAATTTTTTTTATCGCAATAGCATTTTGTACAAGTGTGCAACATCAAAATGTTACTGTATCCCATTTGGTGTAACTTAAGAATACATTTTTTGTTTAAATGGAGCATGTTTGTTTTTTTAGGAGAGCAAAAAGAAAATCTTTTCTCTTGTTGAAAACATATACTTTGACCCTACCAAACTATTCTCATGAACAGCGTCAATTGTTCAATTATAAAAGAATAAAGGGTCTAATAAATCATCAAACCCGTGATTGTACAAAAACTTTTGCCTTTTATTTCACCTATAATGGCTTCTTTTTTCCTCCAAATACCAACTACCCCTTTCTGTCCAATAAAATAAGAAGCGATTTTAGATTCACAAATAGAAATTATAAACTTTACAAACTTATTATTTATAATTTAAACTTTCATTTTAAGATTATTTTAAATTACTTAATTTTTTATTAAAATTCAAAAATAGTAAATTTGTAAAATTTGTGACTATTATATTTGTGAACCAAGCATTTTTCATAAAATAACACGGAGTACTCCTTGATGCTTCTATATTTAATTGTCAGCCACTTCGTTTTTGTTCATTAATTTCTTTCTCATTTTTTGAACCGAACAAATATGTCTTTCTCGTTTTCTATTTTAGTAACAAAATTTTAATGAATCTGCCATTATACTTGTACTTTTTATGTACATTATTTATTTTATTCCATTATATCAAGGACAAAACATAGAAATTTTTACACTTTTTAACTTTTCTTAATTTTCATGTCAAGTGGAACAGGAAAAGAAATTTTTGAATAAAAACTGTAAAAGTTAAAACAAGGAAAAATGAGGTAATAAAAGATACTCCCTCCGTACTAAAACTTTCTTCTCAAAACACTATTCCAACTCCACGGGAATTTATATTTATTTGTGTTTTTTCATGGCCTATATGATAAAATAAAATATTCTTGTCACTACTTGTTTTGTTGAACTTTTGATGTAGTTTTTAAATATGTATGTTTTATTTTTTATTTCTATACCAATATTTAAATAAAATAGATTAAAAAAACTTGGGATTTTTCTTCGTTTTGCGCAACGGGAAGAAAGTTTTAAGACGGAGGGAGTATTCTTTTCCCTCTTTTAAAGATTACTACACTTTAATTTCTTTGGTTAAACTATATTTTAAAATAATTAAATATTACTATAACCGCTTTATCTACTTTTGACTTTTTTTTGGCCAAAATTGGTAAACTTTTATATCAGAATTACTAAAAATGATATTAGATATTGATACAAATTTTTTTCCATTAGATTTATTATATTAAATATTTTCAAAATATTAGTCTATCTAATTACGGAGTAATACGGAGTATACACTATGTATTTTATTTAATTACATGTCAAAAATTGAACACAATTGATCTAAAAAACTCAAAATTGGACAAACAAACAGAGACGAAACTACGGAAGTAATATAAAAATTTGATATATCAGAACTATATTTTAAAATAAACTTCATTTTTCTAAAATTTTCATTATAATAATATATACTTTTTCCATAATTTATGATCAAAGTGTTTTCCAATTTGATTAAAAAAGTCAAATTGTGATAATTTTTTAGTACTAAGGTAGTACAAAGTAATGAATTTTTAAAAAGAACAAAGGATTCATATTTTGAGATTAAAAAATACAAAACTTTTGCCAAGAAGTTAACACCATCAAAAATTTAAATTTGTGATTGAAAGCTCAAAACAAGATTCACAGGGGTAAATTTCACAAATGGTACCTGAACTTTAGCTGGAATTTCGAAGTAGTACCTGAACTTCAAATCCTTTCACAAAAATCTCTGAACTTACACAATCCTTTCACTAATGAGTCATTAGCCCGTTTCTAGGTTAACTTCCGGTCATTATGGCCAAATTCGAATTTTATATATTTTAAAATTTTCAATTTGACCCCATTTCTTCTTTTCTTTTCTTCCACGCCCCGCCACCGCCGCCCGCCGGTCAAAGTCGCCGGAAAATGATTTTTTTCCGATTCCGGCGTGACCAATGTCATTCTCTTCGTCTTGAGACGAGGATCAATAATATCCAAACCATTTTGTCTAATTTGGCCTGTAACTTCTCGAATCTGAATTTTTCTACTCGAAAAAACCCTAAAATTCGAAATTGGATCCAAAATTGGGGGTTTTGCAAATTTTCATCAAATCTTGCAATTGAGGGGTCCTTGGAGGTCGCCCGGATGCCACGACCGCATTGGCGTTGGTGCCCGCCGTCAATTTCGCCGGAGGTGGCCGGAAAAAGCTCCGACCCGCCCGTGTGCGAAGTAATGAGGGAATAAAAGAGATAATTAAAATAAAAATGAAAAGGAAAAATGAAATACCAAACCACCCAATAATAAAACGCCCCAATTGGAACGCTTCGCCCGATTTGAAAGATACAATGACCCCTAATTCCATCGCAGCCAAGAGACCAGAGCCGACAACCGTCTCTCCCGCCGGGAAACGCCGTAAGAGCGGAGAAGACCACGGTTTGATTCCCGGGCTTCCGGATCACATCGCCCAGTCTTCCCTCTCTTTCGTCCCTCCCTCCACTCTCTACTTCGTCTGCAATTCCTGGCGCCGCCTTATCTACTCTCCTTCTTTCCCACCTTTCCTCTCCATCTACGCCGTCTTGTTCCCCTCCGAAGCCGCCGATTCCATCTCCGTCGCCTCCTTCGACCCCATCTCCTCCACCTGGCAGTTCCTCCCACCTCTGCCGCCGCCGTCCCCTGACCTGCCCCTCCGCTTCCTAATCCGTCACCCCTCCTTCATCTCCCGCAACCTCCCTGTCCAGTCCGTCAGCGTCGCCGGAAATCTGGTCCTCCTCGCCGCCACAGCGGATCAATTCCTCCCCGCCCTATCCTGTCCCCTGATTTTCAACCCCTTCACCGGAAAATGGAGCTGCGGTCCACCCTTAATCACCCCACGCCGGTGGTGCGCGGTTGGCGCATCACGCGACACGGTCTACGTGGCGAGTGGGATCGGATCCAATTACAACCAGAAAGTCGCTCGATCCGTTGAGAAGTGGGACCTCAAAAGCAACAACCACCGCCACATGCCGTTCACGAAACCTCAGGAGCCGTGGACGGGGTGGGAGAAAATGGGAGGCCTCAGAGACGGAAAATTCAGCAGAGAGGCGATCGACGCCGTGGGGTGGAGAGGGAAACTGTGCATGGTCAACGTGAACGGAGATGCCGCCAAGGACGGGATAGTCTTCGACGTCGTAAGGGATGCGTGGGAGGAGATGCCGGCCGGGATGTTGATGGGATGGAAGGGCCCGGCGGCGGCGATGGACGAGGAGACTATTTTCATGGTCGACGAGTCCAATGGGTGGCTGAAGAGATACGATCCGGTTAATGACAACTGGGTGGGAGTAATTAAGGGCGAGGCACTTAAGGGTGCCCAGCACATCGCCGCCGGAGGGGGAAGAGTCTGCGCGGCTCGCCGCGTTGGAAAGAGTATCACGGTGGTTGACGTGGTGGCGCAACCGCCCAAAATGTGGGCAGTTGAGGCTCCGGCCGGGTACCAAGTTTTGTCAGTTCATATATTGCCCAGAATGAGCAGACACGATCTCTTGCCACCATCATCTGATTCAGATTCATCTTCTTTATCTTCTTCTTAGCAACTTTTTTGCTTTTTCCTTTTTTGTTTGAAAGATAAAGTTTTCACTTAACTTTTCTATGACCTTTTTACTCACTATTTTAAATTAGGACCATGCTACACACCCCTTACCCTTGCTACCAATCTTGCCTTCACTCATTTCTTTACCACATATTTATCTCTATCCATTCTCTATCCACTCTCTAATTTTAATTTTCAGGAGGAGCATGAGTAGTAGCAAGGGTGGGGTTTTTAGCATTTTCCTTTAAATTATATGGCCTATTCCAAAGTACGGTGGTAAATGAACATTTTTTGGTCAACTGTATTCTTTGACTGATCTAGCACGTGATTGGACTTTGGAGATGCTCTTCCAACCGGGTTTGAGAAATTTAAAATTTTTTGTGTATTCTTTTGAATTTGAACAATTGCTCTGGTAATTTAACATTTTGAGACTTGATTTAACATCATTAGACTTGTTCTCTTCAAGTTATTTGATTTGTTCAAATTTAATTTCGTTAAGTTTGATCTGATTATTATTATATTAAAAATTATTTCTGGTTTGATCTGATTTTAATAAGAATAAGTAATGTTCTGAACGCAAGAGCAAGCTTTTAATTTGCCTTTTCTTTTCTATCAATATCTTTTTGACTTTGGAATATAATGGTGTAATCTAAACTTTTTAATAGAGAAACGATGATGGTTTATCCGGGAAATAGGTGTTTTATATTTTTAAAACAAAAGTTGGTACACACTAAGATTTGTATATTACTTGTACACAAAAAGTATAACATACACACACTTGTTGTGTGTACATATCTAAGATACACTTGGCCTACAATTCATATTTTGAGAGTGATACTTTTATGGTTTTAAAATTTATATTTCAAATATAGAATTTTTCACATTTTTTTAGAGCTTGCATGTAGATATTTCATTTTTTAAAAAGACCACTTCTTTTATACTTCAAATGCACTATAGTTTATAATGAGTATGAAGCTTAGATCCACAAAAGAATTTCTCATATTTTAAACATAAATGTGAGACTGTATATCAGATGCTCTTTACCTTGCATTAGGCATGAGTTTTTGAGACATTAGGGTAATATATTTGTTAAATTGTGCTTTATTTGTTTTGATTTTTTCCCTTTTCTTTCAAAATCCCTAAAATCTCTTTTTTTTTTTTAAATCTTTAAATATGGAATTAGGGGTAATCAACAGTTCTAGAATCTGAACTGTCAATATTAATCTCCAAAAAGAGGAGTTCTCCTTTTGTCGTATATATTATGAAGTAATCTTCTAATTTGAATTTTCTTAGTACTAGGATAAATTTTAACAAATCAAGATATTTAAAAATAAATAAATTGGAGCCCAAATAATGATAGTAGTGATTTAAAATACTACTGCTTAGGAATATTGTTTCGCATCTTCTTAATGGACTGGGCCAGACTTCCTTAGAGTATTATTTTGGGAACATTAATTTCGGATTCCTACGTCTCAGCGTGCTTGATCAATTTGACTATTTCGAATCAACTAAGAATCTAAGATAAACTTTAAATTTCATTAAACAAAAATTGTAATGTATATTAGTAGGGAATATAAAAATGTTTTTATCTAGTTGAGAACTTTTACAATTTTATTACATTGTATTAATATTCCGTACAAATTTAGAGTAATTGAAGTTCAATGTTTGTGTGCGACTAACGGTGGCGGTGGTAGCTGACAATTGCGATAGGGTCTGGGGCGAAGGTGGTGCTGATGATGGCGACAGCAGGGGCTGGGGCAAAGATGATGGGAGCAAGGGGCGGTGGTGGGGCTAAAGATGGTCGTGGTGGCTGGCAAAGATGGTCGGAGCATGGGGGCGGTGGTGAGGCTAGCGAAGATGGAGGTGAGGTTCTGATAGTGGTGGCGGCTGGCTGCTATGGGGAAGCTAGTAAATGTAGGGCAGGGGCATTTAGGACAAAATGCACACAAATTTAACTCTTCATAAAATAGGAAAAAGTCCAAATGCAAACTTTATTCCCGGACGGAGGGAGTATATGTAACCGATGAAAAGTTGGGAGCCTTTTTCATTTTGGTATCTCATATCACTTTTGAAAGGGAAAAAAGTTTTTTCTTCAATCCATTTTCTGTGTTTGAGAGTGTTGTTCTCTCACATCATACTCATCTTCCACACAGCCACTGTTTCAAGTTTCCACCTTCTCCATTGCTCTGTTTCAACCACTTCTAACCTCCAATGCAAGAGTCTTTAGTGGTGGATTGGTTATGAATGGACCACTACACCTATATGTTTGCCCTTATCTCTTAACCTATGGAACAAACTTGGAAGCAATGGTAATAAATTGTGTGCCTATATGATGTCACTCATCTTCTTCCAACTTTTCTTTGACGAAGAATTCGCAAGTGTGGCATGATATCTCTTTCAATATAATGTTGTCTTCACAAGTACAATGTGATATTCTCTCCTACAGTCCTACATGCTCATCTCAACGACTCAACATTTCCATATCCTGCAATTCAAGCTTGACCTTTGGAATACTAAGGTCTAAGGGCCTTTCGTATCATCATTTGAGTCATGAACAAGTGTTTTTCGGAGAGCATTATAGTGAAGCAGAAAAAAATGCAATTGGTACAACAAACTAGCATTTCGTAAGATGCAAAAAGTATTTCAACGAGAGCAGGAGGATGAGATCGCAATAGATCACACGGAGTATAACAAAATAAATAAAGTATTACTCTTATACAGATAATTAAGAAGTGGGTGGACGAGATCACACCTTTTCGCTTGGGCGGTGATGTTAATTAAGGACGTTTTGCTCCTTGCATATGGAGCATCTCATCCAAACGCTTCGCTCTCTCAAAGCCTTGGCTAATCAAGAAACGTATCCTCTGCCTGTCATCGCATTCCCTGTTGTTCTCCATCTCCTGCCTTATCACTGCACTCAGCTCAGCTGTGAACATAACTACAAAACTTACATTAGTGATATAATAGGCGAGGCACATCAATGGTAAGGCTATATATATACATACTACTCCTAGCAGAGACATGATCTGAAGTGAACACAATGATAAGGCAGCAGAAGAGGGGGCTATAGCTTCTTTGGACAGTTCATACAAAATAAAACAGCTAGGTTGTTTCCAATTACAACTAGAAGTAAAGAACCAATACTGCATTCCATTGTTAAAACGAAAATTCCTCCACAATGTGAGTTCATTTGGCATTAATTAAATTAAGCATTTAGATTTAGTGTTTAGGAAAAGCAAATTACAAACTGTGATTTTAGAAACAAAAAATTAGAGAGCAATCGAGAGAGGCTGAACATGATGAGATGAATCTGAGCAGCGAATAGAAAGACATGAGGATTTATTGGAGTGCGGATTAAGTAAGAGATTCACCTCTAGAATGAGGGGGAGCTCTTCTCGCAATCCTGAGAGCATATCGGTATAACTTGAGCACCCGAGCTCGAACAAGGAAGTCGTGAAGATGCAGCGGGCGATTAACAACCATCACAGGCCCTCCCTCCCTCCTTCCTTGATTTCAATTCAGATCAATCTGTGCATTCATCTGAGAATCTGCACAGATCAAACGTCATTTATTTTAACCTCAGCTTCTCTGCAACTTAATCGACTCATTAATGGTTTGATATGAAAAACAGATTAAAAACGTAGGATACACAAAATTGGAGTTGGCGAGGCATTGAAACAGAAGAAATGAAAGGGGGGAGAGAGGCGGTGCTCTTCCCTTCTCTGAAACTGGATACCTAATGATGTCATGCTGTTTTCTTCTCTCCCAGAAATGAAAAACAAAAAAAAAATATGGGGGGAGAGAGATGGCGCTTTTCACTTTTTCTTCTTCGCAACGAAAGAGGAGAGGCCTGAGAAAAAGAGCCATGTTTCCCGTTTTGGCCCAATTTGCTGGCCTGGGTTGAATAATAACGACCCAATTGCTCATAGCTCTTCTAATCTGATTATTATCCATAGCTCATAGCTCTTCGGTCTGGGCGTGGACATGGTTCCATTCGGAACTGCGCGGAGGAATCACGAACATGTACTCGTGTACCTGAAATATACATGGGTTTTGATCAAAATATTTTAAAATTCGATCCGTTTCTTCTTGATCCAATCAGAATCTCTCTAATATGATTTGAATTAATTTGATTTGGTCTTTTTTTATTCAAATTAAAGTTTAAATTATTTTTATACCGATGATAATTCTTATACTTATTCTTAATTAACAATATAAAGTCAAATCTAAAATATTATAAATAGAAATAATCAAAGATAATGAGTCCAATGTTAACAGTAATGAAAATAATAATGCCTAATAATGAAAATAATAATGATTGTCTCCATGGCCAGCTCAACTTGTTTCAGAAGTGGAATTTGAAACAAGAGACCAATGAACGAACCTCACTTGTAGTAAGGTGGTAGCAACCTCTCAAAAAAATGCATGGGGTTCCTTGTGCAAAGTGAGCACTTGGTCCCAGCCTCTGTTGCCGGTTGAGTTATCATGATTTACTTTCTCCCGCAATTCCATCGTGCAAGGTTTGGGGGTGCCCGGGTGAGCAATTTCACTTTTGAAACAATGAAAATAATAAGGGTTGTGTTTTGCGTGGTACGACATTCCATTCGTACCGATACCATAGATATGCAAACACTAAGTATATCGATGCCTACGAGTGTTTGAGAGATGATATAAAAGTTGCACTCAAAATTAGAATACTCACATCAATTTTTGAGGTTTTTTTATGAAAGACACTTTTTGTTACCAATTGAAACCATCACACTATAATACAATGTACGTCATTCAATATTTTGACTTATATTGGCTCAATTAAAATGCAATGTCCGTGCATATAATCTTAAACTAATAATGTGCATTGAGTCAATGTTTCTGCTTTCGCTAAGCTTTGAACCTAGGTAATTTTTTTATTATAAATCTTGGGAGTGAACTTTCATCATTCAAAATAAAGGGAAAGCTCAATACTAAAAGTATGGGTCAAATTAGTGCATCGTTTAGAACATAAGGGGTGATGTCTGGTGGACAAGACCTGTAACACCCTAATCCGTCCAGGTCTGCAGCCCCATTCGGATTAAAGTATTTAACTTGGTAATCGTAAAAATTTAAAACTTTTCAAACACACTTTATTAATCCCAATAATATTTTTCAATACATATACAATACGGAGTATTCAACAATATTGCGGAAGCGATTTTAATATTGACATATCATAAATTGTTTCAAAACTTGTCACATCCATCCCGACAATCTCGCCCCATCTACCGCCAGGATCACATTCTACTTTCTGCTTACCTGCGTGTAACAAATAAAACACACTACACGCTCAGCGGTAAAGCTGAGTAAGCATATCTAATGCGTCGAACATCCATATAAACTGAATCTAAATTCATAATCAAATCATTTGATATCATGCACACAATGTTCATTTCAGACATTCACAGTTTTGGTATTGTTCAGTTCATATCAATACAGTTTATTCAATTCAGATACTATTTCAATAGTGCTCTTAAATTATTCTTAATCTAAGGCCAGATTATAACAATGCTCTTAGCTATTCTTAGTCTAAGGCTAGATCATAATAATGCTCTTAGCTATTCTTAGTCTAAGGCTAGATCATAATTTCTATAACCAGATTCTTAAAAGGCAATCATAAATCAGACACTTAAACTATCATTAGTTTAAGGCAATCGATTTCGGACACTTAACTGCAGTCAGTTAAGGCAATCAGACACTTAAACTATCACTAGTTTAAGGCAAATGATTCGGACACTTAACTGTAGTCAGTTAAGGCAACAACAATATAGCGGTTGATGAACATTAGATCGGGCATTCCCAAACGAGTGATCCTCTAGTTTGGTCTATGAATCCCATTTATGCGTTTTTATCTAATTCATCAAATGTTCATGTTTTCATAAGCCTGTTCTAATACAAGATCTATTCTAGAGGTCTTCTAGATAGCTTTAACATCAATTAACTAATAGGTATATCTTAACGTTCTTCTAGATACCGTTTAACAATACAAATCGTTTAATAATTATCAATATATTCATTACTCTCATGGCTGAATCATCAATAATTGTTTTGATCAGTTAGTTCATTATTCATGATCATCCATAATAATCATTCATCACAATCATTAATCAACATAACAATTGGTAACAAATAGCGGTCTAGTTTTGAGTGTTAACACTCTAACTTACCGTTATGCATCACATAATGTTTTATATGCCTAAAACATCATTTTTATTATACAAAATCATATTTATATTGTCTATAATTAGTTGGTATCAAAAGTAGGATTTTAGAGCATAATTTGAGAAGTATTTTTCGAAGCAGTAACTCGAATTGAAGTTGATTTTATATAAAATAATCTATTTATATATATATATATATATATATATATATATATATATATATATATATATATATATATATATATATATATATATAAAATGTGGGAAAATCGATTATTTAATGAATAATAATCGATTAATAATAAAAATCGATTTATAATTTATAAATAATCGATTATTTAAATAAAATCGATTTATAATTTATAAATAATCGATTAATTAACTAAAATCGATTTATAATTTATAAATAATCGATTAATTAACTAAAATCGATTTATAAATTATAAATAATCGATTATGTTTTTCTGACTTCGAGCACCCTCATCTGAACAAAGTTCTAATCGTTTCTTAGGAGTAAATAATCGATTTTCGGCTACTGTTCATCATCTTCTTCCTCTGGTTAGTTTCGAGTATTATCATTTTTAATCACCAAACTTCAATTAAATTATATAGAAATGTTCTCCAATGTTCACAGATCATTTTAGAGTCATTAATTTGTAATTTTAACAACAATTTCTTAGTTTATGATTCTTGGTTCTTCAAACATGTCAAACACAAAACTCAACCAAACGACCGTTTATGAACGTAGAAATGATCTATACGAACATTCTAGTCACTAGATATATCTACGGGCTTACCTCGAAGCTTAACGGAGGTTTTGGAAATTTTCCGGCGAAACTTCCGGCGATGATTACTCCCTACTCCGGCGACTTCGGCGGCAACCAAAAACACCAGACTGCTCCCTTCACTCTTATGAACACAATGGTATAATTTTCCAGAACATTGGTGCCAAATTGATAAGGATGGAGTATCCTTATATAGAAGAAGAGAAGGGGAAGAAGACATTGGTAGCTGACTCATTTCTACGTAGAAATTCCTTAGTGGGCAGGACGGCGATTCTAATTTATCTACACGTCGTTCCCTGATTGGGACCAATTTGGTTCCAGTCAGGGTACGCTTTTTGGTCCAACTTTCTCCGAATTGAATTCCGTTTGCACTGTTGCGGTCAGACAGTTAAACTCTATCCATAAATATAATTTTTATATTTATTTGTAACACTTTTTCCGACATCATATTTTTGGGTGGTTGACTTTGACAGAGTCAAAATTGATTTAATTGACTTTTATTCAAAAAGGTTCTCACATTTAATTCATATTATTTATTTCTATGATTTATTTCAAAATATCATTTCAAAGTTCACATTATAAATAATTTCTTCATTTAATCTTAATTTGGGTCTGTACTCAGGTTTCCAATCAAGACCACACAAAAAGTCAATATATTGGATTTATCTCTATGAGATTTATCCAGAGTGTGATAATAGATATCAAAACATATTTCGTATCGGCCCAAAGCCCAACAACAATTTATTTTAATCAAAACAAATTTGTTTATTCGAATAATTATTTAATAATAATTCTAGGGTATGTTTCGGGGCGTTACATTTCTCCCCACCTTACAAGGAATTTCGTCCTCGAAATTCTTCTTAGGTTCAACGTTCAACGTTTTGTAATGATCTCACTGATCATGACCGTTTCATATTCATATGGTTATGTCGCCATCTTTCGGATACGTATTCTCAAGTCATTGATTTCACCAAATTCGTTCAATCTTCGAGAGATTAGCAATTTTCGATTAAGTAAGGTCTTCACTGATCCTTTGATGACAAAAGTTCCTTCATAGTGTGTAGTATTGCATACTTGACATACGTAACTTCGTTCAATTACGAGTCTTATCTGTACGTCCTTGGTTAAGAGAATCGATTGAAAATTTCTTCAATACTCTTGAATGGTCTTTGATAAGCATAATTGCAGTTTGTTTCAATTCATATGTCGTAACGTAGTCTTTCAATTACTCAAGGGGTCGTTGTCTTCAGGGCAGTAGCCATTTGACTTTTCATCTTGGATTTGAACGTATTTCAGGACAGCGAATCTAACTGTTCATGAGTCTTGATATGTCATATCGTCAGCAGACTGTATTATTAGCGAACACGTCATTGTCAGTAGGTAAATTGAATCCATCTTTGCTGTACAAATTTTGACGGAGGATAACTACCCTTTTTCAAAGGTCAGGTTTTCAGAGCCTATATATATCACGATTGTGGCCAGAGCATTTCACATTCTCACATTATGGAAGGAACATCTCGAA